GCCCGCAGGGACAGCGCAGCGATCTTTTGCGCGCGGCCCAGGGGTCGAGCAACGAGAGGCTTCTGCTTCGAGACGTCTTCTTTGCAACAAGGGGCGCTTGGGAGCTCTCACACCTGAGGAACGTCAGTGGTGTCGAGCGACGCATGCCTGCGGGAATCGTCGATCTCTACAAGCTGGTCCAGAGCGGCGAGATCGAAGGCAACTGGACGCTGGAGGCGCAAGATTTGAGGTGTGTTCCTGCACATGTTGTTGTCCTTCATGTACGGCCTGATTCGTGAACTGGCTCGCCGTCCAGGTCCGAGTTGGCTTGTCGAATCCTCAAATCGCCCAACGCGGATGGCGCAGCGTATGCGCTGACAGGCGAACACGCCGAGCTTGACTTGCAGTGTGCTGGAGAACACGGCGTACACGGTGCCGCGGATCCGCCTCTGGGAGCTGCACGTCACGTGCGTCCCCAGAGAAGCTGTCGAAGGGGTGGACGCCGACTGGGATGAGCTCTTCTGGCCCTTCAACTCGGCCCCAAGCGACTGGTTCTGGGGAGGTGCGCGTCCACGTGGGACCGTGCCAACGGCAGCCGGGCCGTACCTATCGACCCGAACAGTGCAAGGGGCCGCAAGAATCACACCTGTCGTCGAGGATCCCGCATTCAGCGGGGCGGCGGAGCTCAGCGACCATCGGCGACAACTCGTGTCGCGCCCGCTGTCGGGCGACGTTGACATCACCTTCAGCGTTTACGTGCCCGCTTCTCGGGGACAGCGAGTGGGACTTGCGCTCTTCTCCGACTCCGACGACTCCATCTGGATCGACCCCTGCTGCGGTGTCCGAGGTCAAGCATCGGATGCGCCGCCAGATGCTCATCGCATCGATGCCCAAGCGCTGCTTTCTGGCACATGGCAAAGGTTGTCGCGCAAATGGCGTTCGAACTACTTGTCTACGGGATGGTACAGCGTGAGACTAGAGCACCGACCGTCGCTCAATATCTCTCGTGCTACAACGTGGATTGGCTTCGATGTCGACCGTGGGCTGGGATACTCGCTCCCTGCTTCCAGCAGTCAACGCCGTCATGGCGAAGCGCTGTGGTCGGCGTCGAGCAGCGCCTGGGACAGCGTGACGGGCCACGCGCTGAATGGCCCTTTCCGCATCGAGCTCTTCGCAGATGACGTAAGCTTAGCAAACGTTCGGGTGCGTCGGGCCGAAGGCAACCCTGTCTCTGAGATCCAGCCAGGGCACAATTCGTTCGGCCCGGTGTTCGTGGACGCTATCGCGGTGTCTGCTTCCAACGTGAGCGCTGTGTCGCAGCCTGCGCGTCGGTTCTTCATATCCAGCCTTACTCTGCCTCCGGGATGGGACGCGCCCCTCTCTCCGCTCAACCACTCCGAATGTGGAACTGGCGGGATCAAGCTCACGGTCAGTGTGCGCGTCGAGGAGATATGCGATGAGGTCTCGATCGGCTTTCAAGTAGCGGAGCGGGATCCGTTGTCATCTTCTTCGCTTCTAGATTCGACGGTGCTCAGGCTCCACTGCGGCCACCTTATTCTCCAAGGAAAGGACTCTGCGGCGTCGTCGGGCACTGCTGTGCGCGTCAGCGGCTGGTACACGATCACGCTAGAGATGCGCTACACCTTCGGCGAGACAGTCGCTCGGATCTTCCCGGGCTTCGACTCCGACCTCGGCGAGGCCGGTCAGCTAGCGGCGGTATCGATCGACGAGGTCATGCGCCGAAGTGTGCGCCCAACTATCTCGGAAAGCGACCGGGGGGTAGCGCATGTTCGAATCATGCCGTTGTGCGGGGAAGCGACGCCCCCGATGCAGACGACGAGGCGACGGGTGGTGTTGATGGATCGGACGCTCCAAGTCTTCGCTAACGTCACAGCGACACCATCGAGCATTTCAGGCGTCGACGCCTTGGTGTTGATGCCTGGGCGCACTGGGGAGTCGCAGGGCCCGATCAGATCTGCCAACGTCTCTGGAGCCTGCGGGCTCACCGTTGGCATGCTCGCGACAGCTGACGGGGACGTCGGCCCCGGGCACGTCGCGCTGTGGGTCAGGACAGTGCGCTCTGAGGCTAGTGATGTCGAGACGCGAGGCAGCTGGCTGCTGATCGCAAGCCTGACGCCCGAGGATATCGGCAGCGAAGGCCGCTGGCACTACATTTCGCGGCGCGTGTCGAGCGTGCTCGGTACTGGCGTCGCTGCGGTCGAGCTGCACGCGACAGCTCTGCACGACATGGCGGGTAATCCAGATGGGGTCATGGCCGTGGCGCTACTGACGGTCATGGTCGAGCCCTGCGCCGGATTCGACTTCGAGGCGAACTCGGACGGCTTGACCGTGCGCCTCACTCCGTCTCCAAACACGGGTTTGAGCGGCGCCAGGCAGGGCGCGATCTTCCGCAAGCCCGTCGCACCACTGTTCCTGCAGGAGTGGGCGGCCCTGGGGACTGTGGAGTCTGGCATCTTCATGTCCACAGTTCCCTCCGTCGGCGTCGATGGCGGTGTCGTCGTGGCCGGCGGTCATGCAGCGATACGGGTCAACAGCAGCGATGGGGTTGCGTCTGGGGTTGTGCTCGTGTACCGAGCCCGCGGCACTTCCTGGTCCCTGGAATCAAAGATCTGGTCCAGCAATTCGTACGACTTGTTTGGCTGGGCAGTTGCAACGGCGGCAGGCACGACCATCGCCGTAGGCGCCCCCGGGGCTGCACGAGGTGCACGCGGGCCACCACCCGCGGGCCGGATGTTGACGACGACGAACTTCGGTGCGTGCTACATTTATCGAAGCGTGCGCGGTATTTGGACGTGGAACGCGACACTCGTGCCCCCGGATCCCGGGAGCATCGACGAATTTTCACCCCGCGGCCGTTTCGGGGAGTCCGTTGCGCTGACCGAAGCGCACCTCGCGGTAGGAGCTAGCTTTGACGACATCTTGGGCCCACAGTCCGGGTCTGTGTCGATATTTGCGGCCTCAGCTGACGGGGGATGGGCGTTCGAGGCCAAGCTGCTCCCAAGTGTCTTTGACAACGAAGCGGGACGATTCGGATCTTCTGTTGCGATTTCGGGCAGCACGCTCGTCGTCTCCGTCGTCGATAGCTCCGCGGGGCCGAGATCGAGTGCGACTGTTGCGTTTGCCTACCGCGTGAAGGATGACGTCGGCTGGGTGCGGGAGGGTCCGCTCACCTTCGACGCGGTGGTAGGTTCCGAGGCCTCGGCACTTCCAACGCACGTGGCCGTCTTCGATGACACGGTCGTCGTGGGCATCCCGTACTTCAACGCGTCCGGCCCCGACCAGGGGGCCGTGTCCACGTACGTGCGCAACGCCAACGGCACGTGGGACATGGACGTGAACGCAACCCTTGTGGCGGACAACGACCTCCGCCAGCAGCGCTTCGGCAGTTCGGTTGCGCTCGCGGCAGGCATGCTGGCAGTCGCAGCGCCTGGGAGTCCGCCTGACCGAGGCAACTCAACTGTGTTTGTCTATCAGCGCTCCCATGCCGGGCAAGCCTGGGAACTGGTGCGATCTCTACGAGGAGGCAGTCGTGGGTTCCGCAACATTCGCCTCGGCCCGGACGGTACTCTTGCTGTGTCGGGGCTGGCTGCGTCTAGCAACGTCCTGAACCGCACCGAGGTCCAGATCTACCTTCTGGGCGACCAGGAAGCCACATTTTCGCTCAGCCAAGCTCTGGCGACGAGCCCGCCGGAGACTACCGCGCCCGTGACCTCGTCACCGCCGACGGATCCGCCGACGACGATGCCGCGGCTGACGGATCCGCCAGCAACCACCAGCACGCCCACGAGTACGACGATCCCGCCGGAAAGTACAGTAGCCGCGTTCACGTCACCGCCTTCGGTGACAGCGCGCCCGCCGGATCCGACGACGCCCCCGCCAAGCGCGGAAATTCGGGCTGTCTTGACTGTTGACGCACAATCGCTCAATTCTACCGGCATCGAAGCGATCAAAAGCGCTTTCTTGTCCTCCGTGCGGACCGTCCTGCCAGACGTCGCCCCGGAAGACATTATGGTGATCGTGCTGAACGGCACACGTCGCGGGGCCAGGCGGCGTCTGCAGGCGCTGCAGGTTCAGGTCGTGCTCCTCGTGCCGGTCAACTCTGCATCTATCGTGGCGCAGGAACTGGAGTCTCGTCGTGAGAGTGGAGAGCTGTTGCAGGCCATAGCAGATCAGGGACTGGGGGCTGCAGTAGCCATCCAGCAGAAGGTGACATTCGTCCTCCCGCCCACGCCAGCGCCTCCAACAGCGGCGCCCGCCAGCGCCAACAGCGGTGGCGGCGGCGGTGGTTTCAGCGGCGGCGGCGGCGGCAACAGCGGCTTCAGCGGCGGCGGCGGCAACAGCGGCGGCAACAGCGGCGGCAACAGCGGCGGCGGGGGCGGTGGCGACGTCAGTGGAGGCGGAAACCCCTCTTTCCCAGATTACTCGGATGATGGAGGCGATACTTCACAGGGCTTCAGCAGCAGGGCCGTCCGAACAGAGCTCGCTGGTTGGCTCCTTCTCGCGGCGTCAGTGCTCGTTGTGTCCCTGCTCTCCACCTCCGCTGACTGAGACGCGCTTCTGCGGCCTACGTGCGCGACGATCGGCTACGTTCTGTGTTCGTCGCGAGCGAATCTCAGGCCTCCTGGGTTGTCGCTGGAAAAGACCACTCGCAACGGGCATGCGTCGAGCTGAGCGTGTCAAGTAATTGCGTGTGAAGCGAGCAGCTTTCCTCTTGCAGCACTGTGTCACGAACATTGTCAAGGGAAGAGATTCGACACGCGGGCCTGGCCTGAAGCTTGTGGCAACAATTGCGTCGTGCATGGTTGTGCGCAGCAGGTGGCAATGCAGGCACGAGCGAAACGGGACCCGCCTGGAGAGTCTCAAATGATGATTCTGAACACGCTTGGTCGCCCCCGTGATGGCCGACAACCTATCGAAAGACGTGAGTAATATGAAAGAACTTGCTTCGGATGCGGATACCTCGCTCGTGCGCAAGCATCTCCCCGCGCATCACAGCGCCGCTACAGCACGGTGAACTGGTCCGGCTTGTCCTGCCTCCCGCCCCCTCCGGGCTTGGCGGCGCGTCGCTTCTTCTTCGGCCCCTCGCGCCTCCGGTTGTGTCGCGGGCCCGCAAAGTCCCCCTCCTCGAACTCCCCCTCGCTCTCGCTCGCCTCCACCTCCCCCGCCGCCGCCGGCAGCGTCGCCGCCGGCCGCTCCAGCCCCAGCTTCCTGCACCCACGCGCACGCACACGTCCTGGTTGCAGGTGGGGGAAAAACAATCCGTGGCGAGGGCACCGGTGCGCGCCCGTCGCAGGCCGCGAGGAGCGCCGCGCACCTGTAGAAGATGGCGGTGAACCCCACGGACTGCACGCACACGCAGCCGCAGGCCTCCTCGACCATGTGGATGACCTCCGGCAGCTCCATGGTGCACCCGCCGCCCATCTTGACCTTGCAGAGGCCGTACTTCTCGAGCGCGTCCCCGACCATGACGTACGTGTTGCGGGAGACGCCCGCCTTGCCGATCTGCAGCGCGCGGGCGCACGTTGGGTCCGCGGGCGCACGTTCCTGGCCGGTGACAGCGCTGCGGACGCGTGGCGGTCGGTCGGGGCAGGGACACGGCGTTGCGCGGTCGCGCTGGTCGCAACCGATGGCGTTATTTGCCGGGGCCGACGGAGCGGCGACGAGACGGCGATTCGCGTCTGAGAATCGACGGGGCTCGAGGACCACCGCCGGTGCGAGCGGCTGGACAACGCACGGCTGTGGGCGGGATTCGTCGGCCAGCCTGACCTGCACTGGCTTGAGGAGCTTCGCCTGATGCAGCTCCGCCGCTTTCCGTCGCTGTTCGCGCCTTTCGTTGTTGCCAAGGCGCGGGCGCTGCTCTGGATCAGCAGCCACTGCCGCATTCCGCAGTTGTGCGGCGCGCGCACTGACGGCGCCGAGCGGCATGCGCCTCGGCAGACGCTGTGCTCGGAAGCCGCACACGTGCATGAGCGGGCCGGCGCTCGACAGCGCCACGATGGGGCCCATCCTGGCTGCGACAACTAACGCGGATCGCTGGGTCCCCCCGGACACGATAGTACTCTCTATATCGCTCGCGCTGCAGAGGAGTGCGGGCACATGGCGGCCCGGCGGCCTTGTGTGCATGTCGCAGCCCGCGGAGGTCTCACGGCCGCACCCCCGCTCCAGTGTGCGCCAGGCCCCCGCACGGCAACGGGGCGGTGGTACGCCATCGCGCGGCACAACGACCGATACGCGCGCATTCCACAATACCACAGGCCGCGACTGGCGGGTTTCTCGCTCCGATCGTTCGCTCTGCGCCGCGCGCACCTGCATGGTCCTTTGCAAGTAGCCGGGTCAGGGGGGCTGGGGCGGAATGTCGGCACCACCGTCGCGGCAGGAGACGGACCGGACGTACGTGGAGGTCACGCCGGAGCCGCTGGACCTGCAGAAGCTCGTGCAGTTCGTGACGGACCCCGGCGCAGGTGCTGAAGAGCTCCCCCGCGCACGCCCGCACGGCGCCGACCACGGACGCCGCAACTGTGCGCCGGCGGATGTTGCCGCTTGCACGGACAGGTTGCGCGCCACAGCGACCGCTCATTCCGCTGGCCTGGCCGGCAGCGACGCTGCACCCGCCCACGTCACTGCACCCTCGCGCGACATCGCAGGCGCCATATCAACCTTCATCGGAACGACGCGCGACACCTTCGAGGGCAAGAAGGTCGTGCGGCTCGAGTACGAGGCCTACGTGCCCATGGCCCTCGCAAAGCTCCAGGCACGACGCACCCGCCCTGCACCCGCCCCGCAACCACCGCCGTCGCGCCCGCGCGCGCCCGAGAGCGGCCCTCCGTGCCCGCGACACGCAGCGCGCCCCCGCCGCTCCCGCAGGAGGTGTGCGACAAGGCCGCTGCGAAGTGGGACGTGCGGAAGGTGGCAATGGCGCACCGCACGGGGCTGGTGGGCGTGACGGAGGCGTCCGTGATCATCGCGGTGTCGTCCGCGCACCGCCTGGAGGCCATCGAGGCGTGCCACTTCGGCATCGACGACCTGAAGGCCACCGTGCCCATTTGGAAGCGCGAGGTGTACGAAGACGGCAGTGCCTGGAAAGAGAACAAAGAGTCGCGCAACCTGTACAATGCGAAGCGGGCGGACGAGGGCGCCTTCAAGCACCCGCCCAGCGACGCGCCGGGCGCCCCCGCGCCGTGACACGCGCGCGTGTGACGCGGCGACAGGTGCAGCACGCAGCGTCACAAAATCGGGGCGAAGCCGCCCCTGGCCGACGCGTCGCGGCCGCTGCCAACGTATGTACACTCCCGCTCGCCGGCGCAGCCTCACCCGCCGATCTTCACCATGGCGCGGCCGTTGGCCGACTGCCGCGCGATCTCAAACATCCCCGCGTGGCGCGCACGCTTCCGGTCGACCGCGGCCGACAGGACGTACCGCAGGTCGTCGTCCGTGGCGCCCTCGCGCATCGCGTCCCGCAGCGACACCTCGTTGTGCCCGAACAGGCACACCTTGAGGTTCCCGTCCGCCATCACGCGCAGCCGCGTGCACTCGTGGCAAAAGTGCTCCGTCATGCTGGTCACGAACGACACGCTCCCGCGGTGCCCCGGCAGCCGGAAGTTCTTCGCGACCTCTCCGTACGGGTCCCGCTCGCGCCGCAGCGTCGCGCCCGTGTGCGCCTCCACGGCCGCCACCATGTCGCGGTACGGCATCATCTTGCCGTGGTCCCACGCGTTCCCGTCGAACGGCATCCACTCGATGAACCGCACGTTGATGTCCGCGTCGCGCGTCAGGTCCACGAACGCCCCGAGCTCGTCGTCGTTCGTGCCGCGCATCACCACCACGTTGAGCTTCACCTGCCGCAGCCCCGGGGCGCCCGTCGCGCGCGGCCGGCCCTTCATCGCGGCCGCGCGGCGCGCGACGTCGAGAACGCGCTCGAGGCCCTTCCGCCGCGTCAGCCGCGCGAACCTGTCGGGCTGGAGGGTGTCGAGCGAGATGTTCACCGACGTCATGCCGGCGTCGACGAGCTGGTCCAGGTTGCGGCCCAGGACGATGCCGTTCGTGGTGATGCCGACGTCCTCGATGCCCGGGAGCGCCGCCGTGCGCGACACGATGTCGACCAGGTCCTTGCGCAGCGTGGGCTCCCCCCCGGTCAGCCGGACCTTGCTGACGCCGCCCTCCGCGAACAGCGACGCCACGCGCACCACCTCGTCTGCGCTCGACCGATGGGGGCGCGGCGGAGGGGGTCGGCGAGGGAGTTGGGGCGCGCGGCGGCCCGGGCGAGCGACCAGCGCTGCGCTGGCTGCGGCACGGCGGGAATGTGGGGCGCGGGGGGCGCACCTGTCGACATGAGCTGCGGCTTCGGCGTCAGGTCGACGCCCTCCGGCGGCATGCAGTACGTGCATCGCAGGTTGCACTTCTCCGTGAGAGAAATCCTCAAGTAGGTGTGTTGGCGCCCAAACGAGTCCTGCAGCACCTGGTCGCGCTCCATGGCCGCGCCGTAGCGGTCCCGCGCGATGGCCACGAGGCTCCTCCAGTGCGTGGGGTTCCCTGCAGCCGTTCGAGCGCGCAGGATTCGGCGTGGGCGCTCCGCACAGCAGCAGCGGCCTGGCACGTTGCTTCCGAGGCTCCCAGCCGCGCACCTGCGAGGTTCGCCCGCTCTTTCGGCACGGAGGCCGTTGTCGACCGCTGCTCGAGCTGCCGCGCGCCGCCCTCGCGCCCCTTGTCCCACTCGGCGAGCCGGCGGGCACGTGCAGCCTCCTCAGACTCGTCGCGCTCTTCCCGGAGCGGCATGGCCGCAAACAGGCGCGCGAGCCCCGCGGACTGCGCCGAGGCCAGCACGGAGAGCTCCCTGCCCGCCCCCAAGGCCGCAGTGAGCGCGCGCATGCTGCCCAGCCCCCTTGCAGACGACTCGACCCTTCCGCACGGGCGCAGCGCACGACCACGCAGTACACGCCCCCGCTTATCGATAAACACGCGTGCCTGAAATCCACGGCGCGAGCTCGGACTGTCACCGCCGCCCGAGCCGCGCCCTGATGTCCGCCGCGGCGCAGGGTGGTCCCTGCCCTTTCAGACCCGGGAGCTCAGGGGTGGTCCCCCCCGGAACCACGTCGCCCTCAAGGGCGGACCCGCGCGCGCCCGCGCGCCACTCTCTCGCGGCCCAGGCCAGCCTATTCCGCACCGCGTCATCCCGCACGGTCGAGCACGCACCCCGCCCTCCGCGTGTTGCCACCGCCATGCCGCACGGGGGGAACAATGACGGCGCCGCGGGCCCCGTGGCCGCGCTGCTCAAGTCGGCGACGGTCCTGGTCCCCGCGGCCGCCGGCGCGATCTTCGCGCGCAACTTCTCCGCCTCGGGCAAGGGCACCGCCGCGGCCAAGGGGGAGCGCGTGTTTGCCTACCCAGAGGGCAAGGACGCGCTGAACTCGTCGGGCGGGCCCCCCGTCATCCCCGCGAAGGGCGAGGTCTTCCGCTCGAAGGCCCCGCACCACCTGAAGCCCACGGAGATCGACGACAAGGACAAGGGCACGCCGGACGACTGGATCCCAAGGCACCCCGACATCATCCGCCTCACCGGTGCGTGCGCCCCCGCGGACCCCGCCGCCGCGCGCCCGTGACCACCTCGCGTGGGACGTGCCGCGGGCCAGCTCGGACCGCGGCACGCGTGCACGTCCGCGCAGCCAGGGCGCCAGTACCTGTGTGCTCTTCGCGCCGCTGCTGTGTCCGCGCCTGCTCCGCTTGCAAAGGCCAAGGTGCTCGTTTCGCGCCGGTTCCGGCCTCCACGTGTCCCAGGCATGCCGGCAGCCGTCGCACAAGCGCGTGATTCGCGCTGTTCCTGCGTGACCGCTTGGTTGATAATGCCGTGGCCATCACGTGTGGCCTCTTGCTGCGCGGCCCGCACACGCCGACAGTCCTCTGCTCCGGGCATCCCCTGCCCCTAGATTGACTGTCGGTCGCTCTTGGTGCGATTTTCGTCCGGATTCCCCGCCCGACCGCTCCGTGCCGCGCGCCCCTGCCCCCTCCAGGTCGGCACCCGCTCAACTGCGAGCCCCCGATGACGACGCTGATGGAGACGGGCTTCAACACGCCCCCGGCGCTGCACTACGTGCGCAACCACGGCCCTGCGCCGCGCATCAAGTGGGAGGACCACCGCATCACGGTCAACGGCCTGGTCGACAAGCCCATCACCTACACGATGGAGGAGCTCATGAAGCTGCCGCAGCAGACCATCCCGGTGACGCTGGTGTGCGCGGGCAACCGCCGCAAGGAGCAGAACATGATCAAGAAGACCATCGGCTTCAGCTGGGGCTCGGCCGGCCTGGGCACGAGCTACTGGACCGGCGTGCGCCTGTGCGACATCCTCAAGGCCTCGGGCGTCAAGCCCGGCGCGACGCACGTGTCCTTCCGCGGGCCCAAGAAGGAGCTGCCGCAGGGCGACGACGGGTCGTACGGCACGTCGCTGGAGCTCCCCGTGGCGATGAACCCCGCGGAGGACGTCATGGTGTGCTGGAAGCAGGACGGCGAGCTGCTGACGCCCGACCACGGGTACCCGGTGCGCATGATCATCCCGGGCTTCATCGGCGGGCGCATGGTCAAGTGGCTGGAGGAGATCACGGTGACGGACAAGGAGTCGGACAACTTCTACCACTTCTTCGACAACCGCGTGCTCCCGCCGCAGATCGACCAGAAGACCGCGAACGAGGAGGGCTGGTGGTACAAGCCCGAGTACATCATCAACGAGCTCAACATCAACTCGGCGATCGGGTACCCAGCGCACGGCGAGGTGCTCCCGCTCGACGGCAGCGTGCAGGAGTACACCGTGCGCGGGTACGCGTACACGGGCGGCGGCCGCAAGATCATCCGCTGCGAGGTCTCGCTCGACGACGGCAAGACCTGGCGCCTGGCCGACATCCACCGCTTCCAGAAGCCCACGGAGTTCGGGCGCTTCTGGTGCTGGGACTTCTGGTCGCTCAAGATCGCCCTGCCCGACCTGCTGCGGTGCAAGGAGATCTGCGTGCGCGCGTTCGACGCCGCGCAGAACACGCAGCCGGAGTGGCCCACGTGGACGGTGATGGGCATGATGAACAACCCGTGGTTCCGCGTCCGCGTCAACCCGTGCGTGACGGACGCCGGCGTCCCCGCGGTGACCTTCCAGCACCCGACGCAGCCCGCCAACCAGCCCGGCGGCTGGATGGGCGACAACCCGGTCGACCCCGCCGCCGCCGCTGCGCCCGCCGCCAAGGCCGCGGTCCCGAAGAAGGACGCGCGGCGCTTCACGCGCGCGGAGGTGGCCAAGCACGACAAGGAGGACGACGTGTGGCTGATCTACCACGGCAAGGTGTACGACGCGACGGCGTACATGAAGGACCACCCGGGCGGCGCGGACTCGATTCTGATGAACGGCGGGATGGACTGCACGGACGAGTTCGACTCGATCCACTCGGCCAAGGCCAAGGCGATGATCGAGGACTACTACATCGGGGAGCTGGACGACTCGGCGACGGCGAGCATGGACAGCGGGTCGACGGCGGACGAGGCGGCGGCCAAGGTGGCGCTCAAGCTCAAGGAGCGCGTCAAGCTGCCGCTGATCAAGCGCGAGGACCTGAGCCACAACGTGCGCCTGCTGCGGTTCGGCCTGCCCAGCAAGGACCACCGCCTGGGCCTGCCGATCGGCAAGCACGTCATGTTCTACGCCAAGGTCGGGGGCGAGACGGTCGTGCGCGCGTACACGCCCATCACGAACGACCGCACGCTCGGGCACGTGGACTTCGTGATCAAGGTCTACTTCGCGAACGAGCACCCGCGCTTCCCCGCGGGCGGCAAGATGACGCAGCACCTCGAGACGCTCAAGGTGGGCGACGAGCTGGAGTTCCGCGGGCCGCTGGGGGAGTTCGTGTACCACGGGCGCGGCAAGTACACGTACAAGGGCAAGGAGGGCTTCACGTCGGGCATGACGATGATCGCGGGCGGGACGGGCATCACGCCCATGTGGCAGGTGCTCGAGGCGGTGCTCGCGGACCCGGGGGACAAGACGGAGATCCGCCTGATCTACGCGAACCAGACCACGGACGACATCCTGCTGTGGAAGGAGATGGACGCGCTGGCGGCCAAGCACAAGAACTTCCGCGCCTTCTACACCCTGGACCGCCCCCCCGCGGACTGGAAGATGGGCAAGGGCTTCGTGAGCGAGGAGATGGTGCGGGGGAACGCGCTGAAGCCGCAGAAGGACACGCTCGCGCTCATGTGCGGCCCGCCCATCATGCTCGAGAAGGCCTGCGTGCCCAACCTCGAGAAGAACGGCTACTCGAAGGACCAGATGGTCTTCTTCTAGGGCGCCTCCCGGACGAGGTACCGGGGTCCCGGGGTCCCGGGGTCGGCCGCGTCTCGGCGCACGTGGTCCGGGCGTGTTGCGGCGTGCAGGTGCCCACACACACTACATAGGGGCCGTTGCCTCCACGCAACCCGCGCGGAACGCCGACGTGCGTCACTGTGACACAGAGATCGTACACACCACCGCATCACACGGTCGCGCAGGGGCGAACTTGGGTGCGTGCGTGCTGCGCCGCTGCAGCGCCTGTCGCCGCCGTCACCGGCGCCCGCCCCGCCCGCGCCGCCCCCCACGCGCGCGGGGCACGAACTGCGCCTCCGTCGGCGGCGCGGGCTTCTCGGTGTTGAGCAGCTGCAGCACCGCGCTCACCACCTGCCCGCCGGCCTTCCAAATGTCGAAGTCGCTGTTCTCCATCTTCGCGAGCAGCAGGCGGTCGAGCTGCCCGCGGATCGTCTTGAAGAGCACGGCCGTGCGCGGCGGGCACTTGAACTGGTGGTGGTCGACGCGCACCGTGCCCGCGCCGTGCTGCACCGTGATCTGCCCGCCGAACAGCAGCAGCGCGTACGGCGTGATCGTCGTGCAGTCCCGGAGGAACACGCCGCTCGTCTGGACCTTCTCGTTGTACACCAGGTGGCTCGTCTTGAACCCCTGGACCTCGAAGTTCACCGACGACGGGTGGATTTGCACCATCTCGTCCGCCCCCGAAATCACCGACCTGCAAATGAGCCGTGGCGGAGCCGGAGGCCCCCCCCGCCGCGCCGGCGGCACCTCGATGCGCGCCACGTTCGGGTACATCCCCGCCGTGAGCACCGCCTTGACCAGCTTCCTGCTGCTCGAGTTGACGTTGGCCAGCTCCAGCACCTCCCCGACAGCGTACCCGCGCCCGCCCCGGCCGCCCCCGCCTGACCCGTTCGCCTTGTTGCGGCCCGTCAGAAAGCCTGCGTCGAGCAGCAGCTGCCGGAACTGCTGGCGCAGGTCCGCGATCCCCTGCAGCGCCTTCATCGACAGGAAGTTGTCTTGGCAGAACTGGCGCTCCGCCCCCTTGCCCTGGCGCCGGACGTCCTCCCACGCGTCGAACGCGTCGACGACGGCGAGGTGGTCCGACTGGTCGCCGGCGAACGAGCGCTTCGCCGCGTCGGCCTCCTCGCGCTTGTCGAGCGGGCTCACGAACGGGCTCCGGGAGCTGAGCGCCGCGGCCACCGTCAGGCACGGGTCCAGGCAGCGCAGCACGGCGGCGTACAGGATCATCTTGCCGAGGCGCGCGTCGACGGGGAGGTTCGCGAGGTGCTGTCCGAGCGGCGTGAGGCGCTCGTGCGGGTCCAGCGCGTCGATCGACCGCAGGGCCTTGATGGCGCTGGCGATGGCCTCGTGCGAGGGCGGCTCGATCGCGCGCGAGAGGAACCCGTCGACGCCGCCCTCGATCAGCGTCGGCCCGAGGAGCTTGATCTGCAGACAGAGCCCCTCGAGAGGCACGCGCTTGATCTCCGGGAGCTGGTACTCGACGAAGACGTGGTCGTGCACGTACCGCGTGAACAGGCGGTAGCACACGCCCTCGGACACGCGACCTGCGGGCGGGGAGGGCGGGTGCGCGGGCGCGTGTCAGGCGGAGAGCTTGCGAGGCGGGCGGCGGTCGTGGTGTGGCGGTGCGGGGCGCACCGGCGCGGCCGCGGCGCTGGCGTGCGCTGGCGCGGGACACCCAGCCCTCGAGGAGCATGCACATGTGGTTGTCCGGGTTGTATCCGTTCTCCTTGGCGCGCCCCGCGTCGACGACGAACACCACGTCGTCAATGGTGATCGACGTTTCCGCGATGTTGGTGGCGATGACGATCTTCCGAACGCCCTTCGGCGGCCGGTTGAAGATCGTGTTCTGCTGCGCCGTGGACAGCGTCGAGTGCAGCGGGATCAGCCACTGGCCGTTGTCCGTCGCACTGCGGACCCCCCCGTCGGCCCGACACAGGTCGTACAGCTTCGAGATCTCCATCAGGCCCGGCAGGAACACCAGGACCGCGCCCGGACGCGGGGACTTGACGATGTTCTTCAGCACCGCCAGCATCAGCTCGTAGTTGAGGACGCTCTGCTCCAGCAAGTTGATCGCGTCGATGGTGTCCTTGCCGTACCCCTGCGACGCGAGCTTCTGGTACGCCTGCTGCTCCGCGGGGTCGGGCTTGCCAGTCTTGCGGCACCAGTCGGACCCGGGGCTCGGGCGGTACTGCAGCATCTGCACCACGTCTTCGAGATACTGCTCCTTGACTGGGAACGTGAACCCCGGGATCTCGAGTGCCCTGGTGCCCTTCCCGAAGTACTTCTGGAACTTGCCGGCGTCCAGCGTCGCCGACATCAGCACGCAGCGCAGGTCCGGCCGCTTGTGCAGCAGCTCGCGCAGCAGGACGAGCAGGAAGTCGGAGTCCAGGGATCGTTCGTGCACCTCATCCACTATGACGTGCGTGACGCCCACCAGGCCCGGGTCGTCGACCAGTCTCCGCAGCAGGACCCCCGTGGTGCAGAAGGTGCACTTCGTTGCCCTCGAGGTCTTCGACTCCAGTCTGATTTGGTACCCAATGGTGCTGCCCAGGGTCTCGCACCGCTCCGCGGCGACGCGGGCCGCGACGGACGTCGCCGAGATCCGCCGCGGCTGCGTGCACACGATCGAGACCTCCCCCCCCTTCCCGGCGTCGATCCACGACTCGAGGATGAACTGCGGGACCTGCGTCGTCTTCCCGCACCCCGTCTCGCCCGCAACGACGAGCACCTGGCTGTCCGCGATCGCGCGAATCACGCGCTGACGCTCCTTCCACGCGGGCAGCCGCTCCCGCTGCGCGCGCATGGTTGCAACCTGCGCGAACGCGGCGCCGTGTGCGCTGCTGGCTCAGCGGAGCGAGGCGACGTGGTGGGCACACAGCACGCGGGGTCGTCGCAGGGGACACGCACGTCCTTGTCGCCGGAGCTGCGCCACCTCTGCAGGTTCTCCAGCAGCCGCTTGCTGTCGTGCTCGCCGTGTTTGCTGAGCAGTTCCGCGCGGTCCCGCTCCAGCTCGACCCTGCGCTTCTCCCGGCGCAATCGGATCTCCTCCTCCCGGTCAACCTCCTGGAACCCGAGGCCCATGAGATGCTTCTCCGCCTCCGCAATCCCCGAGTCCTCCGCGTCGGGGTCCGCCGCCGGGTCGGCCACGGCCGCGGCGGTCCTGCGGCTGCTGGACGCGGCCACGGGGCCGACGTTCACGACCTTCGGACGCCCCTCGCCCTGGCTGGCCTGCCCTTGATCGCTAGCGACGGTCTCCTGCGGCGTGTCCGCATCGTCTTGCGCTTCGTCGTCCTCGTCGTCCAACGCGAAGATGTCTGCGCCGTCGTTCGCTGCGGCCACGACGTCTGTCAGCGCCGCCTTGGCGTCCCTGAGCAGCTGCGTCGAGTTGTCGCGGATCCAGCCCGTCAGCTCGTGCAGGAAGGGCTGCCCGCCTCGGCTCAGCTCGCAGGCCTGCTTCGTCACAGCAGCGTCGAGGGCCGCCTTATTGAGCAACGTCAGCCTGGGCGCGTCCACCGAGAGCGACCTGCAGCGCACCCACACATGGCGACAGGTGTCGCGAACGTCATCAACCCGTCGGTGCGAGCGCGGCGGCGACGGCGCGACGGTGCATGCCCGTGTGTCCCGCCACGCAGGGCCGCGTACTTTGGGGGCACGAAAGGGTACAGCCCGCGGCCTTCAAACACCACGGTGAGCGTCCCCGAGGCTTCCGCGCGGGGCCCCTGCTCCTCTGCCCCCGCCATCCACCCCCCGCCCTTGACCTTGCTGTGCCCGCCCCCCGCCCCACCTCCCGCCCTCTTGCCGCCCTCCCGCAACAGCCCAGGCAGCACGACGGGGAGCACAACGCCGCTGTAGTCCGGGTACACCTCCAGCCCAGCCTCCTGCGCTCCGAGATCGTCGAACGCACGTGTCAGACACGACCGCGACGCGTCAGAACCCGCTATCAGTCAATGTATGTTCCTTGCAAGAATGATATCTCACCTCTGCGAAAATCGACCCGAGAGCCTCGATCTCCAGGTCCTTCTGCTCCGTGCACGCGTCCCCCACGACCCCTCGGTCCACCGCACCGTCGCCCCACCCGTACTCGGCCCCCAGGGTCTCCTGTGCCGCCGCCGCCGCCTCGCCCTCACCCGGCCCCTCCAGCCGCGCGAGCTCCGCGCATGCGAACCCCAGCATCGCCATCACGCCGCCCTTCGACCGCGCCGCCGCGCGCGCCACCTCGCCCGGAAACCCCCCCGCCACGAGCAGCGCGCCTATGACTGACTCGTCCTTGGCACCAACCCTCTCCGGCGTGACCTCCCGCAGCTCCTCCTCGACCAGCCGCGGCCCCGCGTCCTCGCCGCCCTCGCCCTCGTCCGCCGCCGCCGCCTCCCGCCCGCTCGCCCGCCACCGCCTCTTCTTCGCCGCCTCGGCCACCTGACCACGGAACGCGGGGGGGAGTTCCTTGTCCGGGACCGACAGAATCAGGTAGTCCAAGCACCGCCCGAGCCGCCGCTTCTTGAACTCGTTGAACGCGTGCAGGTGGTCCAGCTCGGCCTCCGCCTGCGCCTCCGTCGCGTCCCACGCCTCCTGCGCCAGACCTTGCGAGAACCCCTTCTTCGACACCAGCTCCCGCATGGTCTTCTCGCGCATGTCCTCGCGGTTCACGAGCCGCCCGCCGGGCGCCGGGACCGGCGGCGGCGCCGCGGGCGCCCCGCCCCCGCCAGCGACGTCCATCTTGGCAAGCAGCGAGTGCACCATGTCCTGGTTCTCCTGGGACATGTGCACGCGCTCCGTGGTGTCGCCGCCCCGCGCCCGCCGCGCCCCGCGCCGCCGCGGCCCCCGCGCCCGCCGCGCCCCCCGCGGCCCCCGCGCCCGCCTCCCCTGCAGCGTGGCGGAGGGGCAGCGCTGCGCGCTTGGTTGGCGGCGTGGGAGGGGGGTGTGGGGGGGCGCGCGTCGGGAGATGATGTGAGGAGGCGGGCCTTGCCTGTTGTGTACTCCGCCGCGGCGGTTGGGCCCCATCGCGCCTCGCTTGGCCCGGCGTGCAGGACTTGGTGCGGCGCGGGGAGGGCCTGGCCTGCTGTGTGCCGCGCGAACCTGCACCGGTGTCGATCACGCCATCCAACCGCAACTTTCGGAGCAAAAAATTAGGAGAAGGTGGACGGCACGAGCGTCGTCTAGCTGCCGTATGCAGCACGCGCAGTTGTGCGCCGCGTTATGGCTGTTACGCGCTCTAGACAAGCTTACTGCATCGGTCGCCCATCCCTCTACCGGGCGGGGCACGGCGGCCGGCCCCTCGATGGCCCCAGGGATGCCTCTCTTGCGCCACCAGGGCCCTCCTGCTTCTACCGCCACGCGCGGCGGTTTCAAGGCTTGGTCGCCGCGGACGACGCGTTCGCTACCGTCCTTGGCCCGAGAGCGATGCATGACGCTGATCTAATGCGGGTGACAGGTCAGAACCGATGCGGAATCCCAATGAGACTGTAGGCAGCAACTAGGGCGACGGGATCGGGGGGGTTCCCGGCGCGTGGGGGATGGACGGGTTGCGGACGTAGCTGGAAATGATCCCGAGCAAGGCCAGCTTGGTCGCCACGGGCGTGCCGGTGGCCCTCGACCTGCTGGCGGGCGTCATCTTCGTCCAGCACACGGTCGCGTGGTGAGTGCCCGCCGGGCCTTTCGACCCATCGGCGACGCCGACAGACGCGCACACCCGGACTTGACTGGCTCCCCGCGTGCGGTTCCGCGCGTCAGGAGTGCGCTCCGGCCGCGAACGCCGCGCACAGCGTCCCCGCGCCAGGGCGGGCAACCCGCGGCGCCGCGGTCAGCGCCCGTTGCAGATTACGAGCGCCGCGGGCGGACGATGCCCGCCGAAACCATCGCGCCCAGACGGCCTTCGTCGTTCCCGGGTGCTTCGTACGCCGGAGCAGGGGGAGCCGTTGCCTGCCGCACTAGTACTAGTCCCCGCGCAGGACACGCGACTGACGGGGAGGCGACGCTCGCGCGCGAACGTCCGTCACAGTGACACTCCCGGGCGTCTTGTTCGCAGGCGCCGTTCGCGCGTTCGCCGGCCGTCGAGGCCGCACGTATGGCCTGCTCTGGCCATCGCCTCGGCCGCCGCGTGGGAGCTCCTGCTTGCGATCTGCGAGTCGACGTATTTCGAGTGAGTTCGTCCCCAGCACAGCCCCGCCGCGACGTCGTCGCATGCCCTGCCTGCAACGCGCCGCGCGGTTGCCAAGGACCACCGGTGTGCTGCGGCAGCGCGGCGTCGCCCCGAGGTGTTACGGGGCCGCGTGCGCAGCGCGAGCCGCTCACTTCTTGGCGTCCCTCCCGCCGTGGCAACTCGCAGGAAACTGTACGATGCGGGCCTGGCGCTGGCCGCGACGGCGGTGTACGCGCCCATGGCGTGGAGCCTCTCCCTGGGCCACTGGGGCGGGTACCTCACGGTCGCGCTGGCCTGCCGCCTCTCCTGGATCATATCCCTGCGCGTCGCGTGGTCGGGCGTCATCGTCGTCGCAGGCACGTGGCGCGCTTGCCCGCGCCCGTCCGCTATGCAACCACCGGCCCCTGCTCGCGCGCCGACTCCCTCACGCGCCCCCGCCCGCCGCGCAGGCATCGTGTCCGACACGCTGGGCTTCATGAACAGTCCGTACCTGGGCCTCACCGCCGCCGCGAACGTCAGCCTCGCACTGGCAGCAGGCCTCTTCCTCGGGGCAGCTACGACGGGCACGCAGCCGCAGACGGCGCTCCCGACGTCCCGCTCGGTACGTCCGACGCCGCCGCCCCGCGCATCCCAGACGCGACCGCCGCCACGCGCTGTGCGTGCTCGCGACATGATGCTTCCCGTGACAGGGAGCGCAGCCGCGGCTCGCACGGGCGCCTCAGCGGCGCGGGCATGTTCCCGCCCTCGTGCGTCGTCTTCCTGCAACTCTCCACGGATCGGAGGACGGCTTTTCTCGACTCCCGTTCACCAACATGCTCGGTTGTGTGCGCTGCACCCTGCAGAGGCGCGGGGAGCTCGAGGCGCCGCTTCTGGGCGAGCGCGCTGCCTCCGACGCGGGGCGCGACGAGGCGGAGGTCCGCGACGTCCTGTTCGTCGTCGACTGGGCCATGCAGGCCCTGGCGTCGCGCTGGCTCTTCATGTCCGTCACGCCGATGTTCAGCGCGGCGCAGCGGCGGCAGCTGGGCCCGGGCGACATGCCCGAGCTGCGCGGGAACCTCGCGACGACGGAGTGCGCGGACGCGCTGTGGGCTGCGTGGGAGGCGGAGGTGACGCGCGCGCAGAAGCAGGAGACCTCGGCGGGGGGCGCGGGGCGCGCGCCGGAGTGGGGCAAGGCGGTGGAGCCGGACGCGTGCCCGGCGATGCCGCGCGGGGCGTCGCTGCTCCGCGCGATGCTGGGGGCGTTCGGGGGGGAGTATTGGCTCCTGGGGGGTCTCAAGCTCCTGGGGGACTCGCTGAACTTCGCGGCGCCGATGCTGCTGCACCAGCTCGTGCGGTACATGCAGGAGGTCCCCGTGGAGGTCCCGGAGCGGGCCGGCGGCGCGGGCGCGGGCGTGCCGTGGTGGCTGGGCGGCGCGCTGGTGGAGCTGGGCAAACACGGCCGCCACAAGCCCGCGTGGTGGGAGCGGTGGGGCCTCACGCCGCTCGAGCTCGGCGTGGCGTACGCGGTGCTGCTCGGCGCGACGTCGCTGCTCAAGGCGGTGCTGAACACGCAGTACAGCTTCCGGATGGGCGCCATCCAGTGCCGGCTGCGCGCGGCGCTGACGTGCGCGGTGTGCCGCAAGTCGCTCCTGGTCAACGTGGCCAACCTGTCGGAGTTCTCCTCGGGCGGCGTGCAGACGCTGATGAGCGTGGACGCGGACCGCGTCGTCGGGCTGGCGCTCTCCTTCCACGAGCTGTGGTCGCTGCCGCTGCAGATCGTGGCCGCGCTGTTCCTGCTGTGGACGCAGGTCCGCGGCGCGTTCCTCGCGGGCCTCGCGCTCGTCGTCCTGATGATCCCCGCGAACCGCTGGCTGTCGACGCGCATCGGGCGCGCAGCGCAGCGCATGATGATGGCCAAGGACCGGCGCGTGCGGCTGGTCACCGAGATGGTGGCCAACATGAAGCAGATCCGCATGCTCGGCTGGGAGGCGCCCGTCGCGTCGCGCGTGCAGCACCACCGCGGCCGCGAGCTCCGCGCCCTCAGCGTCCACAAGTACCTCGACGCCGTGTGCGTCTTCTTCTGGGCCGCGACGTCGCTCGCGTTCAGCGTCTCGACCTTCGTGCTCTACGCCGCGCTCGGCCACAAGCTCACCGCGTCCGCGGTGTTCACCTCCATGGTCCTCTTCAACACCCTCATCGCGCCGCTCAACTCCTTCCCGTGGGTCATCAACGGCGTCGTCGAGGCCATGGTCTCCGTGAACCGCCTCAGCCACTTCCTCCGCGCCCCGGAGTGCTCTCGCAGCTGGAACCTCGCCAAGGCGCCGCACGCCGCGGACTGCGGGGATGCGTCGCGCGCAGACGCCGGCGACGCCCTGCCGCCGTCGCGGATGGCCACGCTCCCCGAGGTCCTCGAGAGCGTCACGCCGCCCCGCGGCGGCCGCGCCTCGCCGCCGCCCTACCTCTCCAAGCACAGCGCGGGGTCCACGGGCACTGTCGAGAGCGCGCGGATCGACGCGGAGGCCGACGCGTCGCCGCCGGCGCCGGTGGCGTCCTTCTCGGACGCGTCCTTCGCGTGGGCGCCCGGCGCCGCGGACGGCTCCCCGCCGCGGCTGGTCCTGCGCGACCTGCGGCTGTCCGTCCCGGAGGGTGCGCTGGTGGTGGTCACGGGCCCCACGGGGTCGGGGAAGTCGTCGCTGCTGCACGCGGTGGTCGGGGAGCTGTACATGGAGTCCGGGCGGCGGCACGCGCGCGGGAAGATGGCGCTGGTGCCGGAGGAGCCGTGGCTGGTCCGCGGGACCATCCGCGACAACATCACGATGCACATGCCGTACGAGGAGAGCAAGTTCCGCGCGGTGGTGCGGTCGTGCGCGCTGGAGGCGGACCTGGACGGGTTCCTGCGCGGGGCGCACGAGACGGTGGGCGACCGCGGGGTGACGCTGTCGGGCGGGCAGCGCAAGCGGATCGCGCTGGCGCGCGCCCTGTACTCGGAGGCGGACACGTTTTTGATCGACGACATCCTGGCGGCGGTGGACGCGAAGGTCGCGAACTGGATCTTCGAGAAGACGATCCTCGTGCTGCTGCGCGCGGGCAAGACGGTCCTGCTGTGCACGCACACCACGCGCCCGCTGGCGTCGGCGGACCTCGTGGTGGAGCTCGAGGCCGGCCGCGTGGTCAAGGTGACGAGCAGCGCGGCGGCGGTGCCGTGGGCGCACGCGTCCCACGACTCCCGGCTCGAGGGCGCGGTGGGAGTGTCCCCCGGGGGAGGCGCGTCGAGCGTCCGGCTGCTCGGAACCACGCTCCCGGCGCAGTACGGCGACTGGCAATCCATGGTCGAGGTGAGCGAGCGCGGCAACCGCGCGCGCAGACCGCACGCATTCGCGCCTGCGCATCCCTCCCCCGTCAAAACCCGCCTCTGTGTTGCTGGGCGCTTTTGCAGGCACCGTTCGCGGGCGCTCCTGACGACGACGACGGCAGCTCCGGCGACGAGCATCTCCTCTCGCTGCTCACCCCGCGCGACGGCTGGCGGCCCCTGCGCATGGAGGACGTTCCAGAGCTCTCGCTGGATGCACCGCCGTCTCCGAGCCCGCACGCCTCGCCCGTGGGGTCCTTCGCCGACGCCAGCACCCCGCTCAGCGCCACGCCACCGTCGCGGCACGCGCTGCCGGGCGTCCCGGAGGAGCGGCCCGCCGTGCCGCGGCACATCCCGGCCCCGCTCGTGCTACCGGAAGCCCCGGAGACCGAGCGCGACGCGGACGAGGGCAAGATCCTGTCGGTGTCCGGGCGCGTCCGCGACAGCGCGACGGGCGCGGAGGACCGCTCGCGGACGTCGACGATGGAGGATCTGCGGCACGCGCAACGGCGGCAGCGCCGCGACGGCACGGCGCGCGCCGCGAGCGCGGGGTCGCGGCGGAGCCCGGCGGGTCCCCGCGGACGCCGCGTGGGTCCGTACACGCCCACCGGAGCGACAGCAGCGAAGGCCCCGGCTCCGGGGGCGCGGGCGGGCCGTTGTCGACCGCCGCCAACTCTGGCAGCAACCCCGACGACAGCAGCGAGCACTCGAGCGACAAGGACGAGCGCGGCGGGGCGGCGGGGCCGCAGCCGCCATTCCCTGGCTCGGGCACGCAGGGCGAGGAGCGGCGCGAGGCCGGGCACGTGCGTCTGCGCGTCTACGTGTTCTACCTGGCGGCGGCAGGCACCCTCCTGTCGTGCTGCGTGCTGGTGTCGCTGGCGCTCATGCAGGCCACGCGGAACGCCGCGGACCTGTGGCTGTCGTTCTGGGTGACGAACGAGGCGGAGCACCCGGTCAATTACTGGATCACGGTCCTCCTGGCGATCTCGGCGTGCAACCTGGTCTTCACCGGGCTCCGCGCGGGGCTCTTCGCGGTCGGCGGGATGCGCGCGGCGCGCACGCTGCACCTGAACCTCATGCGCGCGCTCCTGAGCGCGCCGCCCACGTTCTTCGACGTCACGCCGCAGGGCCGCGTCCTGAACCGGTTCAGCAGCGACACGGCCACCGCCGACGACTCCCTGCCCTTCATCCTCAACATCTTCCTGGCCAACGTCTTCGCGTTCGTCGGCATCCTCGCCGTGCTCTGCTTCGCGCAGCCCCTCCTCCTCGCGCTGCTCGTCCCGCTCGGTGTGGCGTACCTGCTGACGTCGCGCTACTACCGCGAGGCGGCCCGCGAGATCCGCCGGCTCGACGCAGTCGCGCAGTCGCCGCTGTACGGGATCTTCACGGACCTCATCGAGGGCGGGCCGACGCTGCGCGCGGCGGGCCTGCAGCCCGCGATGATGGCGCAGGCTGTTGCCGCCGTCTGCACCGCCCAGCGCGCCGCGCTGGCCAGCGTGTCCGCCGCGCAGTGGCTCGCCGTGCGCCTCCAGCTCATCTCGGGCCTCGTCGTCATGGCGCTCGCCCTCCTCGCCGTCCTGCAGCACTGCGAGTTCATCCCCCAGACCAACGCCGAGGCCTCCGAGTCCGCGGGCCTCCTCGGACTCTCCCTCGCCTACGTCCTGCCCATCACGGGCCTCCTCAACGGCCTCCTCACCTCGGGCGCGGAGGCGGAGCAGGAGATCGTCGCCGTCGAACGCATCCTCGAGTACCTCCAGTACTGCGAGGCCTCCAGGGGGGCGCTCGACCCCCCCCCGCGGGGGGGCCTCTCGGCGCCCGCGAGCGGGTCGCGCGGCGGCTCGATGTCCGCGCACGTGAGCCGGCGCGAGATGGAGCAGCAGGAGGTGGGGCGCATCATGGCCTGCCGCGAGCTCCCGCTCCAGGGGACGATGCAGGAGCCGGCCGCGGAGATCATGAACGCCTTCTCGAAGCCGCTCCTGTGGATCAAGCGCAAGGGCGACGACATCGTGCGCGGCCTGCGCCGCAGCGCCACGGAGGGCGCCAGCGTGGCTGCCTCGGGACCCGACCACGGCGAGGAGGACTACACGACCCCCGGGTTCCTGCGGCGGCGGCTCGTGGAGCAGCACCCCGGCCTCGCGCGCGTGTTCGCGGGCGAGGGCAACGCGGGGTACAGCTGGACGCAGCACGACGACAGCAGCGTGGCCTTCACCAACGTCACCCTGTCCTACCGCGCGGGGCTCGCGCCGGCCCTGCGCGGCGTGACGTTCCGCGTGGCGTCGCACGAGCGCGTCGCGATCGTCGGGCGCACGGGCGCCGGCAAGAGCTCGATATTCGGCGCCCTGCTGCGGCTGTACCCCATCCAGCGGGGTAGCATCCAGATCGGGGGGCGCGACGCCGCGGAGATGTCGCTCAGCGACCTGCACGGCATGGTGGCGATCGTGACGCAGAATCCCTTCGTCATGGAGGGCACGCTGCGGGAGAACCTGGACCCGGAGGGGGTGCACGAGACGGGCGAGTTGGCCGAGGCGTTGTACGCGGTGCGGCTGTGGCAGCCGTTCCACGTGTCGGGCGGCGGGAGCGCGCTGGCCGGGAGCGCGCTGTCGCTCGGGGAGGGCGGCGCGGGGGGCTCGGCGTCGCGGCTGGAGGGTCGCCGCGGCGCCATTGTTCCGCAGACGCCGCGGCGCGGCGCGCTGTCGATGGCGCCGCTGAGCCTGGAGAGCCTGCAGCGGATCCAGCCGACGCCGCTGACGGCCGCGATGAAGTCGAGCCCCGAGGTGGAGGCGCTTCTGAGCACCCCCGTGCGGTCGGGCGTGCTGTCGCACGGGCAGCAGCAGCTGCTGGCGATGGCGCGGGTGCTGCTGCGGCGGCCGCGGGTGGTCCTGCTCGACGAGTGCACGAGCGGGATCGACCGCGCGACCGCGGCGTTCCTGCAGGTCATCCTGGAGCGCGCGCTGAGCCGCTGCACGATTCTGCGCATCGCGCACCGCCTGGGGAGCGTGATGGAGAGCGACCGCGTGCTGGTGATGCGGGGCGGCGTGGTTGCGGAGCAGGGCACGCCGCACGAGCTGCTCGCGCGGAAGAACAGCCTGTTCTCGGAGCTCATCAAGGCCGACCGGACGGTCAACGCTGGCGACCTGGCGTACTGAGGTTTTGGGGGTGGGAGGTTCGTGTGTCGTGGGGGGGGGGGCGCTGAACGACCTTGGGCTTTGCGGAGGGGAGGAATACCGCGCAGGTTCGGAGATAGAGCGTCTACATTCTAGTCAAGTCTATATACACCAATAGTACACAGATCTGGTTTTGATGAATTGGAACAGGCTCAGGCCAATGTCGCAAGGACGAGGCGTCTGCGCGCGCTGTGGTGTGCGACTGCGTGTGAGGATGCGCGTGTGCTGGCACCTCGCGGCAGGCCGCAAACCGCGCTTCTCTCAACCATGCCATGTGCTGGCCGCCGCGCCCCGTTCGGCGGCGCTCGTCGCGGTGCGCGCCGCGCCACCCTTCGCGATCTCAGGCCGGCGCATAATCCCGGCATGCTCGTGCGGTGAGGCACGGCGACGTCCGCGGCCTCACATGAGCGTCGGCCCGTGCAGAAGCAGCGCGTCCACCCACTCCCCCTCCGGGAGCGTGCCCGCGCGCTGCGGCATCACCAGCAGCGCCGACGCGGACCGCACGCTCAGCAGCCGCGACGACGCCTGCCCGCCCGTCGTGTGCGCCACAAAACACCCCCCCTCGGCGTCGAACGTCAACCCCGCACGGTGGTACTCCGGGCGCTCGGGGTCGAGCTTCGCCGTGAACCCGAGCTTCACCCGCACGCGCGGCAGCGTGCACGCGGCGTCGCCCTTGGCGCGCCCGAACCCCGCGAGCTTCTTCAGGCACGGCGCGACGGCGAGGTGGAACGTGACGAACGACGACACGGGGTTCCCCGGGAGGCCGAAGAAGTGGACGGGCGCGCCGTGCGTGCCGCCGGGGATCGTGGCGTACACGAGGGGCTTCCCGGGCTTCATGAGGACGCGGCCGAAGTGGATCGTGCCGCCCAGGGCGTCCAGCGCTGCCTTGACGTAGTCGCGGTCGCCCATCGACACGCCGCCGGAGGTCACGACGACGTGCGCGCCGCCTGCGTGAGCCCGGGGGACGCGGCGTGTCGCGGATCGAGGACGGAAGGCATGGGAGGCTGGTCGCGCGTACGTGTGCGTGATGGCGCGGGTGTGGGCGCGAGGGGACTTGCCGGCGATAGCGCCCTTGAGGGTGTCGATGAGGCCCTGGAGTGTGTCTGCGGCGATTCCGAGGTCCGAGATGTGCGCGCCGGACTGCTTCAGGAGCGCCACGAGGAGCGCGCGGTTCGAGTCGCGCACCTGCCCGGGCTTGAGCTCCGTGGCCGACGGGTCGACGACCTCGTCGCCCGTGGACAGCACCGCGACGCTCGGGGCGCTGTGGACCGGCACCTGCACCGCGCCCACCGTCGCGAGGATCCCCACCTGCGCGGCACGCGCGGGCGTCGCCAGATGCAGCCAAAGGGGCCAACCGGGCGCTCACGGGGCGGAACCGGACAGGAACGGGCGCCCGCGCACCTCGGGCGCTCCAATGTACTCCCCAGCGCACAGCACGGTCGTTCCCGCGGCCATGTCGCCGCCCACTTGCCGCACGTCGAGCCCGGGCGTGGCAGCGCTGGCAATCCGCACGCGGGGGACGCCGTCCGCGCCCGCGTCGAGCTTGACGGACTGCTCGACCATCACGACGGCGTCCGCACCTGCGCGGAGAGAGGCGAGCGCGGGGACGCAGGCGTCGAGCGAGACCACGCGGGTCCTTGGCGGCTGCGTCGCTGCTTGGGACGCCTGGCGCGTCAGAACGGCGCGGTCCCGGGCGAGCCGCGGGGGCCCACCAGCATGCTCGTGCAGGGCGGCGTCGGGCGGGGCCCGCACCTTCGGGGAGCGGGCTGCCCGTGGTGATGTAGGCGACCTGGCCGGGCGCGATGCGGTGGCCGGTCCCGGCGCCGGCGCGGACCTCCGCGACGACGGGGTACTCGCCCGGGCCGTCGGCGGCGACCACGGCGTACCCGTCCTTGATCGACGTCGGGTACTGCGGCAGGTCTTCGCGCGCGGCGACGTCGCCTGCCGCCACGCACCCCGCCACGGCCTCCAGCGGGCGCGTCGTCGCGGGCAGGGGCTCCGTGCGCGACAGGATGATCTTCTGCGCCTTGTCGACCGCGATCATCTCAAACGGGGATCGCGGGGCGCCCTCCACGGGGCCCATCGCACAGGTGTCGCCCATCTGGGATCAGCGCCCTGTGCACGCGCGGCGAGGACCGGACGGCGGCGCCGCGTGCACCGCCGGAAATGGGTGTTACGGTCGGGGCCGTGCCGGCGCAGCGCGAGGAGCAGGGCGCGGCGCCGACGCACGGGGGCAGGGGCCGTGCGCGAGGTTGGTTGAGCGTCGCCGGGCGCCGCGGGAGAGTCGGTGCGGAGGATCACGCGGCGCTCTGAGCAGCTGAATGTCAAATGTGCCGTGTGCGGCGGCGCGCGGGGCCCCAGGAGCCACGACGGCGTGTCCGCTGCCGATGTGTCGACTCACTCCCCTTCCGGAACACGGAGCGCGAACGGGCCGGCGTCGCTGCCTTCGCGGGGCTCGAATCCGCCGAAGAGTATTCCGTCTTGGCAGCGCGGCGGTCGCGGGGCCCCTCGACCCCGCTGGAGAGGCCAACGCCGCACGTTTCTGAAGAGCTCACTGCCGGGCAGAGGCCAGGGGGCTTCTCACGGGGGGGGGGTCGGGCGGCTCAAATACGGGCGCGCGCGCGCCGCCGCGACACTCGTTCATCGCGGTGGATTAACAAGCTTCGAGCAGGCAACGCGTATCCTCGTAAAACACAGTCGCGACGATGTTCAAGTCCCTCGCCGTGCTCGGCCTCGCTGCCGGCATGCTCGTCAACGGTGCGCTCCATACACCGTCTTCGCGCGGCCAATGCGCGCGATAAATACCAGATCCCCCCGTCCGATGCCGCAAACGCGCTTGCGTCCCCGCACGCGCCGCGGACGGGCGCATGCCTCCCTGGCAGTGTGGCCCCACCCCTGGGGGCGGCCTCCGCGCCGCCCACTCCCGCGTATTCCACGCCCAGGGATCCCGCAATACCACACGGAGTCCGGCGCGCGCCGCAGTTGCGCCTTGCGCGCGCCATGATGCGCCTGCGCCCCCAACCTGCCCTGTTCGCACGGCCCGGTGCACGGGGGGCCGCCCGCCGCCCCTTCCCGCGCCAGACGCGCCGCACTCCGCGCGTGAACGCCTCTGCTTGATCTAGGGAGCTCTCCTCGCGCCAGAAAGCGCCGTTTTCTGCGTTCCACGCCCCGGCGCGTGCGAGGCCTCGCCTCAAAGGTTCCCTGGCGACGCTGCGGCCCGTGGCGCTCGCTGCGGGGCATTTCCGCGCATTCAGCGCCGCCAGAGCTTCGCGACCCCTACGTCGCCGCACCCCCAGCGCGTTTTCTCGCGCCCGCATCGTCGTACGGCGCCGCACGTGCCGCCCCTGGCCGCGGTGGGGCCCATCACGTTTCCCCCCGCGCGCGCGCGTGTGCGGCGCCCGCCCCGCGCTCCCGCGGCCCGCACGATCCCTCTCGCCCCCGTGCGTCGCCCGCCGCGCCCGCCCGCGCTGAGCGGGCAGCCATTCACCGCAGCGGGCGCGAACGAGCTGTTCAGGGCAACTGCACGGCCCACCCCCGCCCTGTCCGCCGTGGTGCTCGCAGGAGCGATGGCGCAGCCCGCCGCCGCGCACCAGGCGGAGAGCAACTTCCTCGTGGACGGCAACCCCCTGGCGGTTGGCAACGTGGGCGTGGCGGTGAACGTGGTCAAGTCGACCAACGGCGTCACCGACTACACGCAGTGCAGCTCCACCCTCGACGGCACCGCGTGCCCCGTGATGAAGTACTGCGACGGCTGCGTCGCGGACTCGGTGACGTACACCGTCACGGACCCCACCGCCGCCGCCGGCGACACCTACACTGTCAAGGTGCGCCATGCCACCACCCGCGGGAGCGCAGCGCGCGCAGCACCGCGCCGCCTCCGGGAGCTGCCAGCCGCGCGGTCGTGTCTTGCACCACACGCTCACGCGAGTCCTCCCCGCCCTCCCCTGCCCCCGCAGATGTGCTACGCTGCGGCGTCGCGCGTCAACAAGGTACGCATCGCGCCCCGAACGCCCGCCCCCCGCGCTCCCCGGTGCAGCCCGTCCTCGCCACGCGCACGCGCAGTGCACGGTTCTCAGCGCGCAGCCTTTGTTTCCGTTGGGTCTGCAGAAGTGGAGGAAGTTCAAGGATGACTTCGGCAAGGACAAGTCGTGCACGTTCAAGGTCAAGGAGCTGTCGTCGACGGACCTCGGCGTGCAGCAGTCGTACTCGATGCCCGCGAAGCTGGGCAACGGGTTCACGTACATCATCGCGGTGAAGAAGTCGGCGGCGACGGGCAAGAACACCGAGTACGGCGACATGGGCGCGGGCTACTTCAAGGCCGAGACGATCGACACCGTGGACGACGGCCTGATCGCGGGCGTGGCGGTGATGAGCGTCTTCTCGGTGCTGCTCTTCATCGGGTTCTTCACGTGGGAGTTCCTCTTCAAGAAGAAGAAGAACTAAGTCCAGCGTCCTGCGACGGCGGGAGCGCGGGCGTGGCGGCGGTGCGCGCGCGCGCAGGTCGGTGCTGCGGGGGACGGACCGTTGTACATACTTAGCTGCAGGTGATGCCCGTGCACAGACGGGCTGTGAGGCATCGAGCGTCGCCGCACGAACGCGTCTCACGGCGCCCCCGAATGAGAGGCCTCGCGCTGCATGTTCTGGTCCTTGCGGACACTGGGTTGCGCCAGGGCGGCTGTGCCAGTGCCGGCGCCACGCAGCCCACTCGCCGTCCCTGGCCTGCTCCCCAAGCAAGGAAAAGGCCCTCTCGCAGCGGCGCCGCCTCGCGGCGGCGGTCCCATCTTGGCCGTGGGACGACGAAACGAAGAACAAAGAATCGCTCACAGCCTGAAGTATTGTAGCCCTGAGTCCTCAGCGTTGTACAGTCCTTGAGCAGACTCGTGTTCGTCATACTCAACGTCCTCGACGGTAGCAGCAGCCGCATTCCACGCACACTGTCTCTGCGGGGGCCTGCGGCGCTGCGCGTCGCGCGGTCCTCAATCGCAGCGGGGCGCGGCATGCTCCCGGTGTACGAACTGCGTCAAGGAGCACTGCGAGTCGCACGCCTTGCCCGTGCACGGACGCCCGCAGAGCACGCAGTGCGTCCCCGGCGCCGCGCCGCGCTCCACGCCCCCGAGGATCAGATTGACCTTGATGATGTTCTTGGTCGCGCGCGCCGCCGCGCTCCCGGGGCGCCTGGCCGAGCCGCTGTCGAACCGCAGCGGGCGCCTCACGGCCTCCTCGAACGCCCCCTGGAACCGCTCCTGGTACAACTTCCTGCAAGGAGCGAGGCACAGCGACGCCGGGTCACGGACGGCGTGCACGTGCGCATTGCGACACAACTCCCGCACACACCCTTGCTCATCCGGCAGCGGCGTGCCGCGCAGACGCACCTCATTGCCTCCCGCGCCTCGCTGCGTCCCGGTTTCGTCGACCCCAGCGTCCCCCGCTCGATCGACGCCCGCATCACTTGTTGTGGAGACACGAGCGGCTCGCCCGGCCCGCCCTCGGCCCACCACGGCCGCGGCACGACCTTGGACGACACGCTCGGCGGCGTCCGCCCAGGCGACCGCCCCCCCGGCCCGCCGCTGCCGTACTCCTCCGTGGGGGTCCCGGGAGACACCCCCGCCCCGCGCAACGTCGCCGCGGGCGTCCCCGGGACCAGCACGCGCGGCGCCGGCGTGACATTCGCACGCCGCGGCGGGCTGCGCGCCGCGGGCGCGTGCCCGTGCTGCGCCGCCGCCGGCCGCCTCATCGGCCTGTCGTAGCTGCGCGCTGCGGGTGCTGCCTCCCGCCGCTGCTTGCGCACCTCCTCGAACCGCTGCGCGGACGCGCGGTACGGCTTCAGCGACGCGACCTTGGGCGGCGCAGCGGCCTTCAGCCTCACCGCCGCCTCCTCCGCGGCCCTCCGCACCACCGCGTTGATCACCTGCGGGCCCCCCGCGCGCCGCCGCGGCGGGGGCGCGCCCCGCGCGATCGCGTCGATCTCGCGGCACATGGCGCGCGTAATCTCCGACTGTTCCTGCTCGAGCTGCCGCCGCGCCGGCATGCCCGCGATCGGCGGCGGGGCGTCCGACGCATGCCCCAGGCGCGTCTCGTGGCCCTGGCGCTCGTACAGCCCCGGCGCGCCGCGCGACGCGACGTGCAGCGGGAGGCGGTTGCGAGGCTCCGGTTTGGCGGCGGCGCGCGGCCGCGCGGGCCCGCGCGCAGGCAACGGCGGCGCGCGCGCCCCCGTGGGCTTGGGTGCCCGCGGCTGCGGCGGGGCGTCGGCGCGCGCCGCAGGCGGCTTGGCGTCGCGGGAGTGCCCCATCGCGGACACGGGGCGGGAGTTGTCGCGCGTGGAGGGGCCGGAGTCGAGCACGTGGCTCGCGAGGCGGCTCTGCGGGCGCGTGCTGTTGCCGCCTTCGTCCGTCGGCGCGTGCCGCGACGCCCCCGCGTCCGGCGAGCCCGCCTCGCTCGCGTCTGTGTCGGCAGCGGCGCCGGACGTCTCCGCGGGGAGCTCCGCGTCCGCGACGGGGCTGTGCGGCGGCGACGGCGACGCGACGGCGGAGCGTGTTTGTGCCACCACCTCCTCCTGTGGCGTCACCGGCGCGGGCGTCGCCGCCGGCGCCCGCTCCTCCATCGGCGCAGCCGTAGCCACTGCCTCCTCGGGCGTGCGCGGCGCGGGGGACGCGACGGCGGCGACGGGCGCCGGTGCAGGCGTGGGCGCCGCGGTCGGCACCACGTACGCCGGGGACTCCGCGACGTCCGCCGGGCCCGCTGCTTCCACGGCGGGCGCGGGCGTCCGCACCTCCGACGGCTCGCCGCTGGCGGGCGACGCGGCAGGGGAGGCGCCGCTGCCGGCAGACGACGCACGCGGGGGCGGCGACGCGTCCGACGGCTCCCAGGGCAGCCGCTCGGGGGAGTCCGCCGCGGCGCTGTGCTCCGAGCTGCGCTTGCTACCCGCCTGCGAGGCCGCGCTGTCCAGCGCTCGGCTGTCGTCCCGCATGACGCCCTCCTCGTCATCGTCCTCCGGGTGTGCAGGTTCGAAGTTCGACGGAGCGTACGCCGCCGCGTCGACCATACTGTCCACCGCGGCGTCGATCGCCGTGCTCGCGTTGCCAAGCGACGCCCACCCGGCGGAGCGCCCCGACGCCTCCCACGGCACCTCGCCGCTGCGCAGCACGTCGCTGTCCGCGCCAGCACTGCCCTCGCGCGACGCCTGCGCCGCCGGAACCGGCGACGGCACCGCCTCGACACCAGCAGGCCCCGCCGCCCCCAGCGCGATGTCCACCCAGTTCCCAGGCGACCCCGGGGGCGTCCCACGCGACCCCCCCTCCTCTCCCGCGCTTGCGGCCACGCCACCCGTCGCAACGGGGTCCCACTCGTCGCCGCCCTCCGCGAACGCGAGCGTGCGCGGCTCCATCGCCCCCGCGTCGCCCGGGGTCCCCGGCTGCTCCCACGGCAGCGCCAGCGACGCGCCGGTGCCGTCCAGGTCGACGGCGCACATCGCGCCGACCGGCGCGCCGGACGTGCGCGGCGCGGCGCTGCCCGCGGAGCTCTCGAGTGGGCCCGCCTCGGCGTCGGGCTCCTCGGCGATCGGGGGGATCTCGCCCACCGCGGGGGGGGAGTCGGCCACTTCGATGACGTCAGGCGTGGGGTCGGCGGCCCCGCCTTCCATCGTCATCTTGAACCACTCCGGCATCGACCCGGACGAGCCCTCTGGCGTCAGCGGGAGCGACGCGCGCCCCCCCGACGCGTCGCGGCGCTCCCGGATCGGCGTCGGCGTCTCGCTGTCAGGGGGGGGGGTCTCGAGCGGCGCCGCCAGCACGGGCTCGGGCGCGGCCGCCTTCGCAGCGGGCGCCTCGTCCTCAGGGTCCTCCGCGGGCGCAGCGGCAGGCTCCGGGCTCGCCGGGGCGGCCGGGTGCGCACCCTGCAAGTCGCCGGGCGCTGCGGCGTCGTGCGCGCCCTCCGCATCGCCGCCGGAGGGCTCCGCGAGGTTCGCGGTCATGCGCCGCGTGGCCACGAAGCTCTCGAAGTCGTCGGAATACGCGTCCTCGCCCTCGTCCTCGCCCGAGCCCTCGCTGGCGGGAGCGGGGCTCGCCGCAACAGCGTCGGTGGGCGCCGCTTCGACCTGCGTGCGGGCGGTCCCGCGCCTGCTGGCCGCGAGGCTCTCGAAGTCCTCCGAGTACGCGTCCTCGCTCGCGCTGGCATCCTCAACGGCCTCCCGCAGCACGGCGTGGTCTGCGGCAGGGGTGCCGGGCGCGCCGGACGCGGCCCGGTCCTCCGCTGACGGCGCGAGGCTGTCGTGGTCCTCGAAGTCCTCGGCGTACGCGTCGCCGTCCTCGAAGTCGTCCGAATAGTGTTCCGACTTCATCGCCAGCGGGGCCACGGCCGGTGCGTCCACCAGGTGGCCCGATTCCCCCGCGCCGTGCTTGAGCGCGCCCTCTGCATCGACAGCAGGCGGCGTGGCAGGAACCTTGCGCCAGTGCCTCCGCGGCGCAGCGCTCGTCTGGGCCACAACAGGGCCACGGGCTCCGGCTCGGGGAACGCGCTGGCGCAGCGTCGCACCTGGGGCCGCTTCAGTGTAATCACCATGGTCTGAGGCATCGTGCACGTCGAGATGACGGTCCGGCGTCCGCCCTCTGCCCAGCTTGCCCACCGCCTCCATTGCGCTTGACGCCGGGCCAGCCCCGCGGTCTCCGCAGCCCACACTGCGCTCCCTGCAATGACATTTGAGCGAGCTTTGAGCACGCACGCTGCTAGAGAGCGGAAACCCCGCAGGCGCCGCGCAGGCGCTGAGTGCTTCCTTGAACACGGTCACCTCGAGCGCGGCCTCCTGGGCCCTGACAGCACACAGGGGCCCTCGCGCGCGCGTTCTCGACACACCGACGGGAGAACTCACCTCTGAGAACGACGATATGCGCGAGAACGCGACCTGCAGGGCGCAGGGGCCCGGCACGGCGTTCCCGCCCTGAGCTGATTCCTGGCCGCACGAGACCCTAAGCGCCAATCCGTGTGGCTCCAGGGCGAGAGTGCTCGCCGTGCCGCGTCCACGCGACCGCATCTGCCGCATCGGCCCCCACGTCGTGCCCTGGAGCGACCTGTACACAGGTCCAGGACACCCCAGCGGTCGGGCTGCGCGCGGACGTTGCCGCCGCCCGCCCCGCCGGCGGCCCACGTCATCGCATATAGTCGTTTTGCGTCACACGAGGGCTCTTGTCCCCGGAGTTGCGCGCACAGCCCCAACTGCCTCTGCCTGCTTCGTGCCATGCCTAACACGCTGCGGTGCGGCGTGCGCCGCGCCGCGGTCGAATCCGAGGGCCCCACGAAGCTCCGCAGCTGTGCGCCAACCACCCGGCCGTCGCCCCTCCGGGCGCGGCGGCAGCAAGGCGATCTTCGCTGCGGTCGTTGCTCCGCGGCGCAGGCCCGGCAGGCGGCGACGGCGGTGGGATCGGACCTCGCCCCCGTCATCGACATCTCCAGGCACGTCGCCGCGCCGCACGGCCGCCACACTGCGCCCGCGGTGGCAGCGCCACGCCCTGATCTGTGCTCCTCCGCGCCGCTCTCATCGCAGCTACGACCCGTCGCAGCGGGCCGACCCGGCGCTCCTGGAATCCGTCCGGGTCGCGTGCGAGCACACGGGGTTCCTCACTGTCCTGGGCCACGGCGCGGACCTGCTCCTAGCGAAGCTCTGTATGGAACTAGGCGCCGAGGCCTTCGACCTGCCCATGGAACGCAAACGCGAGCTAATCGTACAGGTGCGCATCGCCCTGCGCTACACGTCAGATGTGCTGTCCGGCAGCGCGCTCGAACGCCAGAAGCGGTGTACGTCCGCGGCGCAGCATGCTCGCTCTGCGCGGGACGCCTCTGCCTGCTCGCTCCGGGCGCCTCAGCCTGCTCGCTCGGGGAGCGCCGCTGCCAACGTCAGCCCCCGGGCACCCGCTGCGTCGCAGGACATGACGGTGGGCCGCGGCTACGAGATTTCTCCCGAGCACCGGCGGTACGCGCAGCACTTCGTCGAGAACGTGCGCCCGGGGCACTGCTGCTGGAGGGCCCACCCGGAGCCGAGCGCGCAGGAGGGCATCCTGTCCGAGCGGCTCATGTGCGGACCCACGCCGGGGGACCCGGAGCGCCTCGGCCTGCCCGCCGACTACTTTACGAGCGACCTCGGCCAGGTCCGTCGCGACGCGCGCCCCGACGACGCCTCCGTGCCGCACAGACGCGCGCGTTCGCCCCCCGACGCGCGTGCGCGGCCTGCCCCGAAGCGCAGGCCTTCTTCGCGCCCAACGCGTGGCCCGACGCCGAGGTTCCGAAGCTGTCCAAGTCGATGATGCGGCTCTACCGTCAGCTGGACGACATCGCCTCCCGCCTGCTCCTGCTCTTTGCGGAGGCGCTGGACGCGGACCGCGAGGCGTTCGCGCGCGCGCTCGCGGGGCATCACAGCAACATGCAGGTGGCGAACTACCCGAGCCTGCTGTCCGAGCCGGGGCCTGACGACATCAGGAAGAAGGCCCACACCGACTCAGGGACCATGACGCTGCTGCTGTCAGACGGGTGGATGCGCCGCGGGCACCGGCGGCAGGGGGCGCCGCGCAAGGGGCCGGGGCTGGGGGGCCTCGAGCTGTACGTGGGGGGGGAGTGGGTGCCCGTCAGGGTCGAGGAGGGCGCCATCCTGGTCAACATCGGGTCGCTGCTCACGGTGTGGACGAACGGGCTCTGGAAGAGCACGCTCCATCGCGTGACGAATCCCGACGTGTCGCGCGCTGAGTAAGTGGCCTCGCCCCGGAAACGCGCCGCACGTAGAACGTGCCCGCGACTCCTGCTCCTGCCCCGGGCGGCTCATGCCTCGCCCCGCGCTCTGAGCGACGCAGGGAGTCCCGACGCATCAGCATCGCGTTCTTCCAGAAACCCAACTACAACACTGTTGTCGAGCCGCTCCCGTCTTGCGTGGCGCGCACGGGCGGCGCTGCGCGCTTCGAGGCGACGCCCGTGAGCGGCCTCACCCGGCAGGGCATCATGCACAGCCTGCGGCATCTACCAGCGGAGGAGGCGTCGGCGAGGTGCGCGAGCCGTCGCGCGTCACGGCCATAGCTACCCAAGGGAGAGGCGCCGAACGAGAGCGTCACGCGCCTCGCCGTCTGTCGTGCAGGTACCACGAGCTCATGTTGAAGATCAGGGACGCGCAGGGGAGCTGACGAGCCACGCGATGAGGCGACTTGACGCAATCAAGGAATTCTTGTGTGAAGCTTCAGAGCTCGGCGCGGTAATTTACAAGGACGATCCGCGCGACGCCGCCACGTCGCCCATACCGCCGACGCCGCGAGCGGTCCAGCGCGTCGCGCCCCTACGTCTCCGTGGGGTTGTCGCCCATCCAGCCGCCGGGCTGGTTGGCGGGCTGCGTGGGGTGCTGGAAGGTCACCGCGGCCTTGCCGGACTCCAGAACGCACGGGTTGACGCGGACGCGGAACCACGGGTTGTTCATCATGCCCATCACGGTCCACGTGGGCCAGGCCGGCTGCGTGTTCTGCGCGGCGTCGAACGCGCGGCAACAGATCTCCTTGCAGCGGACGACGTCCGCCAGGGGGATCTTGATGGACCAGAAGTCCCAGCACCAGAACTTGCCGAACTCCGTGGGCTTCTGGAAGCGGTGGATGTCGGCCAGGCGCCAGGTCTTGCCGTCGTCGAGCGAGACCTCGCAGCGGATGATCTTGCGGCCGCCGCCCGTGTACGCGTAGCCGCGCACGGTGTACTCCTGCACGCTGCCGTCGAGCGGGAGCACCTCGCCGTGCGCTGGGTACCCGATCGCCGAGTTGATGTTGAGCTGGTTGATGATGTACTCGGGCTTGTACCACCAGCCCTCCTCGTTGGCCCGCTTCTGGTCGATCTGCGGCGGGAGCACGCGGTTGTCGAAGAAGTGGTAGAAGTTGTCCGACTCCTTGTCCGTCACCGTGATCTCCTCCAGCCACTTGACCATGCGCCCGCCGATGAAGCCCGGGATGATCATGCGCACCGGGTACCCGTGGTCGGGCGTCAGCAGCTCGCCGTCCTGCTTCCAGCACACCATGACGTCCTCCGCGGGGTCCATCGCGACGGGCAGCTCCAGCGACGTGGCATACGACCCGTCGTCGCCCTGCGGCAGCTCCTTCTTGGGCCCGCGGAAGCACACGTGCGTCGCGCCGGGCTTGACGCCCGAGGCCCTGAGGATGTCGCCCAGGCGCACGCCGGTCCAGTAGCTCGTGCCCAGGCCGGCCGAGCCCCAGCTGAACCCGATGGTCTTCTTGATCATGTTCTGCTCCTTGCGGCGGTTGCCCGCGCACACCAGCGTCACCGGGATGGTCCGCTGCGGCAGCTTCATGAGCTCCTCCATCGTGTAGGTGATGGGCTTGTCGACCAGGCCGTTGACCGTGATGCGGTGGTCCTCCCACTTGATGCGCGGCGCAGGGCCGTGGTTGCGCACGTAGTGCAGCGCCGGCGGCGTGTTGAAGCCCGTCTCCATCAGCGTCTGCATGGGGGGCTCGCAGTTGAGCGGGTGCCGACCTGCAGGCAACCTCGCACCCGGCACGAAGCGACCATGGGCGCCGCGAAAGATTCCCCCCTGCGATGGCCGCGCGGCATGCGTCGCAAAGCGCCCGCGCTGCGGCGTGCCGGCTCGTGCATGTATGAGGAACCAGCCGCGGGTCGCACGCACCGGTGAGGCGGACGATGTCGGGGTGGCGAGGGATCCAGTCGTCCGGCGTGCCCTTGTCCTTGTCGTCGATCTCCGTGGGCTTCAGGTTGTGCGGGGCCTTCGAGCGGAACACCGTGCCCTCGTTCGGCACGACGGGAAGGCCCGCGAGGCCCGTGGCGTTCAGGGGCCCCTTGCCCTCCGGGTAAACCATCGTGGCTGCAGCAGCATCGACGGGCTTCGCCGTCTTCGTGAACACCATCCTGCGCACACAACGATCGGAACGGAAATACACGTGCTCAGGCAGGATTTCAGAGGGAAAACGGCCCTGTTGCGTCCGCGGGGCCGCCGGCAGCAAGAGGTCACCTGCGGGACGCTTAGTCGCGTGGGCGACGGGAGGCCGGAGAAGGTGCAGCGCGATGCGCGACAGCAGGGTTGCACGTGAGTCCGCGCGCCGCAAGTGCCCGCGCGTCGGCCGCACGCGACGCTGTGAGGCCCGGAAGGGCACGCTCTCTGCAGGGGCCACCCACGTGCACTGTCCAGGCCCCGTCGTGAAGGGGCCGTGCGGGGAGCGCTACGTGGGTTCGCGCGGCGCGCGCGGTAGACCAAATCACAAGGAATCTGTTCGAATAGCTGCTTCGGTTGGACGCGTCGTTGGCGCGCGCTGCGGGCCCTCGTGACTCTTTGGCACGACGAGGCGCTGGCGGTACACCGAGCTGGTGGAGAAACAGGCACGCCTCTCCGCGCTCCTGCACACATATCGCGCCTGGATACTCTCCGCGCCGATCTCTGCGGAGTATCGCCCGGTTCCGCAGCGCGCCAGCGAGGTCCAGCCCTGACGGGACTTTCGGGGCGCAGCGCTCACTGCGTCGACTCATTTCGCTTTCCGCAGGCGGAGGAGGCGAGCATGGGGCCGGACACGTCCGCCGCGGACGTTGACGGCGAGCGGGGCCGCGCAGCCCCCCCGGCGCGGTCGTGGCTCTCTGCCCTGAACCCTGTGCCGACGCTCGGCGAGTGGGCGCACCGCGCCCGCGCGTTCCCGAAGGAGCTGACGTGGATGGAGGTCTCCGGATCGCTCGGGGACCTCGGAACCTTCCTCCCCCTCCTGGTGCGCCCCCAGCGACGCCAGCACCGTGCACGCGGCCGCCAAGCTCCTCGCGGCCCCGCCCGGGCCGCGCCGCGCTCCCGCCCGCGCGCGCAGCGCCCCCTGCGTGCCGTCCGCCCGACCCGCCGCTCACCGCGCTTCGAGCTTCGCGCCACCTGTGTCGCAGATTGGGCTGGTGCAAAAAAACGGACTGGACCTGGGCACCACGCTGGTGGCCACGGGCGTCTACAACGTCGTCTCAGGGCTGCACTTCGGCATCCCCGTCCCCGTCCAGCCCATGAAGTCCATCGCCGCCGTCGCTCTCTCCGAAACGCCCCTCTCGGTGCCCCAGGTGCCGCTCCCACGCCCGCCCGCGACGCCCACGCGCCCCAGCGCCCGCCCGCGTCCCCCACCACGACGCCCCCCGCCCCGCCCCGACCGCAGATCGCCGTCGCGGGCATCGCGGTGAGCGGCGTCGTCACCATCCTCGGCCTCACGCGCGTCATCGACCACTTCAACCGCATCTTCCCGCTCGAGGTGATCCGCGGCATCCAGCTCGGGCTCGGCCTCAAGCTCGCCATCCAGGGCCTCAGCATGGCGCTCTACCGCGACGCCAAGGAGCCCAACGGCCTCCTGCCCTTCCTCGACAACGACGGCCTCGCCGTCTCCATCGTGACGTTCTTCGCGTTCCTGCTCATCAACAACATGTCGCCGCCGAACGCGACGCCGCGGCTCGCGGCCCCCGCGCCGGCGCGCCCCCGCGACCTGGAGGCCGGGTCCGCGGACACCAAGACCAACTCGGCGGGCCCCAGCAGCGGCCCGAGCGACAGCACGCTGCCGCGGCCGCCGTGCCGCTGCGGCATCGCGTGCTGCGGACACCCGGGCGAGTGCCCCTGCCCGCCCGGGTGCGGGTGCTGCTCCGTGAACCCCTCGCGGCGCGGCAGCGTCTCCGAGGCCGCGGCGGCGCCTGTCAAGCCGGAACCCGCTGCGGACGCGGTCGCGGCGGGCTCCGCGGTGTCGCGGTGGACCGCGCTGCTGTCGGTGCGCGTGCCGGCCGCGCTCGTCGCGGTGGTCGTCGGCCTGATCATGGGCGTGGCGGTGCGCCCGAGCGTCGTCACTGACCTGCGGCCGGGCCCGTCGAAGCCGACGCTGATCCTCCCGGGGCTCTCGTGGGCGGACACGCGCGACGCCCTGGTGCGCGCCGCGCTCCCGCAGCTCCCGCTGACCACGCTCAACTCCGTCGTCAGCGTCTGCCAGCTCTCCGGGGATCTCTTCCCCCACAACCCCGCCAAGCCCGCGGCGATGGCGACGTCGGTCGGGCTCATGAACCTCGTCGGCGGGTGGTTCGGCGCCATGCCGTGCTGCCACGGCGCGGGCGGCCTCGCCGCGCAGGCGCGCTTCGGGGCGCGCACCGGCGCCGCGCCCGTCTTCCTGGGGCTCGTGAAGCTGGTCCTGGGGCTGCTGCTCGGGTCCTCGCTGATCGGGTGGCTCGAGGTGTTCCCGCAGACGATCCTCGGGGTCATGCTCGTGTACTCCGGGCTCGAGCTGGCGTCGGTGGCCAAGGCCCAGAAGGGGGCCAAGGGTACGTGGGTGATGCTGTTCACGGCGGCGGCGGCGACGGCGTGCAAGAACACGTTCGCGGGGTTCGTGTGCGGCATGATCGTCGCGCTCGCGCTGGTGTTCCAGCAGGAGGGCTGGCGCGCGCTGGCGCTCTGGGTGGTGGGCAGGGCGCCGTTGCGCGTCGAGGGGGCCGGGAAGGCGCCGTGAGGACGCGGAGCGCACGAGGGGCGATTTTGCTCATAAGCCCCGGGGCTCTGCTTCGCAGACCTGCGTCGTGACTGCACATATGTGACGCGGAAGTTGACTGCAACGGCCAACTGAATTGAATGCCTGTCGCCATCCTGGCCCTGCGCGACCCAGGCTCCGCGACGCGCGCCACGACGCGGGCGATCGTGGCGCGCCATCCGGGCGCGGGCGCCCGCGACGGCGTGAGGTACGAGGATGGGGGGGGGTAAAAGTAACCGAGTCCGTCAGTGTCCGCCCTGCCGCCGGGACACCGCGCGGGCTGCCGCGTTCGTTGGCGTGAAGGCATCGCGTGCATCCACAGTCGCAGGCTGCGCGCCGACAACCGCCGTTCGTCCATCTGCCCGCGCTTGGCGCCCCGCACAGCGCTGAGGTGCCTTGCGGCTCGCGAGGCGCGATGAGCGCGACAGACCCGCTCCTCGACGCGTGCGTCGGCAGCGTCTGAGCCCGGCCCCCGCGGCGTCCGCGTCCCCAGCCGGACGGGGACCCGCGCAGCCACCGGCGGCCGGAGCTCGACGCCCTAACAGAGGAGGGCCCAGTGGCGGAGGCACCGCGCTCGGGCCCGGACCGCGGCCTCGTCGCATCGCTCGCTGCTGTGGCATTCTCCATTCCGGCTCTCGTGGGCAGCTGATGCTGGTACGTCGCCCCCGCTGCGAGATTCTGGGAGCATTACCTCATGCCTTGCAACCCTCCCGGCGCGGCGCATGGCCACATCGGACGCCCTGGGCCGCCGAATCCCACTGTTTTTGACCACTGAGCGCGAAATTCGAGTCGAGTTCCGTGCCTCGTGAGCGTGATTGCTCGCACCGAAGGGGAGGCTGCCACCATGGTGCATTACGTGGTCACTCACGCTCGGGCGTTCCCGCGCGGCTGCAGGCCCCTGCTGCTGGCCGGGTTCCTCGGAATCTCCGCGTCAGCAGCTGCGAGAGCTCTGTCCCACTCCCTCACCTTCGCCGTCAACCTCGCGGTCACTACCAACCTCGCGCAACACCTCTACCACAAGAGCAAGGCCACGCGCGCCCACATCGCACCCGCCTGGAAGCGCCAGCTCCCCAGCCTGCTCGCCCTCGCCAGCATCCCGCTCGTCATGGCGGATCCGACGCGGCACGTCCTCCAGGTGCGCCACTCAACACACCCCTCGATTGCCGCCGCGGGCACGGACCGCGGGGCGCCAGCTCAGTCCCGCTGCGCACTGCTTGGCCGCAGGACGCGGGGCTCATCTCGGCGGCCATGTACCGAGCCGATTGCGGGCCTGACAACGGGCTCCATGGCCTGCTGTGTCTGAGCCTGGCGGGGTGGATCATCACCGTGTTCTGCACGTACGCCGGCTTCGGCCTGCTCATCTCCGGCGTGCTGGAGGGAGCGGGCGTGCCGGCGAAGGTCCGCGCGGCGTGGGCGGCCTCGCGTGCGCGGCGCGAGGCTGGCGAGGAGTCCCGCGACACGCCCTGGAGCGACATCGCTGGCGGGAGCGTGGCCTAGGTTGATGTGGGCGCTGGGCGAGCGCTCACGTCCGTCGTTGCTGCCGGGCGGCGTCAGAGGCGCGGGGGACGGCCATGACGGCGGTGCGATAAAGCTTGACGGCTGCGCACCGCCCGAGCACCCACTGCGGCGGGACACCCGCGCACGTGTCGTACGGGACAGCCGTGCGGCGCTCCTCGGAGCGCCGCGCGGGAGCGGCACGTGCCTGCGGTGCACCGCTACGCAGCCCGCTGCACCCCTGTTGTTGTTGCCCGGCACGGACGCCGACGCACACGCCGTGCGCGAGACTGTAATGAGGCGCCCGTTCGTGGGTCAATTGCACACTTGCAGCCAAGTGTCAGAGCGCCTGACCGGGTCGTTGGACGTTGTCGAGAGTCACAATGATCTGCGTGGTTCGCTTCCGTCCGCCTCCGGCAGGCACTGCTATGTACACGGTAACTGTGCCGCAGACGCGCGGGCGTCCCACCGAGGCGGCCCCGGCCACGCGCCCAGGGCTCGCCCCTCTAGCTCGCGCAGTCCGCAGACTGCGGGCGGGTCCTTCAGACCTTCTGGCCCTTCTGGGACTCCTCGAACTGCTGCACGCCCTTGGCGCCGCGCTGCGAGCGCGCCTCGGTGGCGAACTTCATCGCCGCGTCGGCGTGCCCCGCGGCGACCTCCTCCTTGGTGTAGTCCGAGAGGTAGTACGACTCCTCGTCGGTGTTGATCGAGGGGCCCTTGAACATGCCGCCCCACATGGGGAAGTAGATGAAGCACGTGAGCATCGTCATGCCGAGGATGAAGAGGCCCATGTACATGATGCCCTCGTACGTCTCCAGGTCCACGTTGTCCGAGAAGAAGATGGCCTGCGTGATGGCCGAGCCGGCGTTGCCGCCCGCGCCGACGAAGCCCGAGACGACGCCGAGCGCGCGGCGCGACACGAACGGCACGACGCCGAAGGTCGCGCCCTCCGAGGCCTGCACGGCGGCCGAGAAGACGATCATGACCACCACCGTCGCCGCGAGCGAGTCCTTGGCGAGGCCCATGATGATGCACGCCACGCCCTCGGCGAACATGCACGCGAAGAGCGCCCAGAGGCGGCCGCGCATGCCGTACGGCCGCGCGAGCTTGTCCGAGAGGAGGCCGCCGCACGAGCGCGCGAAGAGGTTCATGAGGCCGAAGAGGGAGCCGAGGAGGCCGGCGATGGTGAGCTGCATGTCGAAGTGGTCGACGAAGTACGACACGACGACGTTGTTCATCGTCAGCTCGATCCCGAAGCACCCGGCGTAGATGATCACCAGGCACCACGTGCGGTAGTTGGCGCAGGCGGCGATGAAGGTCTTCTTCGAGTCCAGCGTCGACATCTGGCCCGACTGCTTCACGTCCGCGTAGTTCCCGAACGGCGTGTCGCGCCCGAAGACCAGGATGAGCAGCGCCACGATCAGGTGCAGCGAGCCCGGGACGAAGAAGACGTAGCGCCAGGCACGGAAGGGGGTGTACGAGTTCTGGAAGCCCTCGAAGATGACGGGCATGAGGAGCTGCGTGATGCCGCCGCCGAGGTTGCCCCAGCCGCCCGAGGTCGCGTTGGCGAGGCCGACGACGTTGGGCGCGAAGAGCGACGAGGTCCAGAACTGGTTGGCCACGAAGGTCGCGAGGGAGAAGCCGATGATGAGGCGGCAGATGATGAAGCCCGCCGGGTTGGTCACGAGGCCCATGCAGAAGACGCCGGGCGCGGTCAGAAGCATGAGCACCGAGTGCCCGTAGCGCGGGCCGACCGTGTCGCAGACCTGGCCCATGATGACGCGCGCGAGGATGGTGCCGCACACCGCGGCGATGCCGGCGTTGCCGATGGAGCCCTTGTCGAGGTCGATGTTCTCGCGGATCGCCGGGACCATGGCCGCGGGCGCGAACACCGACACGAACGACACGAAGAACGACAGCGTCGACACCCAGAACGACAGGTGGTGCGGGCGCTGGAGCGTCCAGACGCGCAGCACCTTGGACTTGCCTGCGGGGCGCGGGCGCGGGCGGAGCGGGGCAGTGAGCGCGCGGTCGGTGCGTGGGCGCAGACGCGTGTGCACGTGCGAGAGCGCGGGCGCGGCAGCGCGGCGCGGTGGGGCGCGGACGCACCCTCGGAGTTCACGGGGATGGTGAAGGGCTGGCCGGTGACGGGGTCGATGACCGGCGCGCCGCCGTGGAGCGAGGACTCCACGTTGGCGTCGCCAGCAGCAAACACCTGCTCGTGGGCCGTGACACCCTGCGGGGGCCGAAGCGGGGGGGCAAGACGGTTACGCACATGCACGAGCGGGGGCGCGAGGGGGGCGAAGGGCGGATCCGGGCCGCTGGGAGGTGGTCCACGGAGGACCAGCCCCTCCAAAGGGTGCGGAGATTCAGTGCCAAGGAGAGGGCGGCCACGGGGCGCGTGGGAGGCGGGCTGCGCGGCCGGCGCGCATCGGGGCAGCGAGGACGCGCAGAGAAGCAGGCGGTGGCGCGCGGCGGGTCGCGAGAGCAGCCCTGGGAGGGCCGGGCCGCTGCACGAGTTGCGGTGCTGAGGGGCGCAGCGGGGCGCATTCAGGCCCTGGACGCGGCTTTCCGCGCGCATTCCGTGGCGGGCGACGCATGTGATCGGCAGCGGGGCGGCGGAAGCCGGCCGGCGGTGCCGTGGCGCGCTGCGCGCGAAGGCTCGGGAGGTTGGGCCGCTCGGAAGGGGCCGCCTCGTGTTGCGTGGAACGTCGCGTTGCGGGCGCGAACGATGCGCGCGGCGCGCGTTTCGGTGCGTCACGGTGACGCAGAGGGTGTGCGGCGGGAGGGTGGTGGTTCCCGCGCACCCCGTGCCGAGCAAATGGCCTGTGCACGTGCTGGGCTAGACAGGGGCGCTCGCGGCCGAAATGGGCGCGGGCGAGCGCGTCGCATCGATACACTGGAATGCTCATATTCTCACCTTCATGGAGGCGCCGTACTCAGCCTCATTGTCGACCTCGCGGCCGACGTGACCTTGGACGGTCATTGCCACTCGTACTCGGCGCTGGAGCTTCGCTCGGGCTTCTTCGCAGTCGAGAGCTGCGCGGGGCGAGAGTCCGTATTGGGTGGAACCGCAGAGTGTCGCGGACAACTGCGCGCCGGCCCTCATGAAGCCCCCAGCGCGGAGAGACCACAAGGGGGGGTGTCCCCAGGCGCGGGAAAGGCCAGACCGCAACGTGAGCCGTTGGCGGGGCTCATGGGCCCGGCGCGGCCCGTTCAGAGGCCGCACAGCGCTCTTAATATCCCCGCGATCCACCGGGCAACCGCAGATTCATTCCGCGAGCGACGCCGGGGCCTACCGACGACTGCGCTGCCGAAAGGCTCGCCGCCGAACCCGCTTCCCCTGGCAAGCGCATCGCGTATCCGCCAGCGGTTTCCGCCTATATATACTGAACAATGCGCGCCGCGTCTTTCGCCCCCGCGCGGGCGCCGTGCGCTCCGGCCGGAAGACTTCGGCCCTGCTCAACTACCTCCCGCCTGGTGGCGCGCGTTGCGTCCGCCAACGACGCGCCGACGTTCAACCCGATCCGCAAGGACATCCCCCTGGTGCCCCCCGGCACGGTGCCGGACCCCGTCGAGCTCCCCGAGGACCTGTCCAGCTCCGGTCTGCGCCTGCTGGGGGACCTGGGCAAGGCGAACGCCCTGCACCGCAAGGCGAACCCATTCGAGAAGAAGAAGAACGAGAAGTGCGGGACCACCGTTTGGGAGGACGGTGAGCGGCCCGGGCCTTGCCGCGGCGCTTTGCCCTCGCAGCTGGACCTCTGGAGAGGGCGTGTGCGACGGCGCGCACGGGCCCGGCAGCGGACGTTCCGATGCGCGGCGGCGTAGACCGTGAGCGTGGCTGGCCGCTAGGTTGACGCGCCGGCCGTTCGGGGGGCTCTGGAGGCGGTGGCCTGCGCGTCCTGGTCCTGCCGCCGCGCCGCGCAGCGAGGCTAACCGCTCTCTGCGCCCGCACGCGGTGTATCGCAGGCGAGAAGATGGCGCAGGCGATCCGCGAGGGCAAGACGAACTGGGAGGACCTGGACCTGGACGACGTGGACATGCGTCTGAAGTGGTCGGGCCTCTTCCACCGCCGCAAGAGGGCGCCGGGCAAGTTCATGATGCGCGTCCGCCTCCCCAACGGTGAGACGCCCCCGTGACCCGCGCACCTGATCCACTCTGTCCACACCAGCTCCGCGCCGATGCGCCAACGACCCGCCGACACTCAACGCCGATGCGCGCACTGCTGCGGGCGCCCCGCGGCACGGGTTGGCGCGCGGCTCCGCGCACAGCCGGCGTCTCGTGCGCACGAGCGAGGCCGCTCACGCGTCCGAGCGCGCTGCGTCCGCGCTGTCCGCAGGCGAGGTGACCGCGACCCAGCTGCGCGTGATGGGCGAGAGCATCGAGGGCCTCGAGAACGGGTGCGGCGACATCACCACCCGCGCCAACATCCAGCTCCGCGGCCACACCCTCGATCGTAAGCCCCCGCTCACCCGCACGCCCCCCCTTCTCTCCCCCTGCACCGGCCGCCACGTCGTCGCCATCCGCCCCCTCCCCCGACCCCCGCCGCCGCCGCGCCCGCGCCCACGCAGAGGCGGTGGACACGCTCGCGGCCCTGGAGGCGGTCGGCGTCACCGCGAAGCAGTCCGGCATGGACAACATCCGCAACATTACTGGTAACCCCATTGCGGGCATCGACCCGTACGAGGTGGTGGACTCGCGGCCGTACTGCCAGGCGATCCAGGACCTGATCACGGACCACGGGCGCGGGAACCCGGAGTACGCGAACCTTCCGCGGAAGTTCAACATCGCGGTGAACACCACGCGCGACGACTTTGTTCACACCCACATCACGGACCTGTCGTTCGACGCGGTGCGGAACCCCGCGACGGGCGCGCTCGGGTTCAACGTGCTCGTCGGCGGCATGCTGTCGACCAAGCGCTGCGACGTGGCCTTCCCTCTGGACGCGTGGATCCCAGAAGAGGATCTTCTATCTTTCACGCACGCCTTCATGGTCTGGTTCCGCGAGAACGGCGAGCGGCAGAACCGCCAGGCCGCGCGCGTCATGTACCTGCTCGACAAGTGGGGCGTCGAGCGCACGCGCGACGAGATGGCGCGCCTGATGGGCCAGGACAGCCTGGCGCGCGCCGTCAAGGAGGGCCACGACGAGCCGTGGCAGCGCCGCGACCTGATCGGCGTGCACCCGCAGAAGCAGGAGGGCTACTCGTACGTCGGCGTCTGCATCCCCGTCGGCCGCCTCCTCCCCGAGGACTTCAAGGACATGGCGCGCATCGCGGAGGAGTACGGCGACGGGACGGTGCGCCTGACGGTGGACGAGAACGCGGTGTTCCCGAACGTCCCGAACGGCAAGGTGGACGCCATGCTGCAGGAGGGGTTCTTCCAGCGGTTCTCGGTGTCCCCCGGGCCCCTGACGTCGGGACTGGTGTCGTGCACGGGCGCGCAGTTCTGCGGGTTCGCGCTCGCGGAGACGAAGCTCCCCGCGATGCAGATGCTCGCGGAGCTCGAGCAGGAGCTCGACATCCCCCGGCAGGTGCGCATCCACTTCACGGGGTGCCCCAACTCGTGCGGGCAGGCCCAGGCGGGCGACATCGGGCTGATCGGCGCGCCCGCGAAGAAGGACGGCAAGGCCACGTCGGGCTTCAACATCATCTTCGGCGGCACCGTCGGCGAGGGCGCCAAGCTCGCCACCACCCAGTTCGAGAAGTCCGTCCCGCTGGACGACGTCAAGGACAAGCTGCGCGAGCTGCTGGTGTCGAACTTCGGCGCGACGCCCAAGGCTGCGTGAGGCGGCGGCGCGTGCAGCGGAGGCGCGGCGGGGGGGCTTGGGGCTCGTGGGCGGGCGCGGGGGTGTGTGTTTGCAGGAATCGTGTTGCTTGGTGTTTAGGAATGTATGTATACGACGTTGGCTTCCGCGCCCGCGCCAGTGACCGCGCGTGACGCCCTGTGACCAACACACCAGCGCGACGCGCTTTTCCAGCCGGTGCATGGCGCGGTGGTCGATTCGTTCTCTGCGCGGGTCGCAACGCAGCGTCGCTCATCGCTCGCGCGCCCGCACGACGTGTTCCTCCTCGCCGGCGATCGATCCCTCCCCCAGCGAACCACAGACTGATTGTCCATGACAGATCGTCACGTGCCCTGCCCTATCGCGTCTCGCGTTGTCGCGATGGCAGCTGCGGCGCCGTCAACCACGCCCCATCACAGCGCGGCCGAGCCACCGCGGCCCCGCCGTCGACCAACGCCGCGGCGCGCGTCACTCGTGCGCCGCGCCCCCCGTCCCCACCGTCTCGCTGGCCACCTCGTCGCGCCCCTCCTGTCGCTTGCGCAGCAGCGCCTCAAGCTCCTGCCCGCCGCCGCCGGACCCGCGCGCAGGCGGCCCGCGCGGCCGCCGACGGCCGCAGCGCCGCCCGCCCGCCCGCCGCGGCCGACGCCTGCAGCAGGGCCGCCATCTGCTTTGCAGGCTCTGGCAGTTCCCTGGCGCCCTTTGGCGGGGGCGTCGTGGCCGTGGGGGCCGGCGCGTCGATCGCCTGGCCGGGAGGCATGCGTGGCGCCGGCGACGCGGGCGCCCTGGCGGCGGGCTGGCTGCTATGCTGTGCGCCGGTCTGCGCCTGGTCCTTGACGAGAAAGCGCAGACCGTACTGCGCCATGACCTCGTCGTGCTTCTCGGCCATGTCCTCGAGGAAGCTTGCTTCTTCGACGAGGTACTTGGTCATCGGCGTCTTCCATCGAGCGGTCCCGCCCCGCATTTCCGACAGGCAAGCATCGACTGCCTCCACGCGCGCAAGCATCGCCTCACGGACCTGCGAGACGACATGCACGCAGCCGCGGCATTGGTTGGCTCGTGGTGCCGGCGCACGCGCGCCGTAGGAGCGCGGAGGTCACAAGGAACGACCTCTGTGGCCCAGAGACGAGGAAACCTCGATTCAGGACTGCGCACCTGCCCCAGGTACGAGGTGATCGACTCCGGCACTTCCCTGGCCATGGCCCGGTATGGCTGCACCGCAGATCGGGTGTGCCGGGGTCCGTCGCCTTTCGCCCGCGCGTCAGGCCGAAGAGGGACACAGCCCTAGGCAGGCCACTCGTGCTCACGGTGAGCTTGCCGAAACGCGATCCTTCGGCGCGAAACGGGTTGTGCGGCTTCGAATTTGTGCACGGCACGAGGCGACCCCGGGCCCCGATGCGCCCCGGGGACGGCAACGCCACCTGTCAGGTACCAGACCACGCCCCTCTGTATCGCGGAGCCTGCAGTGCTCGTTGGTGAGCCGCGGCGGGCGGCGTGCGCATGGTGACGAGCAGCGACACAGTCGGGAAGCCCGCAGAGAATCCGCCGGCGAACGAGGTCGTGCGCGGCACTGGAGCAGGGCTCGGGAGCAACTGCCGCTGCTCCCGCACGTCGCCCCTTCGCGGGCTGCGAGCTTCCGGCATGGCGGCTTTCCGTCCCGCTTGACCGTGATCGTCCCTGTGCTGTGTCGCGCGTTCCGGGCAAGATGGGCCTTTTGAAGGCCGCAAGCAAGACACCTATGAAGTGCCTGCTCGCCCTCCTAGCGATCCTGTCAGTACTCAAACTCGGTCGATCAGACGCACATTGGGATGTGGGTGACTCTGTCCTTTCGCAGACATCGTATTTGCAGCGGCGCGACCTGCTCCAGGGCGGTGCGGCCCAGGTGTGCCCCCGCGAGCGCCACGCAGCCGCCCCGGCGGTTCGCACGGCGTCCGTCCGCCGAGACGGGCGCTCCCGGTCGCAACACCACAAGAACTACCGAGCGGCGGCGCGTACCGTCGCAGATTTCCACGCGGGCGCCGCGGGCACTGCATCTGGACCCCTCTGCACCATGTGCGGGCCCCGCTCGCGCTGGCCGCGCACGTTTTCGACGTGCTTTCGCCCCCTTTGGTCCAACGTGCAGGTCACGGTGTGCACGGCGCTCGCCGCCGGCTTCGTGGAGCGCACGGGCGTCGACCCGGCGTCGACGACACCTGCCGCCACCTCCGATGGGCCGCTCACGCCCACCGAGTTCAAGAGCCGGTACAGCGGCGTCTCCGTGGACACAATCGACGCGGTCATCGGCCAGCAGCTCTCGCGGGCGTACACCGTCCTCGTGTACGCCAAGCCGGAGGACGCCCTGGTGCGCACGCGCTCGGGCGCGGCCCGCACGTGCGACGTCGCGCTCGGCGCCTTCTCCCGCACGGCCGCGCGCGAGCGCTGCGGCGCGCAGTGCCAGCCGTGGACCGCGGGCACCTCCGCGGACGAGGCCCAGGTGTGCTGCCTGGACTTCGGACACCCCCACTTTGAAAGCGGGGTCTCCATCGTCTCCCGGTACTCGATCGACTCGGGCGAGTCCGGGCTCACGGCCGTCATCGCGCGCGTGTACGAGGCGGAGCTCGTGAACGCCCTCTGCGTCACCTTCATGGCCGTCCTCGTCACGGGGCACCTCCTGTGGTACATCGAGTCGCGCGTGCAGCCGCAGGCGTTCGACCCGCGGTACTTCCACGGGATCGACGAGGGCATCTGGCTCGCGATGGTCACGCTCACGACCGTCGGGTACGGCGACTTCGCGCCCGTGTCCAACCTCGGCCGCCTCGTGGCCTCGGTGTGGATGATCCTCGGCCTGCTCTTCCTCTCCTCGCTGTCCGGCATCCTCGCGGCGTCCTACTTCGAGTCCGCCACGGCAGGCCGGTTCTACCGCAACCTCGGCGACCTCGCCGGCCGCACCGTCTGCACCTCGTCCGGGACCTACCAGGCGCTGCTGAGCCAGATCGGCAACGCGGGCGTGACCACCGCGGCCACGCCGGCGGCGTGCATCACCCGCGTGGTCGCGGGGGAGTCCGAGGCCGCGCTCGTGGACCAGCCCATCGCGATCTCGCTCTTCGAGGACGGCCTCGGCGAGGGGCTCGCGGCATCGCAGCAGATCTGGCCGGGGGACTTCGCGCCGGCGTTCCCGCAGGGATCGACGCTGCGCGACTCGGTCAACGTCGCGGTGCTGGAGTACGTCGAGGGGGCGAGCACGGCGACGCCGCGGTTCCGGGACTCGCTGGCGCAGTACTTCCCCGGGGGGCGTCTGGACCGGGCGCTGCTGTCCGACCTGGGCGACGTGGACGTGCAGCGGGACGAGAGCTACGACTGGGTCCTGATCAGCCTGACCCTGGCCGCGATCGGGTTCTACCTCACGTTGTACCTCATCGTGTGGGGCGTCAAGCGGCGGGCGCGCAAGCTGAAGGAGGCCGCGAAGAGAGCGAGGTGCGATGCGCGCTGCGCCTCCCGCTGCCGGCACGCACGCGTCGAGCTTGTCCGTGGGGGCGACGTTGTCGAACTCGCAGCGCCGGAGCTGTCCTGTGGCCTGAGGCAGCAGGGCGGCGAGTTGTCTGAGGCGAGGGTGTTGTCTGGCTTGCGTTGCGCAGGCGCGAGGAGAAGGAGCGGCTGAAGGCGGAGAAGGCCAAGGGGGGCTCGCCCAGCATGGACCGGACGGCGAGCATGGCCACGACGATAGGCGGCGACGAGGGCCTGCAGACTGGCCGGGGGGGTCTGTTCGGATCGAAGGCCGTGTCGCGCCCGGCTTCCCGCAAGGACGTCCGCCAGGTTAAGCGCGACATCTCGCAGGGTGCCGAGAAGCTCGTCACGGGCGCACTGTCAAAGGTGCGACTACTCGACTTGTTACGTGCTCGCCTGCCCGAGCCCCCCTGGCCCCAGGCCAGCGCATGCCGCGACACCCGCGATGTACTCTTGCGGCGCCCTCTCTGAGCGCTCGGTTTGCGCGCGGTGCGCCATGCAGCTGATCTACATGCCAGGCGAGGAGGGCGATCCTTCCGGCTCCGACTCCGACTCCGATTCCGACGAATCCCCGGCGGACAAGGCTGGGAACAAAGACGAGACAAACGCGCGGGACAGCCACGGGTCGAAGACGCCGCGGCAGCGGCCTGACAGCGGCGTGTCTGCGGCGCGGAGCGGCGTGACGGACACGGACCGCGCGAAGCCGTACGAGGTGTCTGCCAGCCCGGTGCCAGGCGGCAAAGAGAGTCCGGTGCCCCGGCCGCGCTCAGCGGCGCCGGGGCGGGAGGCTGCCGGCAGCCCGAACGGCGAGGACTGGGATAGCGCCGGCGTGAGCGGGCCGCTCGGGCGCACCATCAGCATCAAGGAGACGCTCCGGCCGATGTCTTCGCGGTCGCGGATGGACGTTGCGGCGGCCCAGGACACTCCGCGGGACACGGCGCCCGAAGGCACGAGCGTGCAGATCAGCACGAATCCAATGTCCCTCGATACGCCGCGCGAGCCGGCGCAGGAGGATACGCCGCGCGGGCCGGCGCAGGACGGGCACGGGCCGTCGAAGCGCGCGCCGGTGCAGTCGGTCCTCAAGAGCTTGAAGCCCCCGCAGGAGACGCAAGAGGTGGTCCCGCTGGCTGACGTGTCGAAACGGAGGTCGACGAAGGACACGGGCGGCGTCAAGGTCGAGGAAAAGAAGGCCGCGGGCGTGGTGTCGGCGGTGTGGCCGGGGGCGTCCGCGCCCGGTGCGCAGAGCGGCGCTGCACAGGACGCTGCGCCTGCGCCGACGGGGCGGTCGCGGTGGGAGCGTGCGCGGATCGGGCTGACGAAGAAGGGCGTGTTCGCGTCCGGGTCGGCGGCGCGCGGGCCGCAGTGGTCGCAGCTCGTCGCGGCGCTCCACGACAAGGTGTCGGCGCCACCCAAGTTGGGGGTGCCCACTTGGGAGCGGTTCCGCGAGGGCGACGCGCGCGCGGCGGCGGAGATGAACGACGCGGAGATCGCACGCGCGGAGGCCGAGCTGGAGCGCGCACAGACGAGCCGGTCGGACCTGGCGGAGGAGCCGAGTGCGGCTGGGACGCGCGCAGGGCTCTCATCACGCGAGCTCGGGCGCTCGGTCGCGTCCTTCAAGGGCAAGCTCGACGCGATACCGAAGTTCGACGTCCCCGAAGGCACGCCTCACGACCAACAATTACCCCCCCCCTTCGCCTCAACGTACACATATGCCAATCACGCGTACGCCGCCGGCCCACGCTCTCGCGCACGCGCCCCGCCGTTCGCAGACGCGCCCGAGAACCAGCATCGACTGGCCGCGCGCATGGCGATCCACCGCACGGCCTCGATCCTCGAGGCCACGACGGAGGGGCTCGAGGCCATGATGCAGGACCAAAACGTCCGGCACGAGGACACCGTGGCGCTGATGGATCGCATGGGCAACTTCGTGTCGTCCTCCGTCGGCACACTCGCAGCGGTGAGTGCCCCGCGGGCCGCACGCGCGGCGCCACGCACGGACACGCCCACCTTGAGAGACGGACATCACGTCCGCCGCTGCTGACATGTCGCGCGCACTTTCACCCCCTGCAGCTGCAACGCAGCCTCCAGGAGCAGGTTGCGGGGTCCGCGGACGTCCTGCGTGGGCTGCAGGAGCTCGCGTTCGACCAGCAGGTCAACTACATGGAACAGTTGCGGCAGCTGACGGTCAAATTGCATGAGGACGCGCTGAAGAAGCAGATGGCCTTCATGCGGCAGGCGTTCCTACAGAGCGCGCGGGACTCGCGCCGGCGCGAGCTCAAGCAGAACGTGCTGCTGCGGGGCGTGCTGACAGTGCAAGGTGCGCCGGCAAACCGCGCAGACGCTGCTGTGCCGCCGCGCCGCCGCGCGCGGCCGGGCTTCTCGCAGCGGGCGCGCGCGACGCGTGCATGCGGGACGCGCACGCGGTCCGATTGGCTGTTTCGTGTGCGGCGCTCTGCGTGCAGAGGCACTGATGAAGGACAACGAGGACCTCGAGCGTCTCAAGGACATGCTGGACGACATCAGGAAGATCGATCCCGAGGCCGTCGAGGACTGGGAGCCCCGCGGCGTGATGTTTGAGCAGGCGGGGGCGGCGCCCGATGAAGGGGCGCGGAATTCGCTCGCCGAGGACCAGGGCGCGGCGCTGGAGCGCATGCAAACGAAGGCGAAGTCGAACGTCTTCGGGCGCAAGGCGATCTCCGCTATCGACGAAGAAGAGGGCGGCGCAGGCGTGGCGGAGCAGCCGCCCTCGCGTCTGGCACGAAAGTCGGCGCAGCGCAAGTCGGCGCAAGAGAAGTCGGCGCGGGAGAAGTCGGCGCGGGAGAAGTCGGCGCGGGAGAAGTCGGCGCGGGAGAAATAGGTTGCGGCCGAGGCGCACGACTTTTGCCCGAGAGGCCAGCTCGATTCGGGCCCACAGCTCTCAAGGTTGTTCGCCTGGCGAGTAACTTTCAGCTAAGCAAACGAGCTTGCTCAAGGCCTGTAGGAAATGACCGAGACAGGACGGCCGAGAGCAACGAGACCGGTCGAGTGCCCGCACGCATAAGCGATATGCAAGTGCAGCGGTCGATGGTCCAACACACCTGCGCGATCAGCTTGAGGGGGTCCCGGGTCAGTAACGAGCCCCGCGGCGTGCGAGCGCTCGTCCTCAAGCTCCGCCACGCTCCCCGATGGCCCCGTCGGCCGGCGACCCTGCCCGGCATGCGGGTGAGGCACGCGAAACATCCCGCACAACGTAGGTGACTATTTTTTGTGACAGCCCCTCACGCAACCCGCTGTCCGGGCCGCTCCTGGAAGCACACGTTGAGCAGCGAGGTGGGTGGTGGTCGTGAACGCGGACCGCGATGGAAACTCGTGCGTGGCCGCTGCGCTAACATGCTGGTGATGATGTCCGGTCAGGCGGCGGCCGCGACCTCGCAAACAACTGCACGAAGCGCCACGAGGCGTCACATGATCGTAGCTGCCGACCACCAACGATCGAGTGTTGAAAGTGATCCGACTGCCTAGGAGAGGCAGGCGTCATTGCATTGTGGGTCGTTTCCTTTGTCGGCACGTCGCGAGTCAGGCTGGGGTCCGTCGCAGCCCTGCGCATCTGCGTCAGTCGGACACGTCTATGAGGTGAGGTGTCACATTCTTCGCGTCGTCAGCCATAAGGCTTTGGGACCTGAAAAGATCATTCGACTAGGTGGCGAGTCATGCTAACCCCCCACCGTTATGGTAGCAACAGGTTCGGCAGCTGTGACAGAGTCGGCCTGGAGCAGATCCTCGATGCCACGAGCAAAGATCGCCATGTATGTAGGCATCACAGTGTTGAGTGGGGGCGGACGCACGTCGGCCCTCACATCACGGCGCACTTCGACCTCATGGTCCTAGCACTAACGACCAGCGCGTGTGCGCGCCGGAGCAGCATCGCAGGCGGCCGCGCAAACAACGCGTCGACAGCGGTCCGGCCGCGGCTGGGCTGCGCAGGCATGCTATGTGGCCGTAGCCCGAGTGTGCAACGGGTGGGTCTCGCGGCAGCTCGGTCGACGCATGGGCTGGCGACCGCGCCCTCATGCGTGGCAGCGCGTACGCGCACTCCGAGCAGTCAGGAACGAAGGGCGCGGCGCCGAGCGCGGCGCATCATGCAAGGGGGCGTACCTAGGAGGAAGGTGGGGGGTTCTTACGGAAAGGGGGGGCGGGCAGAGGTGGGTCCACGGTGGGGTGCAGAGCCATGCTCGGCTGCACAAGCTGCGGAAGCCGTGGGTCTCAGAGGGGGGGTCCTCCCGGGGGGGGGTTGAGTGGGTGAGGGTGACTAGCCAGGGGTTGGTAGTGGAGGCCAGGGAGTGGAGGTCAAGGCGGCACTTGCCGCACATCGTCGGGAGCGCGCGATTCCTCATTACGTACAGGTGGAGGGTTGGCTGCCTTATCGTTCGTCAGGAAGAGGGGAGGAGGGGGGGGGGCAGGGTGGTGAGAGGGGGGATCAAGGTGCAAGGCGGGGCGCGCTCAGGACGGCTCCACCGTCATGAGCGGCGAGAAGCCGAGCCCCGCGCACATCTCGAGCGCCTCCGGGGAGAAGTCGTCGAGGAAGCCTTCGAGGCTGGCGTCGCCAGGGCTGCCCGCGCTGGGGCCCGCGACGCCGGTGTCGGCGGCTGGCAGGGCCGAGGCGTCGCCGGAGCTGTTGCCGGCGCTTCCGGCCGCCCCGGCGTCCGCGCCCGCGCCGGACACAGGGAAGTGTCCGTGCCGTGTGTCGACCGACCCGTACGCTGTCTGCGCAGTGGCGTCCATGCCGTCGGCGCCGCCGCCCATGCGCGGCCACGACACGCGCGCGAGCCCGCTCGCGCGCTGGCGGCCGGTCTCGCTGCTGGGCGGCACGATGTCCGTCCCGGCGGCCGACCCGTGCTGCGACCCGTGGTGCTCGCCCGCCGTGGTGCGCGGGGTCGCCTTGCCGGCGCCGGCGACCGCGCGCGACTCGTAGGCGCGCCGCGACGACGGGCACGACTGCGGGTGCCGCCCGAGCGCGACCTCGACCGTGTCGGCGGCCTCCCCGCGGCGCGAGAGCTTCTGGATGGTGCGCCGCGGCCACCGCGGCACGCCCAGCCGCCGGCACGCGCGCTTCAGCGTCGTCACCGACACCTGCAGCCTCCGCGCGGCCTCCTTGAGCCCCACGCTGAACTGCGGCTCGATGTCCGCCAGCGTCAGGCGCTTGCCGACGTGCGCGTCCGCCTCGGCGTTGTCCGCCTCCGCGCACTCCCCCTCCTCTCCCGCAAAGTCCCTCGCGGCCCCGTCCTCTCGCAGCCCGTCGTCGCCGAGCTCCATCCCGTCCTGGCCGGGGAACAGTCGCGCGGAGGCCTCGTCGACGGGCATGGCGGCCTGCCACGCGCCGCCATCCTGGTGCGCCGGCGGCTCCCGCTGCGGCTGCGACTGCTGCTGCTGCTGCTGCTGCTGCTCCGCGAAGTTCGCGTGCTCGCTGGCGAGCTGGATCGACGCGTCCCCGACGAAGGACGACGGGAGCTGGAAGTCCGAGTCGAGGAGCGACGGCATGCTCGCGCCGGGGCTCCTCCCGGCCTGCTGGGCGCCGCGGGGGCTGGAGGGCCGCGGGATGTCGAGGGGGGCGGGGGCCGGCGGCGGGGCGCGCGTCTGCGCGGGCCGCGGCGCGACGACGACGATGTGGCCCGTGTTGCCGCCGCCGCTCGCGCGCGCGCCGTTGCTGGTGCGCAGCGGGTAGTACGTCGTGGCGCGCTGTGCGGGCGTGCCCGTGTGCATCGCGTGCGGCGCCGGGCGCCCGCTGCCGCCCGCGTGCAGCGACCCGTTGGGCCCGTACAGCGCCGAGCCGTGCGCCGACACCCCGGGCGGGGCGTGCGAGGGCGGGTCGTGCCAGACGCTGCCGGGGTACGAGTCGGCCGTGTTGCGGCGGCGCTGCGCGTACGCGCCGGGCGGGCAGTGCTGGCTCCCGCCGAACGCGCCCTGCGTCGCCGGCGGCGCCGCGCCCCCCAGGATGCCCTGGTTGTCCGCGCGGTGCTGCTCCGCGTCCGCGGACCGGTGCGCGGCGTCGCCCGCGTGCGGGCGCTGCGGGGCCCACGCGCCGCTGCCCTCCTCGTCCACGAGGCGGCGCCGCTTGGTGCCGCACACGGGCCCGCTCGCGCCCGACGCGTGCGGCTCCGGGGCGAGCAGGCGCGGCCCGTGGAGCGTGCGGTTCATCATCGTCGTCGTGATGGTGCTCGTGCCGAGCCCGAGCGACGCCAGCGAGTCCGTCATGCGCTCCAGCGTCTCCCCGATGGGCACGTCGCAGTCCATCGAGAGCGCCTCGACGACGCCGCACGCGCGCGGGGGGCCCTCCGTGCCCGCGAGCGCGAAGATCGGCAGGACCACGGAGCTGCGGGGCGGCGGGGGCGCGCGGGCGGGGTCGGTCGCGCGCGCGCGGGGGTGGACGGGGCGGGCGTGCCGGCGCGTGCGCGTCACCAACGGGTGGGCCGGGGAGCGCGGGGGCGGACCTGAAGATGCGGCACTGGCGCGCGTGGCCGACGCGCGGGTACATGTCCGGGGTGTAGAGCTGCACGTTGTGCGTAAACTCGGGCCTGAACCCGGTGAACACGCGTCCTGGAGCGCCAAGGAGGAGGTTTGCCTCCGGGGCTTCGACGGAGGGGTCCGACGCGAATGTGTAGCGGCACGAGAAGCACCTGCGGAAAGTGGAGGAGGTGCCCCGGGGCGCGTCAGGCCACGGCACGGGCGCGGCGGATCTGTCGGCCCCAGCACTCAACGACGAGGCTTCGCGTTCGGCGCAGGCGGGGCGTAGGAACAGACCCGCGCGCCGGGTACGCAGTGCCAACAATGTGATAGACGCGCTCGTGCCCGGCAAAGTGGCACAGAGCGGCCCCGCGGGACCGTGCGGGGATGCACGCCGCGCGAAGCGTGACCGCAGCGCCCCGCCCTGTCCGCATGCCTTCCGCCGGGGCTTCCGCGACACGGCGCAGAGCGGGGGTTTCGTAGGCGCACGGCCGGGCGGCGGATTTGTTGGGCGCGCGGAACGATCGAACTCGCGCATCGGCAACGCAGCGTTGTCGAGGTGGCCAGTGCGCACCGGTACATCGCGAGAAGGTCGCCCTTCCCTCGTATGTTGAATGGCTGGCCTTGTGTGCTCAGGACGATCGTGCCGTCGCCCCTCTTCGTCGGCAACCAGACCTGCAGGCGGGACGCAGCGGTGCGGGCTCGCTCGTTGCAGTCCTCTCGCGGCGCCGCAAAAGCCGCCGCCGCAGAATGTTGGTACCTCGAGTCACGCTCGACAACGTGGGATTCGCTTTGCGAGGTGTCGGGCCCGCATTGTTCGAGGCTTGCGAGATGTCCCACCTGGCACAGAATTCCCGACTTCACGGAAAGGCTAGAGGCGCATCGCGACACCACGCGCTCGATAAACTCGTCGTTGAACGGCACGATGGCCGTGTCGGTCCCGGCAGGTCCCAGCGCGTTGGCGTCGTGCACCGAAGCCCATGCTTCGGCTTCCTGGGCGCCTTGCGCGAACTGGCCCCAGTGCGCCATGATGAATTCCTCCCCACTCGAACCGATTGGAAGGTCTCCGGCGCAGGCCGCGCGAAACGCGGGGCGGACAAGCAGAGGCAGCCACCGGGTTGCCTCAGCAGCTGGTCCTCGCCGAGGGGGCGCTGCGAACGTAAGGTCTTCGAGCGCACTGACAATTCTGAGTGCTGCGCGCCGCGACGTGCCGCGCCCATGGAGCCGCGCGGCCACCCCGGTCCGCCCGGGCACGGAGCACTAATACGTGGGGGCCATCGGCACCACGCCGCGCCCACGCTGGCCCGGGAAAACACCACTTTCTCGAATCCAGACCTTCCGATAAGCCTCAACAATACAGGGAATTCATTTTCATCGCGAACGAGCAGCTGCCCGCGCGGCTGTGGCGCGATACCTTGCCTTGCTGCTGCTCCAGGGCACGGCCGCCGCGTGCGCGCGGGGCCCTCGCGGCAGGGCTCCTGCGGGCAATGCGCCGGTCTCCTACCAGCCGCGCGACCTCCCGCCAGCCGCGTGGCCTGCCAACCCCCCCAGCTCGCGCCGCCCGCACAGTGCTGCAGCATGACTGATCAGGATCCCACCGCGCTGCCGCCGCCCGCCGCGGCGCACGCGCGCGCCGGCCATGCCGGGCGAGACGGACCGGCGCACGTGCCGGCGCGGAGGCGGCGCACGTGCCGGCGCGCACAGCTCCGCCGTCACCTCTCTCCCAAACTCGCCGGCAAACGCACAGTGTTAATTGACCACCCGCGCACGAAACGAAACGCGGCGGCGACCGGCCCCGGCGGCCACCACCGCGGGGCGCATGCCGCGGCACAGCTCCCCCGTCCGCACGACCGCTCACACCAGTCGCAACATCCAACGTCCGCAGGAGACCCGTCTCATGCAATGACAGATACAACGGCTGCGCGCTCGCGCCCGCGGCGAACCCGTGCGCGGTCTCCGCCACACGGCACCACGCGGCCGCGTGCTCGGGCCTCGGAGCGCCGTCACGACCCACCGAGGCGCACATTCCCCGCCCAGCAGCAGTGAGGTCCGGTGCCGCGCTGCGGCGCCGCGGGCCGTCCGCGGCCAGCGCGCCGGCACCCGCAGCGCGCGTGCGACCAGCTGCGGTGACGTGTGGGACCGCCGCGGTCCACGGCGGGGCGTGGAAGCGCGTCACATGACACGACGCAACAGGCTGCGTCCGATCGTTGCCGGTCAGTTCTTCTTCTTCGCCTGCGTCGCCGGCTTCGTCGCTTTCGACGCAGCGCCGCTGTCCCGCGCCGCCTCGCCGGCGCCGGCGCTCGCCGGCTTTCTCCGCGCCATTGCGTGCTCGCCGTGCGCTTGTTCCCTCTGCGGCCCACAACGCGGCCGACGCTGCGCGCGTGAGCGGCCCCGCGCGCAGCACAGGACGCCGGCCGCTGCGGCGGGGGTCGCGGCGACCGGACGGGGCGCGCGCGCGAGGGGCGCGAAGCAACAACAAGGAACGGGCGCGCACCCGGAACGGCCGCGTTTCGTGCGCAAAGAGCGCCAGGATCAGCACGACCATGTAGATGAGCATGCAGTTCGAGTACCCCGGCAGCTCGAACCAAATGGTCGGCACCATCCACGCCGTCGCCGGAACAACAAGCGCCAGGGGAAGGAACTGGTGGAAGAGCTCCAGCTTCGTCGCCTCCGGGAACGTCGTCAACACCTGGCCCATCGTGCCGCCTCCTACGCTATGCCTCCCGCGCGATGCGCGCCCCGCCCGCGCCGGGGGTCGCTCTCGTGCAAGGGTCCAGCCCCGCGCTGCCCAATGCGGTGCACTCGTGCGCGGATTCGGGCGCCTCGGTGTTGCGAAGGGTCGCCAGCTACCTGAGCTCGCGCAGCCGCAAGTCCCCGCACGCGGCGCTGTGAGGCCCGGAAAGCCTCGGGACTGGCGCAAGGGGCCACCAGTATAAGGGGCGCGACACGTGGCCTGCTGGGCTCATTGCACCGCACGCGGCGGCCGGGCCACGCCAGAGCACGGAAGACCCGGGGCGCAACGCCGAGGGGCGTCGGGACCGACGGTGCGGTGCGTGGTGGCGCGTTGGCGACGAGGTTTGGACGCACGGGGGGCAGTTGCGTGGCACGGGGCGGGGAGGATGCAGGTGAAGGTGCTGTTCTTCGCCAAGGGGCGGGAGATCACCGGAGAGAGCGAGTGTCGGGTGGACCTGGCGGCGGATGGCGACACGGCCGCGCTGGTGCGCGAGTTGCTGCGTCGGCACCCAGACCTCGAGGTGCGCCCGTGACGCGGCCGTGCGTCGTCGTCTTGGTACGCATACGTGCACGTGCGATTTCTCGGTGCATGACCTGTCCGGGGGGCATGTTTCGCGCGATTTCGAGGGGCAGCACGGTGCGGAGAAGCTCTGTGCTGGGGCGGTGCGTCGCAGGACATCATGGACACGTGCGTGCTGGCGCTGAACCAGGAGTACGTGCAGCCGGGTGCGTCGGTCGGGCTGAAGGACGGCGACGAGCTCGCCCTCATCCCACCGATCTCCGGCGGGTGAGGATCCGCCAACATCGAACACCGCATTGGTTGGCTTGCACCTGGTGCTAGCGCGACACAGCACCGCCCCGCCACGTCGTCGCGCGGCCCGCGGACGCGGCGCACGCGGGCTGGTCCCGCACTGCCCGCTGGAGTGTGATCGGACACTACGGTCACTACAGTCACCGTCGCCACCACCCACAACAGACACCTCCACAACAGACAGCCCGCTCTCTCTGCGCGCGCTCCGTCACCGAAACGCAGGCCGTGCTGCGCGACCGTCGCTCTCCATCTGCCTCGCTCACACGGCCTGGACGGCTCCTCGCGGACCCCCCCTGCGCGGCGGGGCGCTGCATGTCCCCGCGCGCCCACCGCACGAGGCGCGCCGCTCAGCTCGCAGGCGCGGCCTTCTTGCCGTACGCGGCCCCGTAGATGCCCCCGAGCACGACGGCGGCGCCCACGAAGTTCCCGATGGTCACCGGGATGATGTTGGTCGTCATCATCTGCGCAAAAGTCACGTCCGCGCCGCCCAGCATCCCGAGCGTGATGATGAACATGTTGGCGACCGAGTGCTCCAGCCCGAGCGAGGCGAAGCACGACAGCGGCAGCAGGATCCCGACGAACTTCGACGCCAGCGACCTGCGCGGCACGCGATGCACCCGGGTGCGCACGAGCTCGGCGGGCCCCGCGGGAACGGCGCAGCGGCGGCGCAACAGTACGGGTGGGCAGCAAGTCTGCTTTCTGCGTTCGTTCGCACCTGGCGGCGTTGCCTTGGATGACGGCGATGCAGACCAAGAAGTTGCACAGCACCGCGCGGACGAAGGCCTGCGTCAGCGGCAGCGAGCACTTCGCGACCGCGAGGTTCCCCGGCGTCGCGCCGGCCGGCTGCCCCGCGGCCCAGAACGTCGCCGCCAGCGCCGCGGCGCCCACGAAGTTCGCCAGCCACACCACCGACAGGTTCTTGACCACGCCGCCGAGCTTCGCGCGGCCCTCGCGCAGCGCCATCGTGCAGAACGCGGCGTTCCCCGTGAAGAGCTCCGCGCCCATCACGCACACCATCAGGATCGCCGTCGGGAAGCCGTAGGCGCCAAACAGGAACTTCTGCAGCCCGGGGTTGGACGCCACCGCGCCGGGCATGTTGCCGCCGACCGACATGGCCAGCATGGCGCCGAAGCCGACGTAGATGCCCGCGGCGATGCCGAGGGGGATCATCTTCGAGAGCGGCAGCGTGGACTTGGCCTCGCCCAGCGAGACGCACAGGGCGTACACCGCGGGGCCGATGACGCAGTCCGCGACCGGGTGCGCGGCGGGGGGCGCGGCGGGGGCCGCGGGCGTCTGCGTCGGCCCGCCGCCGTTGGAGAGCTTGTCTTGCGCCGCATCGACGGGCGGGGACGCCGCATGTTGCTGCGGGCAGCGCAGTGCGGGGCGCGGTGAGGGCGGGGGCGCGGCGGGGCTGGATTTTCGCAATGTTCAGTGGTAGACGGCGACGGTGCGGCGGAGATTGCGCGGTGTGTGGCGGCGCGTGGGCCGCGAAGGGCGAGGTTGTTGCTATTGGTGCTGAAACCGCCGTTTTGCCCCGATATGCCGATCCCAAGCGTTGCATCCGCGGTCGGGCTTCCTGATATGTTGCAGTAATGTACGCGCGCGCACCTTCACGGAGATGCGCCGCGCAGGAGGCGCAGCGGTCCTCGAGGGCCTGCCAGCGAGCGGGCCACGAGGGAGGCCGCAGGCGGCCACGGCAGGCCTGACGCACTGCATCTTTCCTGCAGAACGCACGCACATATACACCGCAGCCTGTCACGCTGCGATGACGGGCGAGTTGCATCCCCTGCGTGCCCGGAGCACAGGATGGTCTCATCGACGTGGCACGGTCCGCAGCGCACCTGGGAAACACCGACTCTCTGACAACTAGGCAGCGAAGGACCTCCGGGACACACTGGCTCAGCTCGTAGTGGCGACGGTGCGCGCCGCCCGCCCCAGGTGACGCGCGGCGGGGGCGCAACGACTCGTCTGCAGGGGCCCTGACCCTCACGCACGGGGCCTTTTCGGGAGCCCCCGCGAAACCGCGCCAACGCGCGGCTCAACGACGCCCGGGTCTGGTTGATGGCGCAAATTGCCAAATAGCCGCGCGATCGGCGCGCTGACGGTTGCTGCGCCGCGGGTCGAGCAGCAACAGGCCATGCTGCACGTCGCGAGCGTTCTGTTCAGCAGCGACGCAGGAGCACCCCGGGGACGAACGCTAGGACTTCACATGGTCAGCCGGCGCGGGCCCCGCTCCACCTGGCCGCGCAGATACGCGTGCACCTGCAACACGTGCCAGGGAAAGGGTTGCTCCTTCACTGGCCTCTCAACCATCTGGCCCGCCGCTCCGGGCAGAACCGGCGCCACGCGAGCATGTGTTATCGAGGCGTGCGCTCGAGACACGGCCGATGCGCCGCGCCGGGCCGGCACTCCGGCGTCAGGCACAACAACAGCGGCACGCCGCCTGCGGGTCAGGCGGCGGTCCCAGTACGCACGCCCGCGCCTCGCGGGCTGTGAGTTCGGCGCAGTTCAGCACCACGAAGCTCTTCTCACCTCCGGGTAGCCCCGGGCGAGCGCGATGTCCGCCGCCGTCTCGCCGTCGTCGTTCCTGATGTCGGGGTCCACGCCCACCGCGATGAGATACTTGACGACCTCGAGGTGCCCGTCCTCCGCGGCCTCGTGCAGCGCAGTCTCGTCGTCGTTGTCCAGGGCGTTCACGTCCGCTCCGTTCTCCACCAAATAGCTGCCGCGAAGAGCGGCGTGCGTGTGTGAGAGTGAGTGATCAAGAGCGTAGCGGGCGGGGCTACAGGCAGGTTTGCACGGTCTCGCGGTGCGGCGTCGATGCGTGCAGCGAGCTCACCGCACGATCTCGAGGTTGCCCGTCTCCGCGGCGCCGTGGATGGGCATGTGTGGGGAGGTGCCGCAGAACCTGTAGTTCACGTCCTGCTTGCCGACGTTGATCGCCCACTCAACCTGGAACAAACAGCAATGAGCACTGCGCGTCGCGTCGCAGCCGTCCGGCGCGCCGGCGCGCGCAGCCTCTGCGCGCAGCTCACCCGTCACATGGCGCGATCAACGCCAGAGGCGGGCGCCTCACCTGCAACAAATTGCCCGCGAGGGCTCCCTTGCAGATGTCCGGGTCGCGGGGGTCGTACGAGGCGTCGCCGCGCACCGAACCCGCTGCAAGCAGCAGCGCAACACTGAACACCACCACGGCCGACATGATCGCTCCAAGTCACTCGTCTCGCGTGCAACCACGCTGGCTGTACTCGATTTAATTTTATTTTCGGTCTGCGCCCGGATTCCCGCGCGAGCCGCCAAGATGCCCCCGCAGCAGTTGCGCGCCAGCCTGGAGCTGCACACCCCCCCGCTGGGGTCAGCCCCGCGGCGAGCGCAGGCTCGCGCAGGCGCCCGACCCGCAACAGCCTCGAGCCAGTACGGGCTTGTGTCGTTCGCGCTCTCACACACCTCGACCGCGCGCGCGGCTCGTGCTCCACGCCCACACCCGCACACCCGCTATCATCGCCGCTTCCCGCCAGATTTCCGCGCCGCCTCCGCCTGGGCTTGCCGAGCGGCGAACCTGCCGAGGAACTTCGCGACCTGCCCCTCGCGCGCCACGGAGCCCGTGTCCAGCTCGCCTGCATGAGAAGTTGCGTGGCAGAAACCTCACGGGCAGGCTGGGGCGACGCGGGCGCAGGCTGGCGCGGCCCGAGGGCTCGGAGGGCCGCCGCTGTGGAGCTCCAGTCACATCGGTGGGCGCGGGCGGCTCTGGCGCGAGAGCATGCGTGCTGAGGGCCGCGGCGAGAGAGGGGGCGCGGGAGCAGGCGGAAGGGGCCTGGAGCGCACCCGTGATGAGAGTCGACTTGTAGATATCGTTATCAAGGAACGTGAGACGTCTGTTGAAGGCCGACGGCGACCGGTAGGACGCCCCGTTCGCCAGCACCACCTGCACGGGCCGCAGGAGCAGGTGCCACCCCTTGCGCCCCATCGCCCCTCCGACTACTCAGCCCGCAGACTCCGGGAACGCCTCCGTCTTCGTCGCGGATCACCTCAACCGCTCCCCGCAAGCGCCGCGGGTTAGTGCCGCCTTTCCTCCCGCCCCCAATGTCCCGTCTCCGTGCCTTCTTATCCCACGATACTACGTAATTTGCAGCTCCCGTGAATGAATCAGCGTCACTGAAGCCTGCGAAGGCAGCGCGGCCCCAAGTTCCCCACGGGAGCGCCCACCCCCCCGCAGTCCCCACACCCACCGCGCAGCTCCCACAGGCCCCGATGGGGCAGATCGAGGCCGGGCAGGGCGGTGGCGCCACCGCAGTAGCCGAGCGGCCACTTGCCACGCTCAGGAAACGGCGGCAGACTCCCGCAAGCCGCTGCACGACGGCGTCTCCGGTGATTTGTGAGGCTGCAGGGCAAGGATGCAGGCGGCGCTCCACACGTCGGTGCGGCGGATCTCAGCGGCGATCCAGAGCTCTGGACTGACGCACGAGCTCTCTGGTGCACTGCGCGGCGACGCAGGCGCGCTGGCAAGCGCGCAGCTGGGCTGGGTGAGCACGCCACGACTCCGCCTCGCGTCTCGGGCCGCACACGGAGACCCTCGACGAAACTGTTGCCCAGCATCACTGCACACATCGTTTCCATGCCCCTGATCCTCGCGTCAGCCGCGTTCGACCACCCTGTGGCTAGTCCCGCGCGCCCACCCTCACTGACGCGTGCTCCCTCCCTGCGCAGGCGCGCTGGTTCCAATCGAGCAACGGCGCTCGCGACAACGCGTGGCCGACCGCGAGCCCAGCGAGCAGCCCGGGCCCCGGGAAGCTGCCCGGAGTCGCGGTGCAGCCTGGGTACGAGTCTGGTCGGGAGCAGGGCATCGTCCACGTCAACACGACGAAGAACAACACGATCCTGACGCTCACCGACCTGTACGGATCGACCAAGTGCGCGGCGTCCGCGGGCACCGCCGGCAACAAGGGCGCGCGGCGGAAGGGCGCCGTCGCTGCTGGCGACGCCGCTGTTCAGCTGGCGCAGCGCGCGATCGGCCTGGGCTTCAAGTGCGCCGCCCGCCCGTTCCCCTGCCCGCGCGCACCCCCGCTGCCCCGCGCAGGGGGTCGTTCTTTTCGTTCTCGCTCGCTGAGACGTACGTTGTCTGTCGTTGAGCACTTGGACACAGTGACGTGAATGTCTTGTGGTCATCGACCCCGGCGGTGCGTTCGCAGGAACGTGGCGGTGCGGATCAAGGGCATCGGGGCGGCCCGCGAGGTGGCGATCCGGAGTCTGCAGGCCACGGGCCTGAAGGTCACGCGCATCGACGACACCACCGCGCTCCCGCACAACGGCTGCCGCCCACCAGCGCGCCGCCGCCTGTGACCGCCGCCTGTACACCGATCGTTCGTCACACGCGCGTGGCTCCGCGCGAACAGCGCGCCCGCTCCGCACGGCCCCAGCGCCTTGACTACCGAAACCATGGCCAATCATCGAATCCTGTCTCACGCTGCGTTCCCGGTGTGGTTATATGTCGTTTCTCGGCGCACCGCTCCTCAGCGCCCCGCCCCGGTCAGCGAGCGGCCCAGGTTCTTGCTGCTGTCGCGCGCCGGCAGCATCGTCGTGCTGGACGTGAAGTTGGGCTTCAGGCGCGGCGCCTTGTCCTCCCCCGTCATCTCGTACACGCCGGCCTTGGTGATCGTGATGCGCAGCTCCTCGAACTTGTCCAGCCTGCAACGCAGTGAGCACCCGCCAGGACCGTCAGCGCCACGCAAAAACAGAGACACGACCGCATTGTGCGGCGCAGCTGCGCCGTCGGCCTGCGCGGAGCCTGGCACTCACTTGAAGCCACGGATGCGGAGCTCCTCGGGCTCGGAGTTGTCGTTGCTGTCGACGTTCGTCAGCCCCCACCCGCCGTTCTTCACCGTCAGCCCGGTGACCTCGAGCCGCACCCCCGGGGCGCAGTCAAACACCACCGCGCCCTCGACCGTCAGCCCGTCGATCCACACGTCGCCGTCGACGACGAGGCTCGACCCCTGCGCGAGGTCCAGGTCGCGGACCCGCTTCGAGAGCCCCGCGAGCGTGGTGGCGAACCGCGGGCCCAGCGAGACCAGCGGCGGGACGTCCATGGCCATCCCGTTGAACGTGAGCTTCTGCGCCGGGCCGATCTTCGCGCCCGTGAGCTGCTCGAGCAGCCGCGCGTTGTGCGCGTACCAGTCCAGCTCGCCCGACGTCGCGCTGTGCGTGGGGTCCCCGTTCTTGTACTTGCCCAGCGCGTCGGCGGGGGAGTTCTTCACCGCCGAGTACGCGAACCACGGGTCCATCGACGTGAAGCCGACCTGCGCGCCGCGCGGGAGGCACTTCGGGTAGTCCTGCATCATGCACTCCAGCCGCGTGGACTTCTTGAAGGCCGTGCGCGTGTCGTCCTTGTACTTCGGGTTCACGAACTCCGCGATGATCCCGCCCGTCTCGTGCAGGACCTGCTTGTACGTCGCGACCTTGAGGATCAGCTGGTTGATGTTGCCCGGGAACGGCGAGAACCCGGACGCGTCGTTCACGTCGCCCTGCGGGTTGGTCGTCGCGCGCAGGAGCGGGTCCAGCTGGTTGTACTCCACGTTGATCGTCATGCGGCGGTTCCCCGAGCCCTGCGTGGGCTCCAGCAGCGCGATCGCGCCGACCGCCTCCTTGGCCCGCCGGGGCACCGCGATGCTGTTCATGTCGTAGCCCTCGTTCGCGGAGACGCCGAGGGCGGCGATGAGGCCGCGGAACGCAAAGGCGTTGGTGTCCTGGAAGAAGCAGACCCACTCGAAGCCCTCCGCGGCCCACTTGTCGACCAGCCCGGAGCTGTGCAGCAGGGCGTGCACGTCGCCGTGCCCGTGCGGCTTCGTCTCGACCGCGTACGCGTCCTTCGGGTCGATCGACAGCCGCGCGTCGCTGTCCATGAGGCACGCCACCTTCTCCTGCTTGATCAGCGTCACCTGGCTCGCCTTCATCCCGAAGTACGACTTGGACTTCAGGAGCATGATCGTGCGGTCGTGCGTGTCGTCCGACGTCATGATCGCGAGCGGCAGCTCCCTCCCGGACTTGGTCTGCAGCGCCAGGATGCTGCGGATGTACAGCTCGAGGTAGCACATCCCGCTCGCCTGGTCCACGGGGAGCGACACCTTGATGCCCGAGTAGCCCAGGCGCTCCCCGAGGCCGCCCGCGACGAGGACGAACGCCGCGCTGTGGGCCGCGCGCAGACCGGACGCCTCCATCTCCAGGAACTCCCCGGAGAACACGTCGAGCTTCCGGCCCTGCGCAACGAAGACACACGTGTCAAGCGCGAGACATGAGCCGCTGCGCGTACGAGGCAGCGAGTCGGACCGCGACGCGCGGACCGCGATCGGGCGGGGGGTGGCCGGGGCGGAGCGCGGCGGGGCTCACCTCGGGCACGGAGGGCGTGTAGCCGTCGAGGGGGTTGGTGCCCTCCTTGGCGTCCTTGAGCAGGCCGCGGGCGTTGCGGATGTACTGGCCGAGGCCGCCATTGTACGTGTCGTCGAGGGCGCACAGCTGCTTGACGAACGCCTTCTTCTTCGCGTCCTCCTTGCCCCTGCGCGCGCGAGCGGCACGCACGAACAACGCTCAGGGCGCCGTGGCAGCTTCGCGGGGCGACGACCGCCGTGATGTCGCGCGCTCGATGGAGCACGGCAGCGGTGCGTGCCCGGAGAGCGGGCCCCGGACTCACTTGGGCGGCCAGTTGGCCCAGAGGTGCTCCTGGCCCTCTGCGCGGAGCCCGTTGAGGAGCGCTAGCTCGTGCGTCTCGAAGAGGCTCTCGTTGCCTCCGGGGAGCCAGGAGGACACTTCCTTCGTGTCGACCTCGGCGTTGAAGCGCGAGGGGACCTTCTTGAGCGGCGAGGCGGCGGCGGAGACCACGTTCGGTCCGGAGTCGCCCTTCCTGCAGACGATGCTGCGCCGGTCACGGGGGGGAGCTGCTGGGATTTGAGGGCAGGCGCGGACAGGCAGTGGGCTTGCGAGCCCGAGGAACGCGCGTGCGGAGAATGCGCGGCGGGGGCGCCCGGCCGGCCGTGAGCTCTGTGTTGGATGCAGCGAGGCGTGTGCGGCCGCCGCCCGCGTCCGAAACCCTCAACGGCGGCCCGCGGGTCTCGCGCTGGCGATGCTGCGCGAATCGAGGGCGTCGATCCGGCGGGACCACGGAACCGGGCGCGTCGCGGCCCGCGCAAACAGGGTGCATCTGCGGGGCGACTAGCCGGGCGCAGCGGAACGCACGATGCCCACGCGATCGACCGTTCCGGCGCTGCGACGGCCGACTGGGGCCGGAATCGCACGCGCGATCGGGCCCATCCGCGCCGAGAGCGCCCAGCGTGTCGATGGTGGTTGCGTTAAGGGGGACGGCAGGCAGGTGGCGCATCAGCGCGAGGACGGGCGTTGAACGTCGGGCCGATGGAGAGCCCACGGGGCCCTCGAGGCCGTGGACCGGCGGGCCGGGGCCGGGCGGCTCCGGCGGGGCGTGGGCGCGCACCCCGCGATTGTAGCGCCCACGGCAACGGCGCCGGCGGCGATGGCTGCGCCGACAATGGCCCCCTTGCGGCCCTTGCCCTCCGTCTTGGCCTTCTTCGCCGGCGGCATGGTTCTAGTCCTGTTCGGCTTTCACGGCAGAGTGCAAGCGGGGTCGATCCTGGACAATGAAACCAGGCGCGGGGCGGGGGTGTTTTGTGCGAAATAATAGCCTTGAACCGCCGTACGAGACGACAGACTCTGCCGCACGCCCGCGGCGCGCCCCGGCATCGGCGGGCGCGCCGTGCCCCTCCGCACGTGGCACTGGTCTGCCTGAGGAAGACTGAGGAGGCCCTGGGGGTCATTGCCGCACTGTGCGGGAGCATTGGCACGGAACTGGCCGCAGTGGAGCACAGCAACGTAGACGGATGGCGTGCCAGGGGATCCGCGTTGGCGGGCGGCCGCGATGGGCCGTCGAGCACCCGCGACGGACAGGTGTGGCCAGAGCGGTCGCAGGGAGGGGGGATGGGGTGTCCAGCCCGCAGGCAGACGCAAAGGTGCGACTCTGACATAGCGTTCTGAGAAAATGCGGCTTGTTTGCCGTGACAGCGGCCCTCGCCGCAAGTCGTGGCTGCTGCATTTCTCCACCCCCGCTGCGTCGAGCGCCAACCGCGTGCCGTGAAGTCTTACGATGCGCATTTCTCAGACGAGTAGCTCTGTATGCGGTTCACGGCCTCGCTGATGCAGTTGCGCGGGCACGCGCGGTGTGCGCGCGTCCTCCAGGCTCTGTTTCACCGTCAACGACGGTTGCCCCCCCCTTGCAGGCGTCAGACACGTTCGCGCGCAGCATCCTCAACCGCGAACGCCGCGAAGCCATCCTCTCCGCGCGCCCGAGCGAGCGCCCGCCCCCGTGCCCCGCCGCCGACCGCCAGGCCCTCTCTGAGCGCCTGCGCGGGCAAATGATTCTGGCGCCGCTCACGCGCGCCAACCACGTGCCCTTCCGCGAACTCACCGTCAAGTACGGCGCCGAAGCCACCATGTCCGAGATGGCCTTCGCCCGCAACCTCACCGCGTAAGTCCTACCAGACACCAAAACATGATCATCAATCAATCAATTCATGAATCATCCACCAGCTCGCGCACCTGCTGCCCCGAGCTCCTCCTCCTGGGAGGCGCTCCGTCTCGCCGGCGCGCAGCCGCTCGAGTATCGGCCAGCGACAGACTGCAGCAACTCAATCAACTGCATCTATATGTATGTACATACACGCCGAATATAACTGGCAGTCTCTCAATTGCTGTTCTCGACGTGCGCTGCGACGCAGGCGGCGGCCGAACCTGGTGGAGCTTTCGCGTCTCCGCCGCTCCGCCGCCGAGCCCCTGTACGGCGTGCAGGTCGCCACGAAGCAGATCGACGAGTGCGTCCGCGCGGGCCTGCTCGCGGCGGAGGCGGGCGCGTCGTGGCTGGACCTCAACTGCGGCTGCCCGATCCACGAAGCGACGCGGCGCGGCCTCGGCGCAACGCTGCTGCGGAAGCCGAAGAAGCTCGCGCGGCTCGTGCGCGAGACCGCGGCCGCCATCCCCATCCCGATGACGGTCAAGATCCGCACCGGAGAGAAGGAAAAGAAGATCAATGTGCTGGAGGTAGTCGAGGCGCTGCAGGACACTGGGATCGCGGCGGTGTCGATCCACGGGCGCACGAAGGAGGCGCGGTACACCCGCGCGGCGCGCTGGGACTTGATCCGCGACGCGGTGGCGGCGTCGCAGGTGCCGGTGGTGGGCAACGGCGACGTGCTGACGCACTACGAGGCGCGCGACAAGCTGCGGGCGTCCGGGGCGCACGCGGTCATGGTCGGCCGCGGGGCGCTGATCAAGCCGTGGATATTCCAGGTGCACATTTGTTGCTACAGCGACGCCACGTGGCTGCCCGCAGCGACGCACTGCGCGGTGCCGGCCGGTCGCAAGGCGGCGGAGCGATCTGCCGGTTCCTCGCAGCACCTAGGGAGCGTGGCGTCGAGCGTGCTCCGTTCATAAAAGCTTGGTTGGTTGGTTTCGACTTTCCGATGTGTTCTTGTTCTCGTTGCAGGAGTTCAAGGAGAACCGAGTGATGCTGCCGACGACGCGCGAACGCATCGGAATCTACATGGAGCTCGTCGACCTCATGAAGACGTACTTCGGGGACGACGCGCGAGGAAGGTGCGCTTGCGCACGTTAATGCCCACTGCCCTCGCAGCCGAGAGAGAGAGCAGCCTGCTTTGGGAGCTTTGGCCGCGCGAGTGGGACTGTGCTCGTCGTTTCACACGCTGCCCGCGCAGGAGCAAGGCGTGGTACTTTTTCCCGTGGCACTTCAGCTTCCTGTGTCGGTACCGCCCCATGCCGGAGGACATGTTCCTGGAGGCGTCCCGCGAACACCCGCTGATCAACAGCCGCTTCGACGTGGCGGTGGCGGGGCTCGAGGGGCACCCGGACGGCCGCGACCTCCCCCCGCTGGAAAGGTGCGCCACGTCGTCCCGCGCCAACAGCGGGCCCTCCGCGCACGACACGCCATGTCGGGCCCCCGCCGTTCGGTGCGCATTGAGCTCAGCGCCGCGGCTGTCACCGTGCGAGCGCAGGCTGCTGCGGTGCCAGTACGACGACGCGCACGAAGCCCTTGCGTCCATCCTTTGGGACGAGGGGCCCGACGAGGGCGCGGTGCTGGCAGCGCTGCAGCGCGCCGCGGACACGGACCTGCCAGGGTGGGACGCGGCGCGCAGGGGGGTCGCGGAGGAGGAGGCGCGCGCGGAGCGCGAGCGCGCTGAGCGGCGCACAGCTCGGTCTGGCGGAGACGGCGAGGGGGGGGACTCCGAGGAGGAAGAAGAGCCCGACGCACTCGTCCTTGGGTGACAGACGGGTCATGGGAGACGTCGGTGCTGCAAGTGATGCCGGGTGATTCAGTCATTCGGTGAAGTGAGACATTGTCCCGACACGCACAACTTACAGCCCCTTGCGGCGCTGGCGTGCTTCGTTCACGCAACCGCACGCCGTGCGGGCCCTCTCACGGCTGCACCAGCTCCCGCTCGCCCCAGAACAGCCCTTCGCCGGCCTTCGCCCCCTCCGGCGCGAGGCAGAGCCACACGGGCGTGTCCGCGCCCTGCTCGACGGTCTTCGGCCCGCGATGAGAGCTCATGTCCGTAGCAACGTACCCTGGGCAGCAGCACGACACCGCGACGCCCTTCTCCGCCGCGCGCTTCGCCAGAGACCGCGTGTAGCACGCCTCGGCCAGCTTGCTCATGCCATACATGCTCTGCGGGTAGCCCTTTCGCGCGTAGTCCCCCGCGGCGACGGCCTGGAGGAACTCCTCGGCCAGCGGGTCCACGGCGTCGCGGTCGCCGCTGGCCGCCGCGGCCTGCCACTTCGCGAGGTTTTCCTTCGTCTTGAGGATGGACGACAGGCCCGCGCGCGAACAGACGGTGACGACGCGCCCGCCGGCCGGGATGAGCGGCAGCAGCGCCTCCGTCGTCTGCGAAAGGAAGGGGCGAGCAGTGGCGGCACCGTCGCACACGCCCCTGCTCCCACGCCGCATCGAAACGTTCCACGACAGTTTATTCGATCAACTCGTGGCTCTACGCAGCGAACAGTCAGCCAGCTCAGGGCCTCGGACGGGTCCGCAGCTGCGGGCCTTGCGTGGGCGTCGCGCACACGCTCGCCTGCCACGGTCGGCGGCGCGCGGGCGTGGCGGTGCGTACCTGCTTCGTGCCGTAGTAGTTGACGGCGAAGGTCTGGCGGCACTCGTCCGCGCCCCACGTGTCGCCCTTGAACGCCATGCCCGCGTTGTTCAGCAGAATGTCGATCTTCCCCAGCTCCTCCCCCGCCCACGCAGCAAACGCCGCCACCGACTGCGGGTCCGCAATGTCGAGCTGCCGGAACACCACGGGGGCCTCCGGGAACTCGCCCTTGATGCGCTCCACCGCGGCGGTCCCGAGGGCCGGGTTCCGCGCCGCCACGACCACTGCGGACGATCCCGTCGGTGCGCGCCCGAGTCAGTTACACTGTTGGGGGAGGGGGGTCGCAGTCGCAATGGTTCCGCTGCGCACGCGCTCGGGTGTGCTGCGGGCCGCGTCGTCGGGACTGCGCTCAAGCGAGTCGGCGCTGGAGCGGCCGTTGGTGTGACCCGTGCAGCGCACCTTTCAGGCCCTCGCGGGCGAGCTGTCGCGCGGCCTCGTGCCCGATGCCTTTGTTCGCGCCGGTCACGACGGCGACGGTGTCCGTTGTCCACCAGCGCTCGAGGTCCTTGAAGCCCTTGGGCGGACCACTGGGCGCCCTCCTGCAGCGCACCAAGAGGACGTCCGCCCGCAGGTTATATGCAGCGCGCGTGATGTTTCTCCCGCCGGGACAGTCACGCACAACCTCTCCAGCGTGCAGACGGCGACCGGACATGCCGGAACGCGCGAATGCGGGTTGCGACGCGCGTAGAAACCGCCTAGAGGTTTGCTGCACGCGATGCGCACCAAAAGGCCATTGTTCTGGTCCCGATTCGATGTCCGTGGTGCCTTGGAGAGCAGAGGCGACGAGCGCAGTGCGATGCGGGGCCGAAACCGCGATGAGCAGTGCGGACTAGGCGGCAACGAGGGTGTGCAGCGCAAACTGCAGAGGCGACGCCGCGGCGAACGGCGACGGATATCATGTGTCGCGCGTGGAAGCTTGCGTCGAGGTATCGCAACAAGTGCAGCACGCCGCGCGGGCCGGCCGGCGAAGAGCCTGTCGTCTGGGAGCACCCAGGTCATGTTCCTTCTACCGCACGCGGGGGCCTTGTCGCGACACACCTGCGCGAGCGTTTGCCACGCGGCGCTCGACCCGCATGTCACTCGGTGCGCGAGCGACTCGGACCTCGTTCTTTTGCTTTGATGTGGCGCGGGAGGGGCGGAAACCTTCCTCCGCAAAACACACAGCGTTTCCGACTCGTCCTGAGATAGGCAGACAGGTTTCTCGCTCGCATCGAGACGGTAGTCCTGCGTCCGCCTGGGAGGCTCGGGGTTCGAGGAAACAGGTCTCGTCTCGCGCAGTTCGGGGGCGACAGAGCCTGGGATGGAGCAAGCGGGGGACGGGTCCGCGCAGGGTCCCCGGGACGTGGACGCGCACATGCTGGACAACCTCAGCTCGATCTCCGAAGACGACATCGCCGCGCACGACCCGGTCGCGGCGGTCGACGACGACGACGCCGGCATGAGCACCGGCACTGGGGAGGACCTGGGGGACGCGGGGTCGGACGAAGAGGAGCGCCTCGATGACGACGAAGATGACGATGACAGGTGCGCTGACCCGCGCGAGTTCGACCGGCTGTCACCGCTCACACGAGCCGTTCAGGGCGTTGCACGATGCGCGGTGAATCACGCCCGAAACGCACCCGGAAAAGCGCCTCCGCGGCTGTTGCTACCTCCCGGATGTGGTCTTGCCGCGGTGACGGATGTGGTGTAGTCGCAGTGACCGGGCTTGCTTCGCCTTCCCGGGAACGCCCAGGACCAACGTGAGCCCAACCAACCACCGTCCCTGCAGGCCCCGGCCGCCCCCGCCGCGCCGTATCAACGTCCCGATGGACCTCCTGCGCATGATCGGGCTCGACATGGCCCACAGGTCCTCGTCGCACGAGTCCCTCGTCGACTCGCTGCGCTCCAGCGGCCACATCAGGTCGAACGACGTCGAGGCGATCTTTCGCGCGCTGCCCCGGGCCTGGTTCCTCCCGCCCGCGGCCCGCGAGGAGGCCCTCATCGACGCCCCCGTCAGGCTCGACGAGTACGGCTTCAACGTCTCCGCGCCGCACATGTACGCCCCCGCGAACCTCCCCTCGTTTCCACACAGCGCGCGCCGCGCAGGCACCCGCGGATCCAGCCGCGCATCGGTCGCCTCGACGCACAATAAATCAGGCTGCCGACGGCCGTTGCGATGGCCGTGTTCTGCAGGCACGCGGCCATGATCGAGGAGCTGGCGATTGAGGCCGGTCAGGACGTGCTGGACGTCGGCTGCGGCTGCGGCATCACGACCGCGTACTGCGCGCTGCGCGCAGGGAGCGAGGGCAGCGTCTGCGCGATCGACATCCGCCAGTCTGCGGCGCGCATGACGCGCTCCAACATCGACAGGGCCATGCGCCGCAAACCGCACCTGTCGTTCGCGCCCGTGGAGGTCTACCACGGCGACGTCTTCCTGCCCGGCGATCTCCACGATCGCAAGTTCGACAAGGCGCGCACGAACAGCAACTGCCACGATTACATGATGATGCCATTTCGATGTCTGACTGGAATCCAGAGCAACCCACACACGCGGAGGCAGCACGCGGCGTGCCAACGGCCTGCACTTCGCCGCACCGGTCCCAGACATCCCCGTCCCTCGCTGCGCCGCAGATCCACATCGGCGGCACGTGTCCGAGCGTGCGCATGGACGACGTGCTGGCGCTCGTGAAGCCCGGCGGCACCGTCGTGGTCCCGCTCGAGTCCCACCTGGTGCGCGTGAGCGTGTCCGACAGCGGCGAACCGGCCTACCACAACATCACCGCCGTGCGCTTCTCCGACCTCGAGTGCCCGCGCGAGTCCGTGCTCGCGCTCGCCCGCCTCAGCATCACCACGCGCGACCAGTGCCGCGTCCAGGTGCCCCCGTGGACCCCCCCCGCGCCGCCCGACGCCGGCGACGTCGACATCGCCCTCGCCGGCTCGAGCTTCGAGGTCCCCGTGCCCCGCCGCCTCCTCGCCGCGCGCTCGTCCTTCCTCCAGGCGATGGTCGGGTCCGGAATGCGCGACGCCAACGCCCCTCGGCTCGCGCTGCCCGAGCACGTCCCCGAGGCGGCCGTGCGGGCGTTCGTCGCGGAGATTGCGCGCGAGGAGGGCGCGGCGCCCGGCGCCGCGAGCCTCCTCGAGGCGCCGATCCCAGACGACGCGGCGGCGGCGGCGGCGGACAGGGAGTGCACGCTGGGCGTGCTCGAGGTCGCGCACTACCTGGGCGTGGACAGGGTTGCTGCGCTGGCGGTTGCGCGGCTGCTGCGGGCGCTCTGGGCGCTGGGGGGGGGTATGCCGGGGGAGGGGTCTCAGGTGGTACAAGTCGGGCACAAGATCGTGTCGAGCGACGAGGACGCGGGCGGGGCGAGCGACGATGGCGCTGGGTCCGCGCCGGACGAGGACGCGGAGCGGAAGGGCTTCCGTGGCGGTTTCGACGGCCGTGGGGGAGTGAGGGGGGGGGGCGTTCCGACGGGGGCGAGGGAAGAGGCGATCGGGTTCGCGGCGCAGCTGCTGGTGGCTGCGACGGACCTCGCGCTGCCGGAGCTGGAGGCCGCGACGTCGGAGTGGGCGCTGCAGAACTTCGACGCGCTGCAACTGGCGGCGTCCGAGGCGTGGCGCGCCCTGCCGCAGCCGGCCGCGCTGTCGTTCGCGGCGCGGGCCGCGGCGGCGTACAAGCGGGTGATGGGGGCGCTCGAGGGCATGGCGCGCACGTACGGGTACCGCCACTGACAGGGGCGCCTGGTGTACAGAAACGGACGTGGAACGTCCATGCGCTAAATCGACGGCATGAATGCTTATCAAGGAAGAACGCATCTGTCTTGAACGTTCTCTGCTCTGACTGACCCCTAGGTCTCGAGCGCACGAAACACGGGGGGGGTGTAATGAACTTTCAGTCTGACAAATGTGTCAAAACCGGAGGTCACAATAACCAAGGAAAGGGGTGGCCGAGAGCAACGACGTGGTGGAGTACCCGCACGCAAGATGAGCAGGCGGCGGCAACAGATGTCGGGGTCCCAGCACCTGCGCACGCAGCTTGAGTGAAGTCTTCGATGAGCGACGAGCCCCGCGGGCGTGCGGGTACTCGTCGGCAAGCCCCATCACGCGGCCCGATGTCGTCGGCCGGCGACCCTGCCCGGTGAGACACACGCAAGACATCACGCATGTCAGGTGAGGCGGTGACAGCCCCCTCACGTCACCCGCTACTCGGGCCGCTCCTGGAAGCACACGTTGGGCAGCGGGTCCGCGTGATGGTTGGCAAGGGGTGGGGGTGCATCGCCCAGGAAGCTCGTGCATGGACCTTTAACACACCGATGATGTTGTCATGGGACTCCAGGGCCGCGGAACACCCACACGGCCGCAGGATGGGGACGGGGGAGGGGGGAGGGGGAGGGGGGGGGGGTTTCGGTGTGGGGTGGGCGGGGAGCGGGGGTGTAAACCGCACGGTCCCGGTCAGTGGCGGAAGCGGAAGGGTGCAAACCACTGACCCGCACGGCGCCTGACGCAGGCACCTGCACGCCCGGTCGCGCATCACAGTGCATTGACGTGCCGCCTCGCCTCGATCACCAAACCGGCGCGCGCACCCCCACGCAACCCCCCGCCCCTTCATGCGGGCGCGACCCCCCCCGAGTCCTTCCCAGCGTTCGGGAGCGTCAGCGCACGCTCCTCGTCCATGCTCACGTTCCCCGCGCGCCCCTCGCCGCTCCGCAGCTGCAGCCCCCACGCCGCGTAGATCACCAGCGACACCGCCACCGCCGACCCCGACAGCACCACCAGCCGCCCGAAGTTCGCCGGGTCCGACAGCAGCGACGCGATGCCGAGCATCAGCAGCTCCGTGAGGCTGCACAGCGCGGCCTCCGCGGACGACACCTGTCCGCAGATGTTGGACGGAACCATGGTTTGGAAGACCTGACTCACGCACATGTCATACATCCACAGCCCGACGCGCGACACCACGACGAGCCCGCAGAACGCCGCGAGCTCCATCGACGGGAACCCGAGCGCGGCCGCGATGCCCGTCGCGGCCTCCACGGGCGGCGGCGCCGCTGCGGCGATGGCTTGCGCCCCCTGCGACGCCACCGAGGCCCCCAGCGCTGCGTCGACCGGCGCGAGCCGCGCGAAGTAGATGTACATGCACGGCAGCAGCGCCGCCGCCTGCACGCCGAGCGACGCGAACCCGGCGCGCACCAGCCCGAGGCGCTTGATGGTGACGTCGGCGAGCCAGACGCCCACGAAGCCCATCGCGGCGCACGAGCCCCGGAAGAGCGCGGACGTCGTCCCCGGGAGCCCCTTGCTCGCCTGGTACGCCGTCATCAGCCCGCCGGGCGACAGCACCGCGTTGAAGAAGAGCGCGATGTACGCCAGCGACGGCAGCAGCGACCGCTGGGCGAAGAACAGCCGCCACCCGTTGACGATCGCGCGGACGCTGTAGAAGGCCGCGCGCACGGAGTGCCCCGCGACCTCCATGAGGCGCTGGTGCGCGAGAGTCCCCGGGGAGGAGTCGGAGCTCTCGGCCATCAGGCGGAGGCCGAGCATGCCGGCGCCGGGGGTGTCGGTGGGGCGGAAGAGCGCCTCGCCCATGATGCGGCTCATTTTCGCGGTCGCGAGGAGCTGCGCGGGGCACGACAGCGCGACGAGGCCGGCCATGGTCAGCAGCGCCGCCACGGAGCCGTACTTGGTGAACACCAGGCCGAACAAAAAGGTCCCGGCGATCTCCGCGAGCTGGTCGATGCGGCGCGTGTTCGCGTTGATGTCCACGAGCCACTTCGTGTTCTTGTTCGCCAGCACAACGGTCCAGTCCCGCTCGATCGCCACATCCGTCCCTGCGACGACGCACAGCGCGACATTCGGGGTCTCGAACAGCCGCGCAAACCCGTCCGGCGCCAGCCAGGACCTCGTCCTGACCGACGAGCACCTCCGTTCTGCGGGGTCGGGCGCATGTCCGTTCTGATCTACGCAGTTGGGCTCGCAGTTGTTCATACCTGCGTTAAGGATGCGCTGCGCGCACGCGATGATGGCCATCACGGCGAAGGCCGCCGGGCTGATCACGCCGCCGCCGCCGGGCCCGAGGCACCACGCCACGAGCATGCACGACACCACAACCATGAGGTTCTGTCCAATGAGGACAATCAGCAGACCGGCGCGGCGGTCGATCGAGTCGAGCACCACGCCGATCAGCGGGCCGAGGAGGAACATGGACAGCTGCGCGACGAAGCCCAGGGTCGCCACCGACGCGAACCCGCCTGCAGGCGGCCGGGTGGGAGGTGTGTTGACACGAGGGGGGGGTGTATTCGCCGCCGGTGGGGTTGCGGCGCGGTGGAGCGGCGGGAAGCGGTGCGGGGGGCCGTTCGGACCTGGGAGCTGGGCGAGGATGAGGGGGAGTCCGAACCGCCACGTCCGCTCCACCCCGCAGCACACCACCCACGCCACGTACAGCCACCTCGCCGCGGCCCCGCGGTCGAAGCTGAACTGCTTCTCTCCGAACAGCTCGGAGGCCTCTTGCGGCGCCGGGTCCGTGTCCAGGTCGGCCAGCACGGGCCCGTCCGGGTCGCAGCCGGGCTCCTCGCCCGTCGAACGCCCCCCGCCCTCTCCCTGCGCCGCGCGCCGCCTGACCGCCGGCCTCAAGGGGCGCCTCCTTGACGGATGCGGCCGTGTGCGCTGTGTGAACCCGCGTGCGCTCGCCTCCGCGTAGGAACCACCACCTTCACTCCAGCTGCCCAGACTGGGTGTTCGTCCGGGGCGCGCCGGACATTTCAGGTCCGGTCCACGCGAGAGAGAGTGGAGAGTAGTCGGGCGCGGCTGGACAGTGGCGCGTTGAATGTGACGGCTGCCCAGGGCGCAGGTGTGTAGCTGCGCTGCTGCTACCCGCGTCGAGGCGTGCACGGGCTGCCCGCGCGACGGCAGCTGCGCCACGCATGGCGCCTGCATCTACGGACTAGCTCGCAGGCCAGCAGACACAGGACTATCTCCCGCCGCCCTCGACCTGCGCGCCCACCAAGGAAGGCACTGGATGATCCAGACGGCTCTTCTGCACGCACCCGGGCCCACGGCGCGGCCAGCTTGCTCCCTGCAGCTATCCGTAGGATTGTGGAGCCGCAGAGGGCTTCGGAAATCGCAGACGAATGCGAGTGCGGCCGCACGCAGCTGTCGTAGCAGTCAGCCCTGCACACCCGCCGCAAGGAGACGGTTCGCCGCAAACACACCCTCGATGCGCCTCTACGGGAAAGTCGACTCTCTCACGCGCTGCCGGGAGCAAAGAGCCGGGCCCGCGGCGCTGCGGGTCGCCAGACGCCACGGGAGGCAGTCGGGCAGGGACCGTCAGACCGGCTGGTCCGCAGTGCAGCTGGCAGCGGGTATGATCGCCACCGGAGCGATGCACCCGTGCATGATCGCGTAACCAGGGCCGCATTCGGCCATTGCATGGAACGAAAGCGACGCGGGCCTTTGATCGCCGGGAGACCTCGGGTCAAGGAGGGGGGTCGAGCGCACTCGCCAGCGGGCCACTCGACGGGTCCTCGCACGCACCGAGCGTGCAAGAATCTGAGAGGCCGATCAGCCCGCAGTTGGGCGGAATCCGGCCCTGGATCGCGCGCAAGGTCCGACGCCCAAGGCTGCATAGCACGCTTCGCACCCGGGACCGGCATCGGGCTCGCCCCGGCTTCCTGACCCTAGGGGCACACAAGCTCGCCCTCGGCAACGTCGTCGCGCCCTCGTCTCTCACGCAGCGGGCGGAGAACCGCCGCGAGGACCCCCAACAAGCACACCGCACCCCTTCAAACGGGTTGGGCCGGAAAGCGCCGAGACCGGGCCGCCGCGGCCTCCCGGGGTTCGCCGTTCCGCGGCCCGGCCTACGGTCTTCCTGGACGGGGCGGAACGGGCCTTGCTGTCGGCGAGGTGAGGCGCGCCGCGGAACCCTCGAGAGACTCAACAGGAGTCGTTCGAGGTCGAGATTCCGGGTCTTATCGTCCCTGAGTCTTCATGGACGTGCGCCGACTCGCATTGACGCGGTCTGAAACGCATCCCTCGCAGGCTTTCGATCGCTCCAAGTCGGACCACAGCGCGTGCGCCGGCACTCTTCGTTGAGAGTCTACCAGCGGCGCAGCCGCCCCGGGAGCGGCCGGGTCTGCCTCCGGAGTCGACGCGGGGTCCGCCGTGTCTGTCTGTTCGCGCGTCAACATGGAGGTGCTCCTCGAGAAGGCCGTGCTGCTGGCCGTGGCCGCTGCGCTGGGTGCAGCACTCCTGTGGAAGGCCTGCGCGCTGGCGCTCCTGCTCGCGGCGGACACGCGCCGGATACCTGCGCGCCTGAAGAAGCGCCTTCCGAACGCCAGGCTGCGGCACGCTCGGGCCGTTGTGGCCGCGCGAAGGCTGTGGGGCTTGGCAACACAGGGGGTGCTCACGACAGTCGCGGGGCTCCTCTCCCTGGCGCGTCTCGGGTCCGTGCCCGGGGAGCGCCACGCCAGGTGCGAGATCGTCGGAGGGGAGGCGTGCTTGGTTGGACGGAGCGCTGCGATCATCCGCGAAACACCCCTCCTTTTTGTTGTTCGTCGCAGATCGAGGCGGAGCGGGCACCGCGGCGTTCGCGCCGGACGTGCGACTCACAGCGATAAAGTCCGCCGAAACCAGGCGCCGTCCGAGACCGGGAACGGCGCAGCGCACGGCCGAGCCCCCGACGAGGAGTTGTCAACTGTGCGCTCGTTCGCGGCCGAGGCACCGCCCGGGCCGCGACCAGCTGCGCCCGAGGCGACGGAAGAAAAATCGGGGACGGACGTCTCGGTGAAGGCTCGGCGAAAGCGCGCGAAGGGGCGACGCAGCGCGGGCTACACGATCCTGCAGGCAACGGAGACGAGCAACGCGGACACGCCCGCAACGGCCCGCTCCGGGCGGTCCGTCGTGAGCAAATCCCTCGAGCAGGAGCGCGCGCACAAGACGCGGTCGCACGGCGCTCGACGACGGAAGACGGGGGCGGCGCTGTGGTCGTCCGAGACGGACGCAGAGGCCCCGCAGGGCGGGGCGGCCCTCAGGGAGGACCTTGCGGCGTGCAAAAGCTCCGCGTCGACGGTGAAGGACGACTCTACGCAGCCATCTACCCTGGACGTCACGGCCGCGTCTTCGGCGCCGGAAGACCGACGCGGCAACTGCGTCGACGTCGCAGATGTCGAGAACCAGCGATCCGCGCCCATCGCGGAGGGCGCCGACTGCGGGTCCGAGGCGGAAGAAGGCGCGCTATCCGCAGGCATCGTCGCGTCTCCGGTGTCCAAGCACATCAGGGCCGTTCGCGCGCAGGCGACGCGAGTGCTGCTGACGTCAGGTGCCGTCGTTGAGAGCGGCTCCGGCGCTGTTGTGGTGGACCCCGCCGAAGAGGCGGCGCTTCAAGTGTCGGGCGGTCCGGCGGACGAACGCCCCCGGGCGCAGTCGCGGCAAGGTCCGCAGGTGCAACAGCGTGGCGGGCGCGCGGGAGGTGCGCACGGCGCGCCGGTCGCCGCGACTGCGGCGCCGTGGCACGCTGGACGCGGACCCGTGGACGGGCGGGAGCAGGGCGGGGCGGGTGGGCCGGGCCACGGGCGCGGCAACGGGCAGCAACACAGGGGGGGGGGTGTCGCTGGGAGTCACGGGCGTTCGCGCGGGGACGCGGACCGAGGCCATGATCGAGGGGGGCGTGCGGTGCGCGGGGGGCGGAGGGAGCGGGCTCCGGAGCACGTGCGGCGGTCGGATGGTCATTCCGCGCAGCTGGAAGACTTCAATCCGTATCTGGCGATTCCTTCAGATGAAGGGGACACGAGCGACCCCGAGCTCGGGCCCGAGCAAGCCGTCACCGAGCTCCTGCAGATGCGCCGCTCCGAGTGGCCGGCGCTGGCCGGAATCCCACCTCCGATGCCGCCGGTCGGCCCCCCCCAGCTCCTGCCGTTCACTCCCCCGGGGTTCTTCCCACTCCCCCCGCCGCCCGTGCCGCGGTCCCCGCGCGGACCGCCGCACCACGCGACGCTGTCAAGGAACGTCAGGGCCTCCCGCGAGCACGACCGCGGCCGCAGGGTGTCGTCGCCGGCTGCATCCGGCCGCACCCACCACCGCCGCAGCCCCCCGGTGGTCGCAATCGTGCCGGCAACGGCGCCACAGCAGCCCAGGACGGCGCCCGACGCGCCCATGGCCCTCGCCAGCATCGACGACCCGTCGCTCGTGCTGTCTTTCGACACGGAGTCCGAGCCCGCGTCCCCATGGCATGTGTCTCCGGCATCCTTTGTCCGACGGGCGTACCGGACACCCCCCTCGATTCGACAGAGCCCCGGCGGGCTTCGCAGGCAGGCAAGCGATCAGTTCGGGCGAAGGGGGTCGTTCGCGGCGGACTCCCCCCTCCGCAGCCCCGCAGTGCGCTGGGCGCGCTGCGTCGTGCACAACGCGCGGCAGGCGCACGGAGCGCCCGGCGTCGGCGAAAGCGCGACGCACATGCAGAGACTCCCCACGATCGACCGCCCCAGTCCCAGCGCCAGGTGAGTGGACCCCAACCTATCCTGCACTGAAACGGCGTGCGTTGGAGCGTGTCTGAAGCTTCCTGAGCGCGTGCGTGATCGCGTTCGTGCAGGCGCAAGCTCGCTCTGACCCCCGATGCGCCGCCCTTCGTCCCGGGGCGGCAAGCGCACGACGCGCCCCTGCATCACCCCCCCCTGAACGGCACGGGGCTGCCGGGGCCGGCGACGCCGCCGCATGGGGCCTCAGAGCTGCGCATCAGGCCGTGGGGCTCCCCGGACGGCGACGGCGACCGCGACGAGGTGTCGCCGGTGTTTGTGCTGCAGGATCTGATTCGCCGCAGTGCAGTGCCCGGGCTGCGTCTCCTCGCGAGCCCCGAGGACGTCGAGATCGAGCACGCAGAGGAGATGCTCGCGCGCGCCCTGTCCGGCGCGGTCGAGGCAGCCGCTGTCCAGGTAGGACGAAAAACTCCCCTCCCACCCCCGCCCTTCTCAACAAGAATGGTGCAAGTGGCATGAGGATGCCGCTGGTGCGGAGCCCTCGTGCAAACGCCTCCTGAGCTGTGCGATGGTTGTGCGCTGCAGGGGCGCGGGCGGCCGCGGCGGGCGTCTGACCAGAGCGTGGGTGGGGCGGGGGTGTCCCCGATGCAGGCGCACTGCCTGCATGAGCTCTCCCGCATGTCTGGGCTCGAGTCCCTGGAAGCGTCGCGGCTCCGGCACATGGTCGCGCAGCAGGCGATGGACATCGTAGACGACGCGGACGCGCCGGGGCAGGGACAGGGGGGGGCTCTCAACAGCGAGTCCGACGGGCGATGTGAATGAGAGCACCGCTCCCTCCACGCGGTGCACGGGCCCGCATCGCTCACACGCTGCTCGTCCCACTCACCCGACGCCCTTCACTCCCCCCTGGACTCCCCCCAAACAGGACTTGCCGCCGCCTGTACGTGGGGGCTCCGCACGGCCCCCGCGTCCTCCGCGCCGCCCGCGTCCTCCGCCACAAGCATATACAGCATGTCTTCGAGCTCCTCGTTCCTCCGCTGCAGCATCGCGTTCTTCTCCAGCAGCGCCTCGCGCTCCGACATCAAATGTTGCAGGTCAGACACGAGCGCGGCCTCAATCATGCCCTCCGCGGTAGCGGACTCCGCGCGCGACTGCAGCCGCGACAGCGCCTCCGCCGCCGAGCCCTGCCGCACCGCCGCCGCCTCGGCGCTCTCGTCCGGGGCATCGCGCGCGTCAGGGACCCACAGCATCCTGCGCGTGCGGCCCGCCGGGAGGTCGGAGGCCGCCTTGCAGAGCCCTGCCGCGCCGCTGGCCTGCGCGTCGTCCGCGAGCGCGGTCGCCGCGACCAGCGCGGCGACGGAAGCCGTGCGCGACCGCGACGGACACACGCCCCGCATCTCCGTCTCCGTCACTGCATCGACCTTTTGCGGGGCCACAGCCGTCGCCATGGTCTCCGCGGCCGTCGCGGGGCCATCCGCGAGGCTGGACGCGTCCCTGGGGGTCTCCGGACGCCGTGTCGGGCAGCGGGGGGAGTCATGGACGCCGACGGCTGCGCGGACGAGCTGCGCGGCGGCCTCGAGCACGTCGAGCGCGTAGTCGATGCTCGCGACGAGCGCCCTGGCCGGGAGGCTTGCGTGCGAGCTCCGCGGCGAGCGCCCTGAGCCCTCGTGAACAGGCGGTTCCTGAGGGTCGCCCGCGACCGCGCCGTCTGCCCGCTCGGTGGAGATGCGCGGGGCGCCGGGCTGCTGGAACCGTGCGTCGAGGAGCGACACGATTGCTGTCGGGGCGAACGAAGCCGCGGCGACGACTGCACGGCGGGAGGGGGGGCAGCAGCGGTGGTGAGGTGGCAGTGCTGTTTGGTCGATGCGTGGTGGACAGAGACACGTAAGAATAATTTCGAAGGTACAGAGAGGTTTATCATAGATGATGTTAGGTGTTTGGAAAACCAAACCGCCTTATTATCCCAGATTTACGTCGCACGCGGCGACGACTGCTCACCTGGGGCGCCCCGCAACGCCAAAGCACTTCGCGCCAACACATCAATCACGAAACGCACGACTTCGCCCGACACCTTCGCTCCCTCGCCACCGAGCATCCACCCGAGGGCGGCCCCAGGGGCTCGCATGAGCTGTGCCGCGACGACGACCGCGCGTTCCCCTACACCTGGCACGTCCAGGGAAACGGACGACAGCGCCAGGCCGCCCTTCTCAGACATGATCCGAGCGCGCGGGCGAGTGTGTATCAGCTCCACGGCCGCGCTCAGACGAAACAACCGTCGCTAGACGGGCCGAAACGGGCGCCTGTGCTGCACCCTATGGGCTCGACATGGATGATCTCTGCCACGCGCGCTGGATCGTGAATTGTTCGTTCCGGATAGTCGAATGGGATCCCTCGACCGTGCTCTTGCGCACATGCCGCGCCCGAGGGCCCCAAATGCCAGACACCGGCTCCGATGCGCTGCGAGTCGAGGAGGGATGTCTTCCGACTCCCCCCACGTGTCACACCCCCGCATCCAAACAACACAGCACCCATCCCCGCGCCCCAGCGCCATCCCCAATCCGTTCAACCCACTCACGCACGCCACCCTGTCACCCGCCTCCAACACCCCCCCAAACTCCCCCCACCCCAAACAAAGAGGTGCGCAGGCGTCAGGTCGGTCCGCCCGGGCCGCTCGCGCCGTCAGTGGCCCTGCTCGTTCGGCGGCGTGGGCGCCGCGTCCCGCCGCGCCTCCCGCAGCGCAGCGTTCTGCCGCAGCCGCGCGGCGAGCCTGTTGACGTCGTCGTCGTACTGCGCCTGCCGCCGGCGACCGTCGTCCGACTCCGTCCCGACGCCGTCCTCCGCCGTCTGATACTGGCCGCGCGCGCGGCGGTCGATCTGCACGCGGAACGCGGGGACTTGGGGGTGTTGAATCAAGCCGTCAGGTACAATTACCTGCTGGAGTCAGTCAGCATGCCGAAGGGGGGGGGTGTGCGAGCTCACCTCGCGCAGGATGGCGCGCGAGGCAGGTCCGTGTGACGCGGCGCTGCCGCCCGGCTGTTCGAGTTCCTGCGTCGCGGCACGCTCTCTGCGGAGCGCGCGCTCGCGGGCCGCTTGCTTGACGCGCCGTTTGACGGCGTCGCTGGGGCCGTCGCGCTCGTCGTCCGAGGAGGACGCAGAGGACGAGGGCGGCGACGGCGGCGGCTGCTGCGGCGGCGGAGCCGCGGCGGCCGGGGTGGAATCTGCGAAGCAAGGCATGGAGGACGGAGGCCTCTGGGCTGAGGCGGCGAGGTCGGGCTGTGCGCGCCAGGGCGATGGCAATCGGGCGGCTGTCTCGCGAGGTTCAAGGCGGGCATGGTGAGAGATGTGGCTGGGCGCGGCGGTGGTGCGTGCGACGTGCGGTAGCTGGGTCACCTGCTGGGGCGCTGTCCAGCTTGAGTGCGTCGACCTCTTTCGCCAGAGCCGTCACGCCTCGGTTCTTCAGCACGAACGCGTACTTGTTCGACGGCGGGGGCGCCCCAGGAGCGCCCGAGCTGCCGCTCGCCATTGCACGAAGCTACGAACTGAAGCGCACGCGCGCAGAGCGCTCCCTTGCTTCCGACCCCCGATTCCGTGCAAAAGGGCAAGAAGACGGGAGCCTGAAAGGGAAGGGCGCGCGGGCTGTGTCAGCCTTGGCTGGAACGCGTCCCTACGAGGCGCAGTTTGCACGCCTGGGTGCGCCGAAGCGCGCGGCGCGCTTGAGCTGCGTCGGTGTGGGAGCGGGACGGCCGCAGCGATGAGCTGGTGTAGTGTGGGAGCTGGCTGGATCACTGCCGCGCGCCCCACACACGCGCAGGCCGAAATCTCGGGCGCGCGGCCTGCGGCGTTGGACTTGTACTGGAGGTGTGCCGCCACGACGGCGTCAGGACATGTGTGACGCAGCTCATGGCCGCGCGAGGGGCGCGCATAGCACCACAAGCTTGCTACACCATTCGACGATAGCGTCAGGGTCGGGCCGCGCGCACAGGCCCGACGGCAGAGGTGCGCTGGGCATCTTTTCAGGGGGGCTTGCTGGCCTGTCGCTGCCGTTCCTGGTGTCGTGAATATGAAGAGCTTCAAGTACCTGTATGTGCCATGGAATCCCAATGACCCCATCGAGGAACGGTCCCTCGAATATGACGGTACGAGCCCAAACAGAACCTTCTCTGGAAGGCTGCCGACTGCGGCCGCGCGCGCCGTATCCGTCGCTCACACGGCACGCCTCTCCCTTCCCGCCTGCGCATCGAGGGACGAAGAAGCGGAGCTGACCCGCGCGGCGGGCGCCGCGGTGGGTGCGGCGCCCGATGATCATGGTGCACGCGGCGTGCGATTCTGGGTCCACCCGCGCGCCGTTTTCGCAGAGAAGAGCGAGCTGGCGTGCCTGATCAACGCCCTCCAGGCGCACTTCCGGGGCACGTCGAAGAGCGCGGACCAGCTGAGTCAGCAGAAGAGTCAGCTGCGGGCCTCTGTCAAGGGGCAGGGCGCGGTCGACGAGGGCCTCCTGGACATGGCCACGGACATGCAGCTCGTCGAGGCGGTCCCGCTGCTCACCAACAACGCGTACGCGCTCCCGCCGCACTCGCAACCCAAACCACACGAAAACGATCAAATATGTTGTCTTGTGTTTCAACACACCGCCCTGGGCGACGTAACGAGCGTTTCACCGTCTCACGGGCCCAGACGGGCAGTTCCTGGTCCGTGCGAGCGACGTCCGGTCCGCGATCGGCGCGCGCGTCCTCCGGTGCTCGCAGGGAGTCCCGGTACACATGCGTGAACATGTACGTCGACGATTCGGGCCAAATTAAGAACCTCCCGCCCAACCCGCGGGCCTCCCAGATCGCCCAGACGTGCGGAAACCTCAGCGAGGTCCGCGGGGACGCGTTCATCGCGCGCGTCGTCGACGACGAGGCGGGGGATGTATTCCGGCGAGAGGACTTTTGCATGTCCGACCTGAGCAGCGACTCCCCCTGGATGAAGCTCGCGCGCCAGCAGTGGGCCAGGAAGGCCCAGGAGCGGCCCCTGGAGGAGCGTTTCCCCGAGATGGCGGCGCAGGCCACGCAGGGGGCCCCGAAAGCGACGGTTGCCGAAGCACGGGCGCTCAAGCCGCCGGAGCCGCAGGCGGCGCCGCCGGGCGCGGCGGAGAAGGACATGGGCAACAAGGCCTTTGCGGCGGGCAGGTGCGAGGCCATGCGCGAGGCCACGCGCCCGCATCGTTGCGTGCTGCGCGCCAGATCAGATCCGCTCGCAACAACAGTACCCCCCTCCCCGCGCAGGAACGAGGACGCGGTCGAGTTCTACACGAAAGCCCTCGAGATCAATCCAGGCCTCGTCGCAGCGCGCAACAACCGCGCGATGGCGCTCCTGCGGCTCGGAAAGCTCGACGCGGCCATCGCCGACTGCACCGCCGTCCTCGAAGCGGAGCCGAACAACGTCAAAGCGCTCCTGCGACGCGGCGCCGCGCGGGAGCAGAGTGCCGCGCCCGGGGAGGCCGGCGCGGCCGCCCGTGCGGCGGCCGCAGACGACTTCTTCGCGGTGCTGAAAGTCGAGGGGAAAAACAAACAGGCCCTAGAGGCGGTCGGACGCCTGGCGCCCGGCCCGCCGGCGGCGCCAGCGGTAGGCTCTTAGGCCGTCCGCACGTCCGTGCGGACCGGCAGTGTGTACCGCGCGCACCGGCCGCGCAGCAACATATCGCGTCACACTGCGCACGCATGCGCGCGTCATCCCGCGGCCTCGCTGCCCTGCGGCTCCAGCGGCGGCTCGGCGGCCTCCGCGCCCTCGCCCTGCTTCGCGCCCTTCTTCGCCGCCCGCTGCGCCTCGGCCTCGGCCATCTTCTTCATGCTTTCCGCCAACAGCACGCGCTCCCTCTGCTTCGCCGCCTCCCGCCGCTCGCGGTTCTCGAGCATCTTCTTGTACACGTCCGGGTAGATCGACAGCACGACGCGCTCGACGACCTCGTTCAGGCTCGACCGCAGGTCCGACGCGATCAGTTTCAGGCACTCCAAGAACTGCGTGAACTGCACGCTGTCGTGCCCGCGGTTCTTGCACTGCTCGAAGATGCGCGCCACGCGCGGGAGGCCCACGCGCCGGCCGCCCTCGGGGCCCGCGAGCCCCGCGTCGCTGCACAGCGACTGCAGCTCGACCCGCTCCATCCCCGACAGCGACACCGACGACCCGCTGGCGGCGTACTGCTTGAAGATGCGGTAGAGCTTCGCGACCATGTTGACGGGCGCAAGCCACTGCGGGGAGCGGTACGTCCCGGACGCGCGCGCGTCCGCGCCGAGGTCAGCCGACTGGAACTTCTTGTGGGAGGCGTGTGCCTCGACCCCCCCCCTCTTGCCGTCGGACGCGGAGAGGAACGCCGGCTCGGGGTCGCTCGCGCGGTAGTCGCACGAGTCCATCAGGATGAACCCCATCGGCGACGGGATCGGCGGCGGCCCGCCGTGGTTGACGATGGCCTTGACCAGGGTGTCGAACGACACGTGCTTCTTGTCCGACACGACGCGGAGCATGAGGAGGAACTGGAAGTAGTCCAGCTCGACCTTCACGTCGCTGCGCGTCTGGTGCTTGCCCGTCGACGGCGACACCAGCCCCGCCGCCGAGTCCTTGCGCCCCTTGCCCACCACCTGGTAAAAGGCAATCTCGAAGTCCTGCGGGCGGAACTTGAAGGGCGGCGCGCAGAGGCCCGCGGCCTTGGCGAGCATGACGCACTTCGCGGGCCCCATGAGCTCCTGGCGGACGGTGGAGCCCGCCGAGCAGACGTTGACAAAGATGTCGTACAGCGGCGCCTGCTGGAACGAGGCGTTCTCGCTGAGCTTGGGCTCGAACAGAAACACGACCGTGCTCCAGTAGTACAGCTGGAACTCGTCCAGGCAGACCAGCCCGTCGTGGTCCGAGTCGGCTCTGCGGTGGAGCGCAGCGGGTGGAGGCGTTGGGCGGGAGGGGGGGGGTTCGGGGGCGGTGTGGTGCCGTGGGGGTGGCGGCGCGGACCTGAGGAACTCGTGGTCGACGTAGGCCTGGAACGCCGGCGCGTTGGGGTCGGGCCAGGCGTCGCCGAGGAGGTCGTACAACAGGTTCGCGAACTCCTCCCTCTGAAGGCCGTTCTCGCCGTTTTCGTCGTACTTGTCGAATAGCTGTGACGGCGGCGTGAGGTGCGAGTACTGCGGGGGCCAAGGGGGGGGGATTCGGGGAGTCGAGGCCCTGCGGTGCAGGGAGCGCTGGGGGTGCCCGCTGCGCGCGCAGCGAGGGTCGCGCGGCGATCCGGCGGGGAATTTCGCGACAGTGGTGCACAGATGGTTTTGCCGGGCGCCGGAAAACGGACCAAGGGGCGGTTCCGGGCCGCCGCGGCCTGCTGCACGAGCACATGCCTCAGGCCCCGCGCGCCGCGGTGGGGCCAGCGCGCCCGCGCGGGTCGACGGCGGCCGGATGGGGGCGTGAGGTCAGAGCGTCTGAGGAGGTCTCGGCCCGCACGGAGGCCCGAGCTGCGCGTGAGAGCCGCGTCGATGCCGATGTTGGGTGGAGTGGTCACCTGGTCCCAGGAGACGCCCTTCATGGACGCACGCTTCGCGACGCGGCGGAAGCTGGAGTTCACGTTGACCATCTTTTGCCTGCGGGCGCCGGAGAGTGCCGCACGTCACGTCAGCCGCGCGCAGCAGCCTCTGCCCACCCCCCGCACACCTTGCGGCCGCTCGCACGCGCTCCTCCGTCCCCACTGCCCCCATCATCGTGCCTCGCGACGTACACATCGAACATCGCAACGCAACCGGGCAGCTCTCGTCGCTGTTCCGTCGCGCAACGTGCAACCAGCTGCGCACCTTGTGGACGTTGTCGACCTGTCCACTCTGCGCAGCTCCTGGCTCTGCGCCATGCCTGGCTGCACGGGCGGCGCCACCTCATCCTCGAAGGCGTCGGCCTCGTACTCCTCCGAGGCGTCCATCCTTCCGGACGCCGCTGCTTGCTCCTCTGCGCACTGCACGGGCCACTTGTGCGTTCCCGGCGTGGCGAACTCACTCCCCGGGCGGATCCGCGCGCGGCTGGTGGGCTCTGGAGCGCGCGGCGCGCGTGCGCCGGCCTTGGCCCCGCAGGCCCGGGGGGGGAGGTGTGTTGTGACCGGCGTCTGACATCGTGTCGTCAAGTCACCGCCACGCGCAGCGGGCGCCGGGACGCGCTGCGCGCGGAGCACTCGCTCGGTGATCTTGCGCGAGGGCAGCCGTGGCAGGGCCGTGCCGTCCGCCGCAACGCTCCACGACCTAACAGCGCGCCACCGTTAGTGACAGGGCATGCCGGCCCCACAGTGCAGCAGCGGCGGTGTAGGCGGGTGCCACAGCGCGCTGGAGGTCCTCGGCGACCTCGGCGCTCGGCACCATGCCCTCGCATCAGTCCTGGTGGCGAACAGTGGCACGTGGACCAGCTGCGGTATGTGGAGCATTACTGACAGAACAGGGGCGTCTCCGCCTCGACGCACTGCGGTCGGAGCGCTGCGCGGGAGGTGGCTGGCCGCACTGCGTGCACGCAGCGGCTGCAGAGCGCGCTTGAGGGTGGCATCTCCGCGCAGGTTGGATGTGACGGTGCTGAGCGGTCCTCGCAAGTGTTCGTGGATCTAACTCGTCGTCCTCCTGGACGCGATCGTTGCGAGCGTGCCGCCCGGTTCCCGCGGAGCGTCGACCGAGAAAGGGGCGCGAAACGCATCGCTGCGCCACCGCACACACCCTGCACGAGCGCAGGCGCACCCGACACGACCACGTCGGTTTTTGCACCGCTCGTCGCAGCGCTGTCCACAGTCATGCGCACAAGGCCGATTTGAGTCTCAGATTCGCCGTCGCCGAGTGCTGACACCGTGGTCTGTCGTGCTCTATGGGGTCTCGTGGGCGCGAGAGGGTTGCCTGCCCCTCGCAGACAGCGTTGCGAGGGGCCGGCCATCCCCGGCAACACTCTGGGTGCATCAGACTACCCCGGACCTTCGGTCCCAGGCCGCGCAAGGCCGCGTGTATCCCCCAGCCTGGCAACGCAGGCACTCAATCGGCCCGCCACCGCCCACTGCGCGCGGTCTCCTCCGCAGTAGCGCGCGGGCCGAGGCCTTGAACTCCTCTCAGCTCCTCGACGAGCCCTATTTTCGCGGCGGTAAGTCCAGCCAGGGCCGGGGAATCCCACCGGATACCATGTTTCGCGCTCGTGCGCGCTGTTCCTTCGCGAACCTCGTCGATCGAGGCCCGTGGATCCTGCTCGTTGCATGTGGCTTCCTCGGGGTGGCGATTCGGAGGGCCCACAGGCGCCCTGGGGCGTCGGAGAGCGGCCCGCCTGTCGGCTGCGCAACATTGCGCATGCTCTGGGGCCTGCGCGCGCGCTCGAGCCCTGACGCGACGTATTTCGAGCGCCTCAGCGCGAGTCCGGCCAGCGAAGTGCCACCGCGGACCACATTCGTGCACGACGCGCCCCGAGCAGACGACATCCCGCGACGTTCCTCACGCACGCAAATGTTGCCTCCTTCCCGACGCAGGAACCCCGCACCGCCGACTTCCGGCAGCGCGCCGGGTACCAGCCACCTCGCTCCTCCTTGGGCGTCGCTCGGATCACTGCTTCAGCGCCCAGAAGCGCGTGGCTGCCCGCTCACAGCTGTGCGCTGGTAGCACCACGACGTCCGGGCCATGGCGCGGCAGCAGCTCCCCCCGCGGGACAACATCTGGAACCTGCTGAACTACAATGCGCCCCCGCGCGCGCAGCTCCTCCCGCCCGTCGACCAGCGCGACGAGCGCCTCTCGCGCTCCTCCTCGCTCCTTGACGCGCGGGCCCTGCAGCCCCGCGGCGCCGCGCTGAACCCCGCGCGGCCCCAGCTCGGCGCCGCCCGCGACTTCCTCGAACCCCTCATCTCCCCGCACGCCTCGGGCGAGCTGCCGCGGTACGACCGGGCGGGCAACGCACGGGCCCTCGCGCCTGTGCAACCCCGCAGAGCCTTCGAGCCCCCGGACGCGGTCGCGGGGAACTCGAAGGCGCACCTCCTCGCGCCCCCCGCGGGCGCCGGGCCGTCCGGGAGCGCGGACGCGGTCATCGAGGGAGGGCTGCGCGTGCTGGCGTCGCGGCTCGCGGCAATGGAGGGGCGCGTGTCGCGCGCCGAGGCGGCGGAGCGGACGCAGCAGGCGATGGAGGCGCGGCTGGTGCAGCTCGAGCGGAGGGCGGAGGGCGCGGAGGGCGCGGCGCAGGGCGCGGCGTGGCTCGCGACGGAGGAGGGGCGGCGGCTGGAGGGGCGCGTGAGCGAAGCGCTGTCGGCGACGGCGCGTTACCGGCAGGAGGTGCAGGACATGCGGGCGAAGCAGGTGAGCGCGCGCTCGTGCTGGCCGCGGCTGGTTTGCGCCGCGTGCGCGCCGGGCCGCCAGTCGATACGCTTGTATCGCGTTTGGAGTCTTGAATCCTCGATTGTCGTTTTCCCCACCGCAGGACGCCCTGGTCCGGGAGCTCGAGGGCTCCCGCGCGACCGTCGCGCGCCTCGAGGCGCTCCTCGAGGACTCCGCGGTCCGGCAGCAGCTCGAGGTCCGCGCGTCGAAGGACGGCGACGTCCGGCGGTTCGCCCGGTCGGAGGCCGCCGTGCAGGAGCTGTGGCGGGCGCTGGAAACGGCGCGCGCGGACGCCGAGACGCACCGCGCGGAGACGGCGCGCGCGATCACCGCGATGGCCTCGCGCGTGGGGATGTCGGAGCAGGACGTGCAGCGCACGCGGGAGGTGGGCGACGAGGCGTTGCAGGCGACGGCGGGGCAGGTGGGGCGGCTCCGCGGGGAGGTTGCGCGCGTCGAGGGGCTGGCGCAGCGGCTCCGCGGCGAGGCGGGCGACGCGACGGAGGCGCTGCGGGTCGAGGTGGAGCGGGTGCGTGCGTGGGTGGGGCGCGTGGAGACGGCGGTGGGGCACGGGCTGGCGCGGGTGGACGCGAGGGCGGCGTCGCGGGTGGACGACCGCGTGCAGGCGCTGGAGCGCGTGGTCGGCGAGGCGCTCGAGGAGGCGCGCGCGGCGAAGCCCGCTGCGGCGAAGGAGGCGCGTGAGAGGGTGGAAGGTTTGGCGCGGGCGGTGATGCAGGACCGCGACGCGTTGCTGGAGCGGGCGCGCGCGCTGGAGGCGCGCGTGGACGCGCAGGGCAACGCGCAGCGCGAGGCGGCGGCGCAGATGCAAGCCCGGCTCGAGCGCGGCGACGCCGACACGCTGCGGGTGTTGGCCGAGTTCAAGAGCTTGCACGACGCGACGGACGCGAAGACGAAGCGAACGCTCGAGGACGGGCTCGGGCGCGCGCGCGCGATGGCGCGGGACCTCGAGGAGGCGTACGAGCGCCGCGCGCAGGGGCTGGAGGAGGTGTTGAAGATGGAAATAAGGGCGCGGAAGGAGGGGGAGTCTCGCGGGGAGCGGGCGGCGCGGGCGCTGGGGAAGGCGATCGAGCGGGCGGGGGCGCGGTGGGAGGAGAAGCTCGAGGAGGCGACGGTCGATCACATGGTGCGTTGCGTGGGTCGTTGCTGTTGGTGCTTGAGGTTGGGGCTCGTCGGCGTGCACGCAGTTGACCTGTCGCGTGCGTGCGTGCGTGCGTGCGTGCGTATGTGTGTGCGCGTCCGCTGCGTTCATGTGTTGGTGGATGAGGTGATCCGACGGCGTTTGCTGGGCTTGGACGGTGTGTTGTGCAGCTGGAAGAGGCGGTGATCCGCACGGAGGTCGAGGAGCTGGTGGGCGACGAGGGCGCGTTCGCCGAGCGCGCGCGCGCCGCGCAGACGCAGCTTGCCGCGGCGCTGGCTGCGGCGGCGGACAGGGCGGACGTGGCGGCCGCGCGCACGGACGCGGTCATCCAGCGCGTCGAGCAGCTCGAGGGCGACGTCGCGGAAGCCGTCGGGCGCGCAGAGGCGCTCACAGCGGCGGCGACCGCCGCGGCGACGCGTGCGCGCGCCACCGGGCCCGCGACGGCAGCCGGCGTCGCTGCGACGGGCGCGGCGACGCTCGCCGGCGGCGAGGCGTGGGCGGCAGCGCAGCGCCGCGTCTGGACGGAGGTACAGTCGCTGCGAAGCGACCTCGAGTCCCTGCGCGGGGAGATGCAGCACGAGACGTCGTCGTTGTCGACGGCCGTGGTCGACTCGCAGGACCTGATGCTCCGCGAGATGCGCGTGGTCGAGGAGTCCTGCGCGCGGCTACAGGACGAGGCCGCGCGCGAGGCGTCGCGCGTCTCGCACGAGCTGCGCAGGGAGCTGTTGCGGACGATGGCGGACGCAGCTTCCAGGGAGTCCACGGAGCGGGCGGCGCTGCAGGCGCGGCTGGACCAGGACGTGTACGAGCTACGGCAGGACGTCGACACGATTCGGTCGGAGGCGCGGACGATGGCGGACCGGGCGGCGCGGGCGGGAACCGACGCCGCGGCGGAGGCGCAGCGCAGGGGCGCGGACGCGCTCGCGGAGATGGCGGACGCGGTGGACGAGTCGCACCGCGCGCTGGAGTCCGCGCTGCGGTCGACGGAGATGGAGCAGGCCCGGCAGCGGTCGGCGGTGCGTGCGCTGCAGGGCGACGTGCGCTCGGTGCGCGCGACGCTGAGCGAGGCCCTGACGGACGCGCTGGGGCGGCAGGCCGAGGCCATGGGCACGACGGACAACGTGATCACGGAGAGCATGCGCACGCTCGCGGACGAGCTCCGGCAGATGTGCGACTCGGTTGACGCGTCCATGACGGAGCAGGTGTCGTATCTGGAGCGCCGGCTCGCGACGGTGGAGTCGCGCGTGCCCGGCGCCGGGCGGTTCCATGCGGCCGCGGCCGCGGCGGCCGGCGGGGACGCCGTGCAGGGCGGCGGCTCCGCGCCGGACGGGTACGCCGACAGCGGCTACAACGACGCGCCGCTGACGGACTCGTGGATGTCGCCGCTCGGGCGGCAGCTCGACGTCGTGGAGGAGAACAGCGGGGAGGGCGAGGACCCCGGGGACTCGTCGCGGGACCTCGACTACAAGGGGGATGTCAGCATCACGCCCCAGGGGGGTCCCTGGCCGCACGACACCGGCGAGAGCGGCACGTACGCCGACGCGGGGGTGTACTACGGCGACGACACCGGCGCCGACGAGCCCGCGGACGGCGACGAGGGCGGCGTTGCGTTCTACGACTCGTCGCACGTGGATCCCGTCGCCGCGCACGAATGGCACTCCTCGATGCGGGACGACTCCGAGGCGGAGGCCGCGGAGGCCGAGGCGGCGCGCATCGCGAAGGAGGCGCGCGAGGCCGAGGCGGCGCAGGCGCGCGGCGACGAGGAGGGGGTGTTTCCGGGGGATGTCTCGGTGGGCACCGCGGACAGCTCCCGGCGCGGCATGGCGGTGGATGCGGTCCTGGACGCGACGCTCAACGACGTGGCCGCGACCTTCGAGGAGCTCTCGGGGCACAGCGCGGACGTCGCCGGCGCCAGCCCCCCCGCCACCGGCGACGGGGACGCGCACGGCGGCAACGTCGACGACGAGGAGGATCTGGTGCCCCCGTGGGAGCGAGACTCGCCGCCGCTGCTCCCCGAGACCCCGCGCGAGGTCGCGCACGACCGCGAGATGCCTACGGACCACGGCGCGCCGGACGACGGCGTCGAGGCCGGCGACGCGGTACAGAGGGCGCCGTCGGCGGAGGCGGAGCGTCTGCGGCGGCTCGAGATGATCGGCCTGCTGCCGCCGGTGTCCGAGGGCACGCGCGAGGGCGCGGCGACGAGCAGGGCGGAGCAGAGCAGTCGCGTCACGGAGGACGCGCCGGACCTGGTCCATGCGGCCGCGGCGGGGGGCGACGGGTCGCCGGCGGAGGCTCCGGGGGCGCGCGGGGCGCTGACGTGGGCGGAGGACGTGGCTGGGGAGGCGTCGGGCGCCGAGGGGGCAGGTTTGCGGCAATCGCTGCGCGACACGCAGGGCACGGCGTACGAGGACGACTTCGAGGACGGCTTCGAGGGCGACGACGAGGAGGTGCGTGCGGAGGAGCGGGCGGGCGAGGATCGCGACGCGGGGGCCGCGGCGCCCCCAGGGGGGCAGTGATCATCAGTGATGCTACAGGAGCTGCACGTGGATCTGTTGCGCCGATGGGGGTCGCTGGGCGGTTCGGGGGGCGTGGCGGAGCAGGAGAGCGTTGTGACGACGCGAATTGAGCGCGCGGGCGCGGGTTGGGGCGGTGTCGCGGCGGTGCGACGGCCGGTGTGGGGGGTCTGGCTGAGGTTCTGAGGGGGCGAGTGCTCGGGGCTGTGGGGGAATTTCGGCCGTGCGAGGCGACGCGCGTGGCACTTGGTCGCTCAGTGTCGTCGACGAGGGGCGTTTGTGGTCGGTCCCGAGCTCTCTGGGGCCTCGCTGAAGACGGACGCCGAGCAGCAGATCTGCCTCAGCGCCGCGCGCGGGATAGGCGGTTGCAAAGCGGACACGGCCCCACACTGAGCGCTCACCACTTTATTAGCCAGAAGGATCCGCTCGTTGTCCGCCTTCTGCGGCCTCTCCAGCGCGGCCGGAGCCGTGTGTAGCCCCAGGCGCGCAGAGAGACGACATTCCGGGGCCCGCGTGCTGAGGTAGCAGGCGTCCAAAGGTACTGACGATGCCCGGAACAACCGACGGCGATGCGGCGAACGTTTCACCCATCGAGACGCACCCGGATCAGGCAAGTTGCCCCAGGCTTCCTATTCCCGCCATCTCCGCGCCCACGAGCGCGGCTGCCGCGTCCTCCGGCGCTTCTGGGAACCTCCCGTGTATTGCTCGCTCAGCGCTCGACCCGGGGCGCAGCTTGACCCTCGCCGTAGCCCGCGCCCCCGGCCTGCTACATCGGCAGCATGCCCCGGCAGGGCGCCGCGCCCCGACGAACACGCGCCCGTTGCTCTCCTCCGCGAAACGCACGCGTCCTCCACGGACGAGCGCGCGCCGGATTCGCCCCGGTGTCGCGGCCAGGCGGACCCAGCCGCCCACGCATGCTCTGCGCCATGCTGGCGCCGCGCGCGGCGGCTTCGAGCGGCGCGCGGCCGCGGCGGGGCGCGCGTGCTCGGCCTGTTCCGCACGGGAACGCCTGAGCCGCGCGGCTCCGTCCGCCTCGCGCCGTGCTGCGCGCGGCACGCTGCGCGTCCCCTGGGCCCAGCAGACGGACGGCCGACGTTCTCCCTGCCGTGCCGGTTTCCCGCGGATGCAGGACAGCCCCCTGAAAGTTCAGCCCGCACCTGGACTGAAGGGCCGCGCGGGGGCCCTGAAATGCGAGTTCGCGCTACGAAGAGAGCAGTCCATGCCAGCGCGCAGGACGGGGCCCGCAGAGGACGTCGGGCGCGCCGCCGCGGGGCACTTGCTGCTCGGGCGCCCGAACCACGTCGCGTCCGTCGTCCAGAGCGACGCCGGCGCGCATGAGCGCGCAGGGGCGGCGCGAGGCTCGCTCCCTGGCAACGTAGCCCAGCGGCCGCTGCTCACGCCGCCCAAGGTCACCGGGAGCAGCTGCGCGCCCATCCAGGACGTGGAGGCCTCGAGCGTGCTCCGCGCCGCGGAGGGCGCCGCCAGCGACAGCGAGCGCGGCCGCGCGGGCCCGCTGGCCCGCAAGTCGGGCGCTGCCGCAGGGGCGAACGCGCGGGGACGGTCCCAGGAGCGCGGCCCGGCGCGCCACAAGGCGCAGGGGCCCTCGGTCCCGCCGCTGCCCGCCGCGAAGGGCAACCGGCACATGCGCAGCCTCTCGTCGATCGTCGCCGTCCAGGGCGAGCGCGGGGCGGGGGACTCGGCGTCCGGGAACAAGGCGTCGCCCGTGCCGCTGCTGCTCGCCGAGGGGCTGTCGTACGAGTCGCTGGTGTCCCGGAAGCTCCGGGACGAGTGCGGGCTGCACGGCGGGGACTGGGTGTCGCTGGACATCCAGTCGGGCGGGCGCGAGGCGGTGCGGACGCCGATGTCGCCGCCCGGGCCGGGGCGCGAGCTGTACTCGCCGCTGTCGCCGATGCTGGACAAGCTGGACGACGACGAGAAGTCGCGGTGGATCGAGGCGCTGATCGCGGAGGCGGGGGGCGCGGCGGAGGGCGCGACCGAGGGCGGGCTGTCCGAGAGGCTGCGCGCGGCGTACGCGGCGGCCGCGCGGGCGTCGCCCGGGAGCCGCGGCGTGGCGTCTGCGGGGAGCGTGGACGCGTGCCGGGCGAACTCGGGGCAGCAGAGCTGCCGCGGGTGCAGCGGCAACGGCGGCGGCGGCATGGGCAGCGCGGGGAGCCTCGGAGGGGGCGAGGCGGCGGGGCGGCAGATGGCCGCGTGACGGCGGGACGCGTGCGCGCCTGGGGCGATGGCGGCGCCGACGGAGAGCTTCGTAGATCCCCGTCGGAATGTGAAAAGACATTGCACGCCCACGATGTGTCGATTGCTGTTGCGGGTGTACGCCCGCGCACGTCGCCGGCCTGTGCAGCAGACCGGCTGACTCGTGGTGGACGCGCGGGCCGCCAGGCTCGGTGCGGCGACGGCTGGGCTGACGAGAGTGCCTCGAGGAGCCCAACGTGGTTCCGGGCCCTTCCTTGGTGCTGACGTCGCCGGCTCGTCGCCGCCGTCCGTTCACGCGCCGTGTCACATTTTCTGCGTTCCGCTGGCAAGACACCCCCTCTCTGTCTGACCGCCTACGTCAGGCTCAGTTCTCCCAGGTAGATCGAGCGGTCCGAGGACGCCGAGCCGAGGATGGGTTCCTTGGGGTGGAACGCGACGTCGTTCACGCTGCCCTTGTGGCCCGGCAGCCGGTACAGCAGCTTGCGCGTCGGCACGCTCCACACACTGACCATCCCGTCGGCGCTCCCGCACGTCACGTGCGCGCCGTCCGACGACCACGCGCACCGCAGGAGGTTCTTCTCGAACGAGTGCTGGTGCCCCGAGAAGATCTGCGCGCAACGCAACCGCGAACGCACCAAATCGCAGCTGGACATGCACGCGTTGAAAGGAGTGTCGTGCGGCACGTGCGCGACGTGGGGGACCCCGGGCGCGCCGGCGCCCGCACCTTGACGCATCGGTTCTTCGGGGCGTACGGCCGCATGTCCCACATCCGCAGCGTGTTGTCCATCGCGTTCGTCAAAAGGTGGTTGCCGTCCGGGGAGAGCGCCATGCCCGTGACGGAGTCGAGGTGGCCCGAGAGCTCCAGGAAGAGCTCGCCGCGGCGCACGTCGAACACCTGCACCGCGTTCGCGATGCCGCCCGCGTACACCTGGTCCGCATCGTCCGACAGAGCCACCGCCAGCGCCTGGTGGTGCGTTTCGAACGTAGCCGCGGACCGCCGCTGCCGGAGGTCCCAGAGCTTCGCGGTGGCGTCGTCCGAGACCGTCGCGACCAGCGTCGGGCCTCGACGGTTCGTGCAGCACGCGTTGACGAACGTCGTGTGCTCCCGCAGCTTCTTCACTTGCAGGCCCGTCTGCGCGTCCCACACCCTGCGCAGCTCGCACGGACGCGCAGGGCGGCATCGCAGCACGATGCCGGAGGGGCGGGCGGCGGGCGGGTCGAAGGGGGGGGGTGTGGGGGTGTATAGCGGAGGTTGTGAGTGAGCGGTGCCGTGAAGTCGCGGCGGGCCGCCCCCTTGTCAGGTCCGCGTCGCTTTCGCAGTGCGAGGGCACGAGTGTCCTCCGGGGCCCGCGACGCGCACGGGCGCAGCGCACGCGCGCCCCTGGCCTGCTGGCGATGACGTTCGCAGGAGCGCCGCCCAACTCACCTGCCGGTCTTGTCCGCAGACACCGAGACGACGCGCTCGCCGTCCTGCGTCCACTTCAGGTCCATCACGGCGTTCTTGTGCGCCTGTATCGCCATGTAGTTCTCGCACTCATCCCCGTAGACGCGCCAGAACTGAATGGTCTTGTCGTGCCCGGCCGACGCGCACACCTCGCCGTCCGGGGAGAACTCGAACGCGTAGACGGCGTCCTTGTGGCCCTCGAGCTGCATGATCGGGGCCGCGAGCGCGGACGTGCGCCGAGGGCCCGCGGGCTGCAAGCGGGCGGGAGGTGGGCGGGGGGGTCGTGCGGGTGGACGGGCGCAGGGATGCTCGCTTGGAGGGATCGCGGCGGTTGTTCAGAGGTCGTGCGCGAGGCGGGGGCGAGGCAGCGCCGTTGCGTTGCCGTGAGCGGCCCGCGGGCGCGAGTGGGCGGCGGTGGGGAAAGGAGCGCCGCTGGGCACCTTGTCGGCGCAGATGTCGGACTGAAGTGCAGTCAGGCAGCGTGAGTGCGTATGTATGACTTCGAGGTTCGAAGAAATCGAGCCGTGACGGCCGGGGAGCGGCCCGGGACGCCGTGAACGTTGCCTGAGGGCAATCTCCAGGCGTGAGGTGCGCTCATGGCCGGGCTGCGCAGGCAGTGGGCCTGCTACGATGAAAGCTGCAGTGATATGGCGTGTGCGTGATGGAGCGAGCGTGAAATTGGTCCCCACCTGTGGCCTCGAGCCCGCCTTTGCTAGTGCTAGATCATCGTCGGTGCGTTGCCGTTTCACTATCGCCCCCGCCTCCTCGACGTGCCCCTCCGGCGACAAGGCCCGCTTCCCGTCCATGCCTGCCCAGCCACCCGTCCCCGGCCCCGCCCGCCCAGGGCTCGCGCGGCGCCTGTGAAGCCGTGGCAGCGACGCCGCTGGTGATCGCTCTGTGCCGAAACGCGACGAACGTACGCGGCTCCACAGAGAAGCACGGGGTTCTGCCAGGCTCGCGCGCGGCTCCGGCCCAGCAGCCCGGGCTCGCCGGACGCAGGCAGGAGGTCTGCTCTGAGACACTCCCGGGTCCTTTTTCGACGGCCGCCGACCCGCAACGACACAGGTCTATGCCGCGCTGCGCTGTGCTGCCCGGGAAGAACCTCGATCACTGTGTCTCGACCAATAAAGCAGCTGTGTTGAGCGTCCACGTCGCCTGCTTCGTTGCACCGCTCCTGAAAGGGAGCCGTCGCGGCCCCTGCGCGGGGTCGCCGCGGTGAGTCAATATGGACATGGTCCGGTTAGAGAAGTGAGATCCCTCTCCACGCATCTGCTCGCCGGTCGCCCGCTCACACGCGGCGCCGCGGCTCCTGCCTCGTCCGCCCGGCCTCCCTCGCACCGAAACGCGCACCGCGGCGCGCCGCCGCGTCTCCGCAGGGAGGAGGAGAAGTATGACGTGGACGACGTGCTCGGGCGCGACATCAAGAGCGTGTTTCCGAGCTTGGAGAAGAAGGAGAAGGACAAACTGCAAATGCCAATGATGCCGCAAGACAAGGCACGTGTCCCCGCGGGCCCGGACGCGCGCACGGCCTCCGTCGGCGGGCCTGCTTGCGCGCCGGGACGGAGCCCTGTCACGGCCGCGCGACTCGACGCGCAAGGGCCGAGGGTGACTGTCGCGATGGTGCGCGTGCGAGGGGCCTGTGGTGCAGGTGCGCGAGCTCCTCGGGAGCAGCAAATTCGTCACGGAGACGGAGCTGAAGGAGGCGCGCAAGGCGGCGGGGAAGAGCGAGGACGACGTGGGCCCCAGCGAACCCTACAGGCCGCTGGCGCAGATCCTCCAGGAGCAGAAGGACGCGAAGAAGGTGCGCACGTGCCTAAAAGAAATACAACGCTCGCCGCGCCCCGCTCGAGAGGCGCGCGCGGCTGCCGAACTTCGTTGCGCGGCTCAAGCTCAAGCAGCGCTGTCGTCGTCGCGCGCGCCGCAGCGGGCCGCCGAGGAGCGCTGGACGGAGATGAAGCGCGGGAAAAATCGCCCGCTCGAGGAGGAGGACTACGAGTTCTTCGACAAGCTCGCGCACGAGGCGTACGTGAAGGAACGACAGCGGCAGCTCGAGGAGCGACAGGCGATGGCGCAGTTCCAGCTGCGCCGCATGCAGGCCGCGGACGAGCCCGCGGACGCCAAGGACAAGCCCGAGCCGCCGCTCCGGAGCGCGCCCGCGCAGCCGCCGACCCGGGCGCAGCGGCAACCGCCGGCAGCGAAAAAGAAGCGCCCCCTGGTGGTGATACGGAAGGCCGGGGAGGAGCGCGCGGAGAAGAAGCAGGCGCGCGGGAGCGAGGGCGCGGAGCCTGCGGAGCGAGAGCGGGAGGAGGGCGGCGAGGTGGGGGCTGCAGACACCTCGGGGGGACTCGCCGGGCTGTTGGGGGACTACGGCAGCGACAGCGACTGACGCGACGCGGGTGTGATCACCGCTGCAGTGCGCGCCTCGCATCACAGTGTGCGCCACGTTCTGTCTGTCATACAGACGAAGTATGACTCTATGAACATAATCTACATATATACAGGACAGACAAAAACAGACGCACTTCCGGCTCCGCACGCGGCGCGCGGCGCCCTCACGACGGCGACTCCGCCAGGTCCTGCCCCGCCGCGCCTTGCTCCACCCCCGGCGCGCCCCCGCACCCCACCGCGATTAGCATACACAGATCGTCGTCCGTGAAGTGCCCCACGGACTCCCCCGACCGCACGAACTCCGCGAACGCGTCGTTCGGCAGCATGAGCTCCAGGCAGTACATCCCGCGCTCGCTGTCCTCGGCCACGTCGATGCCGTGGATGCTCATGGGCGGGAAGCTTGCCATCGCGCCAGGGCCGATCGGGAAGCGCTGGCCGTCGCAGAACGCCTCGCCCTCGCCGGCGAGGATGAAGAAGAGCTCGTGCCCGCGCGCGTGCAGGTGCGGGGGCGTCTTGTGGCCCTTCTCGAAGGCCTCGACGCCAAACGTAAAGGGCGTGCGGTCGGCGTGGTCCTCGGCGAGCGGGTCGAACGCCAGCGCGAGGCGGTTCGTCTGCCCGGGCAGGCTGAAGGACGCGAGGTCCGTGAGCGTGCGGTGGCGCACGGACTCGAGCGGGTCGACGACGGGCGCCAGGTTGGGCGACGGCGCCGGCGCGGGCTTGACTTGGGGCGTGGCGGACCCGCCCTGGCCGTCCGAGGCGTCGCCGTCGCTCGAGACGCGCGTGAGCCGCGTCACGCCGAACCAGTCCCGCGCGACGGTGAACTGGCGGCCGAACGCGGCCGCGGCGCGCTCCCACAGCCCCGCCCCCGCGGCGCCGCCGTCCGCGTCCGCGGCGGCGCGGCCCGTGCGCCGCGCGTCCGCCGCCCACGTCTCCGCGCACAGCAGGTGCGCCGACAGGATCGCCTGCACCTCCGAGTCCGCCAACTCCCCCACACACTCCCCCTCATACCACCGCGCCGCGGCGCGCCGCGCCGCCTCCGTCGCGCGCTGCTCCGCCACCGACCCCCCCAGGCTGTGCTCCCCGCCGTTCTCCACGTCGAAGAGGTCCGTCGGCATGTACACCACGAGCGTCGCCATGCCGTAGCGCCCGCGCCACCACGGATCGGCGTCGCCGTCCGCGGCGGGCTCCTCCGCCGGCGCGCCGCGCGCCGCGGCGGCCTCGGCGGCGACCGCGGCGGCCTCCGACGGGCTCAGCGACACCAGGCGGCGCGTGGCGCCTGGCGGCAGAAGCAGCGTGTCGCCCGGCAGGACGGACGCCTCCTCCTGGAGGATCATCTTCCCGTGGCCGTCGAGGACGTAGTGCAGCTCGTAGACGTCGCGCGCCGCGTCCTGGTCCTCCCGGGTCTCCTTTGGGAGGGCGCGCCCCTCACAGGAGGGGCAGGCGGAGCCCTCGAGGCACAGGAGCTCGAGTGCGACGGCGTAGGGGACGTCGTTGCCGCTCTGCGGGTCGGCGCGGGGGCGGGCGCGGCGGTTCGGGCGGCTGGGGCGCGACGCGACGGCCGCGCGGGCTTGGCAGATTTCGAGGCGTGCCGAATCGCGGGATCTGGGACACGGCGCGGGCCGAAAGCGCCGTCCCCGCGAGCTGGGCGGGTATGGAGCGCTAGGCGGCGGTTCGGATCGCGCGTTGACGCGTGCGCCGAGTCAGGAGCGCACCTTGGAAGGATCCAACAAGGGGACTACCACGCGGCTGTCAGACGCCTTATACATGGGCCGCCCGCCCATCTCCGAGATCGTTGGGAGGAAGCACTTCGGGGGGCCCGACCTGCGCGGCGTGGAGCGGCGGTGCTGCGTCGCGCGAAGCTCTCAAGCGCCACCGCAGCAGCACGCGGGGCGCCCGGTGCACGCCGCGGGGAAAGCGGCGACGCTGAGCGGCCGAGGGGATGCCTGACGCGCTGAGATGCTGGAGTTGGAGTTTTCTGGGCGTCCTGCCGCGGCGCCAGGCCAAGGGCGGGCGAGGCAGTTTGCGTTGGCATCTGGCTCGGTGCAGCGCGCTGCGGCGCCAGCTGGGCGCACCTGGCGTAAATTGACGGCGATTCGCCTGCGTCCGCTCGGACGCGCGTGCATCGACGCGCACTCGGCGTGCGGTCGGCGGGATTGCGGGAGAAAGCGGAGCTCGGCCCTCGTGCGTGCCGCCGGGCGAGCGCCCTGGAGCCGTGGTGGCGTGCAGGGCGCCCGAGGGAGCTCTCAGTCAAAGCTGCGTGCGAGCCCATGGCGCCCTGCCCCCCCGCCGCCCTGCTGGCGACGCAAACGCCGGGAATCGAGCTGCTACTACCGACCTGCGACCGCACGCGACGCACGCACGGCCACTTGGCATCTATGGTCTACGCAGGAACGTGTCTGAATGCGTGCGCACGTGTGGCGGGCTGTCGGCCCTATTGTTCCGCAGAAACGCGAGTTTCGGGGCTCCTTGCAGTCTTACAGTGACGTGGGTCGTCCACCCGCACCACAATCCAGGAAAACCTGCTTCGCGAGGGGAAATCAATTAAAACACGACCGATACGGCGGCATTGCGCCCATTCAACCTGCAGAGCGGCACAGGCCCGACGTTCTCGGAGAGATTCTCCAGGCAAGTGGTGAAATACGCTTCGGGCCGCAAGAGCGATCCTTTCCGCGACGAAACCGCACACACCTCCTGCTCACGTCGCTCTGACTTCACAATGGCCTCGAACGCGAGCCGAACGGCACCTCAACTGGTGCGTCGGCGCCCGGACCGGCCCCCCATCGACGTACACGCTCAGGGCAACGTCGGAGGAGCGAGCCGGCCCGCAAATGACTCCCCAGCGTCGGAGACGCCGCACCAGCTCGCCGCCTGCGGCCAGCCGCGCTCCACAGACCCGCACGGATGACTCACACCCCACTGTTGTCTTCATGTGACAACATCAGAGCACCTCGTCTTTCTTTCTTTCTTTCTTTCCCTCTCTCGATGCGCGGTCCGGCCAGGAGAGGTGGTGGCCGCACGGGCTATCGGTGCGTCGGTACCAGCCGTGCCGCGGTGCGCACACCCCCACGCCTGAGCCGCCACCTCAGGTCGCGCGTTGGCGCCGGCTGCGCGAGGCGCGGCCGAGCTCCTCGTCGTCCCCGTCCTCGTCCGAGTCGACGTCGCTCTCGACCTTGCCGGACGCCAGGCCGAGCGCGCGCGTCAGGGGGGTGTCACGGAACCCGAGCTGAACCGACATCGGCGATGCCAGGTGCTGTCTCCCGGGCCGCCAACTGGCGTCGCCCCCGGGCCGGTGCGCCGAGCTCCCCGGCATAGCCACGACGACCACGTCCGACGCCGGGATCGCCGCCGTCGACTCCCCCCCCGGCCTCGCCACTGCAGTGCGCAACAAACACACCCCGGGGGGTGTGTGTGTCACGGCGTGCGACGAACGCGCCGCGTCGGGCGCCGCGGGAGCGTGCGGGCGCGACGCGTACCTGGCTCCTGCGCCGCACGGAGCACCTCGGCCACCTGGCGCGCCAACACGCGCATCGTCCTTCGTGCGCGCATGCGGTGGATGACGTAGGCGACTGCGGGGGGCGGGGGGGGGGTCAGCGGCGCACAGACGTCAGGGGCGGTGAGGTACCGTGCGTGTGCGTCTGGAGCGGCTCTCCTTGGGGCTGCGGCGGGGTTGTGCGCGCCTAGGGTGATGAATGCAGGAGTGCCCATAAAGACCACGAAGCCCCAGGAGGGGAGGTTGGGCGGTTCGGGGTGGTGGTAGGTCTGCTCGATGCTGACGCCGTCGGACACGACGCGCTCGTTGCTGCGAGGCGGAGGGCCCGTTGTGGGGCGGGGGTGGCCTTGCGTGCGCTCGTAGGCAGCTGCGGCGTGCTGCTCGAGGCCGAAGAGCGCGTCGGGGTCGTAGACGCAGTCGATGGGCGTCGGGAACGCCGCGACTTGGCCGGTGTCGTGCAGCTGCGGAAAACACGTTCGGCGCGGTCGTCTCTGTGATTGTCAGTGTCTTTGTCGTCGAAAAGCGACGGCGCGGGTCTCCGAGCGCGGCTCTGCTGTCTGTATTCCACACGAACAGATATATGCACGAGTAGATACATGCATGACACGGCCGATGTCCGAAACACGCCGACACGCGAGGGATTCTTGCGTCTGATGCAGTCAGGTGCGCATTCCGGGGAGCACAGAGCACGGCGGACTCCCTGAGCGCCGGATCACTCACGTAGTGAAGGATGAGGTTCCTGCTGAAGGCCCACGGGTCGGAGAACAAGTCGTCGGAGTCGACGCCCTGTCCCATGGCCAGGTGACGTGTCACGACGAATTCCGTCGGCACGGTGGTGTTGAGCGCCACGCCGTTCACGGTACAGTTCACTCTCCCGACGAAGTCCGCGTACCGCGCCGCCAGCTCGTCCACGTGCGCGTCCATGGCGCGAGTCTTCGTTCACAACAGTACCAAGAACAAACAGGCCCGTCTCGTGCACCGGTGGGGCGCGAACTCACAGCGCCGCCGCTGCCCTGCCGCGCACAACTCATACGAACGCGCAGGTCCAAGCTCGGATGATTCGCCCGCGGGTACAACGAGGAAACGAGGTATGACTATCAGCGCGTAGGTACGTCTCACATCGTCGCGCGGCCTCACTTCGCCCCGCCCTCCTCCATCTCCTGGCTGATCGTCACCGCGCCGCCCACGGGGTAGTAGATGTGGTACACGCCCGCGTGCCGGTCCTTCTCCGTCGCCGCCGCGCCCTTGCGCAGCTTGAGTTGCAACACGAACCCGTCCTGGGCCAGAATCCCCACCGTCAGCCACAGCACCTTCGCAGCCTGCGCACACACCGCACATTGCGATTTTTCACGCCACTCGCGACGCTTCACGCACCGCACGCGGCAGCAACCGCGACCATGCAACGACGTTTTCCGCCGCTCGGGCGTCGCGCTCGCACCTCGTTCGCGGCCTCCTTCGTGTGCGGCGCCGGCAGGTCGAGCAACGCCTCGCAGCGCCGCCCGCGCAGCGTCGCCAGCACCTTCCCGGACGCCGGCATCGCCAAACAGTCGGCCGTGAACCTCCGCAGCGCGTACCGCCGCCCGCGAACGCGGTGCCCGCCCACGCCCTCCAGCTCCACGTCCTCGGGCTTTTTCTCTCCGTCGATCTCGCACTTGAAGTGGTCGTGCATCCGCCACTCCCCCCCCTCCGGCGGCCGCCACTTGCTCTCAAAAAACACCGTCCGCTCCTCGTCCGCCGCCCCCGAGGCCCCCGTCCCCTCCCCGCCCTTCGGATCCATATCCACCATGAACTGCAGCGCGCGCATCATCTCCTCCACGTGCTCCTTGCTATACGCCCCCGCCCCCGCCGCTGCACCCCCCTTCAGGTGCCCCCTCCGCACGCGCCTCGCCACCTCCGCCCAGTCCGTCCCGGCCAGCAGCGCCTCCCGGATCGCCGGCACCTGCTCCAGGATCAGCCCGCGCGCGCCCGTCGACCCGCCCTGCCCGGCCACCGCCGCCGCGCCCCCCCCCTGACTCACCCCCATCGCCACCTCCTCGAGCACGCGCTGCAGGTCCTTCAGGACCGGCAGCTGGTCGAACATCACCTCGTTCAGGTACCGCCGCACCTTCTGCAGCCGCTCCCGCCGGAAGTCGTCCCACTCGTACCGCGACCGGAACCTTGGGTCGACGACCAGGTTGTTGAGCGCGAGCCACACCTGGGCGTCGCACTGCGACACGCGCAGGCGGTCGCGGGGCTCGACCTCGACCCACGCGTTGCCGTTGTAGCGCTCCGTGACCGTGCGCGGCCGCGCGGGCTTGCCGGCGGCGCCCGCATTGGCGGGCTGCGGCGCGGGCGGCGGCGGGCGCGTGGCGCGGCGCTCCCACGGCGGGGAGTCGAGGAGCGGGAGGAGCGCCATGAGGACGTCGTTCGTGGAGAGCATGCGCGCGACGATGCCCACGGGCAGGTCCGGGGGGCGGTCGGTCAGGTACCGTAGGATCGTGAGCGCGCAGATGGCCGTGCCGTGGCGGATCTCGCGGTCCCGGGACTCGAGCTCGTCGAGCGGCGTCATCGCGAGGAGCTCCTGCGCCGTCCGCGCCACGTACTCCTTGTCCTGCGCGCCACACCCCCAACGCACACACACTCCGCCGTCGTTTGCCATCTCGCGGCGAAACGCGCGGCCGCTTCGTTCGGCGGGAGAGCGAGCCGCGAGCGAGCGGTACCGGGGGCGCCGCCGCGCCGTGCCGCGCCGCGCAGCGCACCTGTTGTCCTTGGTTGTTTAGGTAAATGATCTTGCGGTAGCACCAGTCGACGAGTTCGACGAGGTGGTCCTCGTCGAGGGCGCTCACGGCGTGGCTGTGGAACAGGAGGACCTCGAGGAGGTTCGCCGCGGCGGCCTCGTGGTACAACAGCGTGTAGGAGGTGACGCTGTCCACCTGCGCGGGGCGCGGGGCGACGGGCGGCGCGTGGGCCGCGAGGAGCGGACGGGCGGCGCGCGGGCCGTTTGCGGGAAGAGGGCGTGCGTACGCGGCAAGGAGCGGCAGGGGCGGCGCGGGCGGCGGTATGTGGTGTGGCGCAGTGTGTGGTGCGTGCCTTCTCCGCGAGGTGCTTCCTGAGGTGCGGCATGACCTTCTCCTTCCACACCTCGGTCACGAGCAGGTCCTTGACGAGCACGTTGATCTTGTCGAACGAGCAGAAGGCCTCCACAACGAACTCGTCCGAGTGCGCCTGCGCGTTGAAGTGCGCCTGCGGGCCAGAACGCGGACGCAGGGCCCGGAACGCAACCGCGTGAGCTCGGAGCCGCGCCCGCGGCCGCGCAGGCCTCGCAACGCCGCACCGGCGCCGCGAGCCCGCATCCAGCGCACCCCGCGCCTCCTGCGACGGCCTCTCCGCGCGCCCCGCGGTCGCGCACGACGCACCCGGGCCGCCGCACGCGCCCTCTACGGGCAGTCCGTGCCCGCGCGGGCCACCACAGGCCCGTACGCGCGCTGAGCGGACGCTCCGCACGCGCGCTTCGAAAACAGCGCAGCCGGGGCCGCGGCCCGGCGCCGCGAGGCGCCCGGGCACGCACCTGGAGGTTCAGCTTCTCGACGTGCTGGTGCTGCTGCATCCACGCTGCGTTCCCGACGTCCTCGACGCCGAATTCGCGCAGCGCCTCGACCATTCGCTCCGCCTCTGGCGCGCTCACCAGGGATGCCTGCGCGCCGTCCTGTCCGGCCGCCAGCCCGCGGCCGAACATCGCGTCCATCGTAGAGGCCATCGTGTGCGGCCCTGGCGCGCCACGGCGCTCCGGGTTCCCGCCTGGCGTCGCCGGGGGCCGGGTGCCAGGCTGCAGGGCCGTGGGGGTGGCCGTTCGCGTCGCTCGGGGGGAAGTGGAGGGCGGGGCCGTGCGGGTGCAATGCGCTGCGCATGCGGTGTGGGCCGCGGCCGCGCACGCCGGCGAATATCGCCGGTCGGGGCGTGGGAGGAGTGTCGGACGCGCCTGGTGGTGCGGGGTCGCGTTCGCCGCAGCTGGGCCCGCGGCGATCTCCGCGGCGGGCGCGGAGGGCAGAGTTTGACGTGCTCCGCGCGGCGGGCCCGCGAAGCCGCGGGATTCACCGCGCGGGTTGCCGGTGCGACGGCCTGACCGGGCGAACACACCACGCGCGGTCGAAACGCCCCGTGCGCCGCGGCCGGGATGTGCGCGGGCGGGCGCGGCCTGCGTGCATCACCGCGCGACACCGTATCGCGTTTGTGAACGTCCGCCAGCACACGGCGGAGGTTCGGAGGCGGCCTAGCAGCGCCGAGGACCCAGGAGTGCGGCAGGGGCGCGGGCTGGGGGCAGGGCGGCGTCTCGCGGGTGGAACTTCCACCGAAGGGCAAACTGCTGGTTCGGGAGGGCGAGGTCGGGCCTTCGCAGCGACAGCACAATGGGCTTTACGAGGATTCCGTGGAGCAAGGAGGAGGATGACATGCTGCGGGAGTGCGTGGAGGCTTTCGGCGCCCAGGTACGTCGCGAGAGAGGTCGAGGTTCGGCGAGAAGCGCCGCAAACCCGGGATCTGCCGTCCCCGGGCAGCTGCGAGCGAGCTCGCAGGGCACCTTGGCTCCGTTTCCGCGCAAAGGTGTCCGAGTTCGCGGTATGCGCGGCGGTTCCGTGCAGGATTGGAGTCGGATTGCGACGGAGTTCAACAACCGCATGAAACAGAACCCGCGCGGCGAGTCGACGAAGCGGGAAGGCAAGCAGTGCAGGCTCCGATGGACGAACCAGCTGGATCCGCGCCTCAACCACGGCCCGTTCACGGAGGAGGAGGAAAACATTATCGTGGATAAGCACCGCGAATTCGGCAACCGGTGCGGGCCCCGCAGCATCGCCGTGCCCACACTCGTCCCTCCAGCTCCCGCGCAGCCGCCCCAGGCCTGCGCATTCCACCGCCCGCCCCGCGCCACGCCCCCCTCGCCCCGCTCCCGCCCCCGCGCGCCGCCCTCGCGCCCCACACACCGCGCGCATCCTCCGCGCGGCGGCCGTGTCCCCTTCTAGGCACCCTCCGCGCCCCGTCGCCGCCTCCCCCGCCGCGCCCGCCGCCCGAGGCGCCCCTTCCGCGCACCCTCCGCCCCGCCCCGCCCCCCCGCCCGCCCCGCGCCACACTGCACCGCACCCACCGCGCCGCAATACCTCCATGATCCTCCAGCCCTCTCACACCGTTGCTGCGGATCCCCCGCCTCGCGCCCTCCCGCGGGCCCCCCGCGCGCCAGCCCGGCTCCCTCCCTCCGCGGCCGCGCGGCTGCACCCCCGGCGCGCGCTCGCGCCGCCCCGCCGCGCCGCTCGGGCGCACCTGGCTGCACGCGGTGCCCGCGTGACCCTCGCTCCGTGCCTCCGCGCGCGCCGCAGGTGGTCGATGATCGCGTCTGCGCTCAAGGGCCGGACCGACAACATGGTGAAGAACCACTGGCACCTCAGGCTGAAGCGCAAGGCCGAGGAGCAGCGCGCGGGCGGGTCGACTTCGGACGGCGAGGGTGCGGCCTCCCTCGGGCGTGCGCGGCAGGGATCCGCCGCGCCGCCGAACCGCGCGTCGATCGACGTCCCCGCCGGAGACTTCCAGACCAACGACGCCTTCGACGTCGCGGAGCGCCACGGCCACGAGGTGCGCGCCACCGCCGACGCAGAGAGCACGTGTCCTGCGCGGCGTCCACCGCCCCCGCCGCCCGCGCCGAGCGCTGCCCGCCGCCCCCGAGCATCGCAGGCGGGAATCGGTCCGGCGTCGGGGCAGACGAACTCCGGCTCCGGGACGTCGTCCGGCGCCGCGGGCGGCAGCGGAGCGCCCGCGCGGCCCCACGTGCCGCGGCGGGGCGTCGGGGCGCGCATGGCGCGGCATCCGTCGTCGCGGAACAACTCCGACATCGACTCCATCTCACGCCGCGTGTCGCAGGCCGCCGCGCAGCGCGCGCGCCCCGGCCCCAGCACGCTGACGCCGGCGCCGGAGCTGGGCGTGCACTCCCCCGCCGGCGCGCCGCCGTCCGGGGCGCTGCCGGCGCAGGGCCCGATGTCCGGCCCCGCGGGGTCGCAGGGCCTCGGAATCTGGCAGGACGGCCCGGGCACGCCCGCGGGGCTCGGCCCGCCCGCGCCCCTCGAGCGGCGTGCATCGGGCACGCTGGGCGGCGCGCGCGGGGGGCGGCGGCGCACGTCGGACGCGCACAACCACTTCACGTCGGGCGCGGAGCTCCAGGGCGTGGTCAAGCGCCGCGGCTCGCTGCAGGACGGCACCGCCGGCGCGCGCAGCGGCGACCGCGCCAAGGCTCTGCTGTTGGACGACGCGTTGAGGCTCGAGGCGCAGCTGAGCGACCGGAACCGGCAGGCGGGCGCGGCGCGGCAGCGCGTGCCGCAGCGGCGCGGGTCGACGACGGAGATCCCCGTGCACACGGGCGGCGGCGACGTGCGCGCGCGGTTGCCCGCCGGCGGCGGGATGCAGGCGGCCGCGGACATGTGGGGCGGCGCGTCGCGCCGCCTGTCGGCGCCGATGGCGGCGGGGATGACGATCGGGAATCTTGGGGAGCCCGGCGCGGACATGTTTGGCGGGCTGACGCCGCAAGGGGACCGCAACCAGCACATGCGTACGCTGGCGACCTTCAACATCGACCTGGATCCGTCGCTGCAGCCGTCGCCGGAGACGTTCGCGTTCCTGAACGGGAAGAACCTGGACCAGTCGACGCCGGCGGGCGCGGCGAACGGCGGCGCGGGCCTGCGCAAGTGGCACCAACAGCAGCTACAACAACCACAGCCGCACGCGATGCACCCGGGGCACCGCGGCAGCGCCGACCACACGTGGTCCGGGAACGGCGCCGTGCAGAACGGCTGGGCCCCGCAGCACGGCAACGGCGCGAGCAATTGGCACCAGCAGCGCGCCCAGGACGCCTGCTCGGGCTTCCCGCAGCAGCCGCAGCGGCCGGCGCACGTGCCCACGCCGCAGCAGCAGCCCGTGCGCGGCGACACGGCCATGGACGACTCGCTCCGGGAAGGCATTCCCTCGACGTGGCGCCAGGGCGAAGGGCTACAGGAGTGGCTCGGCCCCAGCGACTCTATCCTGCAGGAGGTGCTGGGTGGCGGTCCTGGGTCGCTGGAGCCGCTGCTCGAGGGCACGGGGTTCTCTGGGCACGGCCTGTGGGACGAGTCGATGCACGGGGGGCAGGAGGACGCCCAGGCGCTGCAGGCGCAGGGTGCGGGAGGCATGCAGGACCAGCAGAGCGGCGGCGACGACTCGGGCGGGTACGGGGCGGCGCACAGCGCGAACAGCGAGGGGTCGAAGCCGACGGTGTCGACGCAGGGCGTGCGGAACGGCAACGGCACGCCGATGTCGCCCGCGTGGGTGCATGCGGGCATCAACGGCGGCGACGGCGGCGGCGCGCCGCAGGCCGCCGTCCCGTCGTACCTGCTGCAAGGGCTGCAGTCGATCAACATCCAAGCGCCGGAGAGCAGCGGCCAGGGCAACGCGACGCACGCGATGGCGCTGCCCGCCGGGCAGCCGCAGCACGCGGGGGGGTACCAACAAGGACCCCCCCCCCAGTCGGGCGTCCCGACACGCGCCGCGGGGGCCTACGGTGGTGGCCCGTACGGCGTGTACGACGGAGGCTACGGCGGCCAGCAGGCGTACCAGCAGCAGGCGCCTCGATACGGCGGCGGTGGGCCGGCGGCGCGCGGCGGCGACGACGACTTCATGGCCATGATCCAGCAGGTCATTGGTCCCGACGGATGACGCCCCCTCCCCCTCGCGGGCAAATCTGATGTGCGTTCGCCTGGCAACCAACCCCGTGCGAGTAATTCCACACCCCCCCTCCCCTCCCCACCTTTTCTCCTACTCCCCCGCTTCGTACCCGACGGCTTGACCGTATACATACGCGCACAGCGCTGCCCTGCCCGTCCGCGGGCGGCCCCGTGCCGGGCCCGCGGTGCGTCGACACCCTGACCCGCGCTCACGTAGACCGCACCGGCGACGCGCCGCATGGCAAGGAGCACCATGTGGTCCCGGCAGGGCGCCGTCTCTCGCCGTGACTCGACCGGCGCTCTATTTTTCCTGCTCTGTAGCCACTCTGCCCCTAGCTAACCCCCTCGCCGACCCCACCCCCGCGGAGGCCGCGCCTGCTGCGCCAGGCCGCTCCGTGCCGGGCGTGCGACACCAACAGACGATGCAACCACCCCATAACGTACCCAGCCGCTCCTGCGTGTGTGTGTGTTTGGGCCGGCAGCTCCCGCCCGCCCCAACGAGGAAGGAAATTTCCGCTTCCCCACGCTTGCCTGTCTGCACAGCAGCAACCCCCTGTCCGCCGCGCTTGCGCGCGGCACCTAGCCCGGCTTTCCGCAGTGCTGTTGAGAGGTGAAGATGGCCATGAAATACAGCGCCAGAGTAATAAGTGTGACAGCACCTGTTGACGCCGCCCCGGGCCGCGCGAGTCCGCACGCGAGCTCCGCGCGCGTCGTGCTGCCAGGCCGGCGCGAGGGAGCCACTTCGCATGCCACGACGCTGCACGTCTTGTGCGGGTGTTGGATCACTGCTGTGCGCGCTGGTGTTGTGTTGGGCCCTGGTTCGACGTGTCCGTCTCGTGCGCCGCGCTGATCCGGTCGTCAAGCACGTCGCGGCGAGGGCGCCTGGAGGCCGCGAACCTCGAAGATTCCCGCGCTCGACGGACCGCACGTGGTGGGGGAGTCTCCCAGCTGAGCGGCCGAGCCGACGCCCGTGCAGGGTGCGTGAAATAATGCCGCTGGCGCGGCGCCCGGCCAGGTTGAGCAGCGAGGATCAGATCGCGCCGCGTCTCACGCCGCCCCGTCCCGTGGATTCGCGGCAGGACGCGCGAGCACCTGCGTGGCCCAGCCTCCGGCCCCGCCAGCGGGCCGTGTGCGCCGTTCCAGGGCGCCCGGCCGGCTCCCCGCACACTATGGTCTCTTGCGCGCAGCTCCGGGGCGCCGTCCACGCGGCGCCGCGCTGCACAGGACCGCGGCCCCGTCCCATGCAGCGGGCCTCCTCCGTGCGCTGCCGCGCTGCCGTCGACGGCTCCGCGCGCGTGGGCGTCACGAACTCCCTGAACGAGTTCGGGGCCGCTATCGACGTGTGGCACAGCTTCATCCCGCCCGTCGCGCTGCCGGAGCGCGAAGTAATTACAGCCTGCTCCTGTTCCGACGGTGACGACTGGACGTGGTGCAGCCCGGACGAGCTCCGCTACAGGTGACGCTCAGATGCTACCGTCGTCGACCCGCTTCGAATCGATGGCTATCTCGATGCGCCACGCGCGTGGCGCGCCCGCGAAAGAGACACCCTTCGCGTGGTGCTCCCCTCCGTCGACCTTCCGCGCCGTTTCCGTCACGTCACCGCGCGCGCACCGCCGCCGATGCACGGACACGATCTCAACCTATCAATCGCGACGCCAACGACCCGGCAACACCCGTCCGAGCGCTCCCGCTTCTCACTGCCCTGCCCCTGCGTCCCCGCCGCAGATTCAACACCTGGATTCGGTCCCCGCACTGGCCCGCGATCCGCGCCGCGCTGATCGAGGACCCGACCATGATCCACGTGGACCCGCTGTGCGCCGTGGAGACCCTCGACGCGCTCGCGGCCGAGTTCGAGTTCCAGTCGACTACCTTGTACAAAGTGGCCAAAGACTGCCCGCGGATCCTCTCCGTCGACGCGAGGTCCGCGCCTCAGCCCCCGGATCGCTCGGAAAGAGACCTGGCTGCCGCGGGCCGCGCCGGGAGCCGCAGCGAGACGGTCTGGCTGCCGCGAACGCCGTGCTATGTGTGTGTGCGTGTGCGCTACGCGTCACTGGGCCGCGCCGTGTTTGGTTGCGCAGGGAGATTCCGATGCGGCTCGACACGGTCCGGCAGATCTTCGGCAAGGCCCGGAAGGACGTGGGCGACATCGTGAAGCGCTTCCCGGCCGTGGTGCTGTTTGCGACGGACGACCTCTGGGACTGGTTGACCGTGCTGCAGGCCACGGCGCCGGGCCTCGACATCCCCAAGGTCCTGCGCTCGAAGCCGACGGCCCTCGGCGTGTCCCCGCAGGCCATCGCGGAGCGGATTCGGTACCTGCAGCGCACGTTTGAGTGCGAGGAGGTGTCACAGGTCGTGGCGCTGATCCAGGGGTCGCCGCAGCTGCTGGTGCAGAACAGCGACACGATCATGTCGAACGTGGAGAGCATCGTGGAGGGCCTCGTCGCGCAGGGCGACGGCGCGTTCAGCCGCCAGGAGGTGTTTGCGCTGCTGCGCAACTCCCCCAACCTGGCGCACTGCCAGGCGGAGAGCATCCTGACGACGGCGTCGTGGCTGGAGACGCACTTCGTGGACGAGGAGCGCTGGGGCTGGGCGACGTGGCAGCCCGGGGTGCCCCTGGAGGCCATGCTCAAGACGCGGGGCCTGGCGGGGCGCCGCCCGCTGGGCATCAGCGCGACGTACGAGGAGATGCTGGAGATCAGCGGGTCGTGCGAGCGCTGGCGGGGCGACCTCGAGGTGCGCGGGCAGCCGTCGCCGCGCGCGTGCTTTCGCTTTCGCTCCGTCACCACCACCAGCCGGTGCTTTCGCACGTACCTTGCTCGTTTGCGCCGCGTTGTCGCGTACGAGCGCAGCACGGCAGCCGCGTGCGGGCTTCTCACGTTCCCCCGCGCCGGCCCCGCCTGTCCGTCGCGCAGAGGCTGTTGGAAAAGAAGCGCGCGTCGTCGCTGGGCTACCTGCTCACGACGTCGAAGACGAAGCGGAACCGGCTGTGGTGGGTGCTCGACCGGACGCCGGAGGGCGAGCAGCCCATGTGGGGCCTCAACACCACGCTCTCGAAGACGACGGCAGCAGTGGCCAAGGCATACGGGGTGACCAAAAAGGAGCTGGAGGCGGATCTGGAGGAGATGGAGTCGTGGGGCGCGGGGCGAGCCGCCGCGGGCTGACTGCGGGCCGCGGGCGATGACGCCCAGGCCGTGCGGCCGCGACCCGTGTGATGCGAACCAGCGCTGCGCGTTACCTCTGCAGTGATGCCCGCGTCGGTTGGGCGGTTCGGTCGGAGCGTCGCGTGGCGCCGCTGTGCTGCGAGCGGCGCGTCTGCGGGTGCCTGCGCGGCCGGGGCGTGCGCGGCCGGCGGGTGGGGTGTCGGCGCGAGGTGGCGAGTGTGTCTGGGGTGGATGTGTCGCCTCTGGACGCAGCGATTCCGGGGCGGCCGGCAGCGTTCGGATGTCGTCGTGGTGTGTGTTCCGGTCGGTCGTGGCACGAAGCGGCCCGACGTCGCGTGTGCGCCTGCGGAGGCGGACTGGGGGGGGAGCGCAGCATGCGGACTGGGGAGGCACGCAGCGCGCGACGGAGGCGTCTTTGCCTCCGAAAGCGCGGCGAAACTGGAGGTTTAAGCAGAGGAAGTCGCAATTGAACGTAACCCAGATCGCTTGTACCGTACACGAGGCACGTCGGAGAGAGACTTCTTGAGCGAGGCATAGAAGACCGCCCGAGGAGCCCGCTATGAACGCTGCTTCCGTCGCGTGCGGGTCCGCCGTCCGCGGCCCTGCAGTTCAGGCCGTCTCCCAGCGCGCCACGCCCGGAGTTCCCGCGCCCCGTGCGCCAGCCCTCCGCCCCCATCTCTCCCTCTCCAAGGTCCGCAGCCGCAGGCCCCGCCGCCCGCCGCTCCCGACCCCTCACCGCTGCCACCACCATCCCACCGACATGCCTCCTCCACCACTTCGTAGCCAATTGCGCCAGCCCCGCGCCGTCCCAGGCCGTGCACCCACGCCGCAGGCCGCGCCCGTTCGCAGCGCCTGGCGGGCGCACGGCCCTCGCACGCGCGTGCGGGCTCCCCCACTTCGCTCCGCTGCCGCCAGATCGCCCCGCCGCCCGTGCGTGCGCTCGCGCGGCCCCGCACGCCCGCAGCCCTTGTGCGTTGCCCTAAGCCTCGACCCGCGCACAGCGAGCTCCGCGGCGCCTGGCGCGGCCATTCCGCGCGGACCCGCCGCTTGCGCCGTGCGGGACCGGCAGCGTCGCCCGCGGCGGCGTTCGCCCGCGGTCTTTCGCACGCGCGCGGGAGCCAGCCAGGCCAACAGCCCCGGCGGCCAGCGCGCGGTACAGCGACCGGGAAGCGCTGTTTCGCGCGGGAAAGGCAAGATGAGCTGATGAACGAACGTGCGAGCGCCGTTTCGCGTGTCTGACTGGCGTGTGGCGCTCGTGCGCGGTGCTTCCCCGCAGGATGCTAGAGCGCAGGTCCGCGTGGCGTCCCAGGCGCAGGCGGCCGTCTCGAACTTCTTCGAGAGCAAGGAGGACATCAAGGCGGCCCTCCTGGACTCCCTCTTCGGCACCGACCGCGGCCTGAACGCCAAGTCCGAGGCACGGACCCTCCGTCACCTCCCAGCCCCCCCACGCACGGGCGCCCGGCGGCGCGAAACCCGGCGCCGACCCCCCACATTTCCCGCTCGCCCTCCCCGCAGGTCCGCGCGGAGATCAGCGAGCTCATCTCGCAGCTCGAGGGCAAGAACCCGACGCCCTCCCCCACGGAGGAGCTCACCAAGCTCGACGGGACCTGGCGCCTGGCGTACACGACGTCCCCGCAGCTCCTCGCGCTGCTCGCGCTCGGCCAGCTCCCGGGCGTGGAGATCGGCGACGTCACGCAGAAGATCGACTCCTCCGCGGGGCGCGTGCAGAACAAGGTGGACATCTCGGCGCCCTTCTCGAGGACCGCGCTCTCGACGTCGGCCGCGTTCGAGATCCGGTCGCCCAAGCGGCTCAACGTGAAGTTCGACAAGGTGCGCGCGAGACACCGCGCCCGCGGACGCCGCCGACCGCCCGCCGCAGCGCTCGACACGGTCGTATTGTTGTTTTGGCTCTCGGATTGGAACACCATGTATTGCGCGCGACTCCTGCCGCACGCACGGTGTCCCCGCGCACTTAGGCGCCCGGCCGCATGCACGCCCCGACCCGCCCCGCCCCGCCCCGCCGCCAGTCCTCGCACGAAGACTAGCGACCGCACAACCAATCAATCAACCAACACAGTCGCCTGCCCCTCCCCCCCGTCCGCGCGCCGCAGGGCACGATCCAGACCCCGGAGCTGCTCGCGAACATCGAGATCCCCGCCTCGCTCGACATCCTGGGCAACCGCGTGGACCTGTCGCAGTTCTCGTCCGTCACGCAGCCCGTGGAGGGCCTCCTCCGCAACGCGCTCTCCACGGCCAACGGCCTCGTCCGCAACCTCCCGGGGCAGACCGACATCCCGATCGACTCGGCGCGCGCCACCACGTGGCTCGTCACCACCTACCTCGACGACGACACCCGGGTCTCGCGCGGCGACGGCGGCGCGGTCTTCATCCTGACCAAGGAGGAGGAGTACGAGGAGTTCACGCCCGAGGTGGCCGGGTTCTCGGACACCGACGAGCCGACGCCGTCGCCCGAGGTCGCGGCCAACCCCGCTACGGCCACCGCGCCCACGGGGACGACGGTGGTGGCGGAGGTCGACGTCGACAGCGACGAGGAGCCGGAGGCCAAGTAAATGCGGCGTAAATGCGAGAAACGTGCCGGAATAGATCGCGCGGAGCGCCGCTGCCGGGGTGCTGGGGCCCACTGGCGCGACGGTCGCGGGGCGCCCGCGCAACGATCGACTGCGTGCGTGCGAGGGGCGGCCGGGAGGATTTCGCTGTGCGGGCTGCGCACGGCGGTGTCCTGCCCTCCCGCGCGCCGGTCCAAACTAAACACCCCCCCTTTTTGATGTAGCGTCTCTCGATAGGTTGTACCCCTGGCGAAACTTGCGCACGCGGCCGTGCCGCGCGTGAGCATAGCGTCCGCGGTGCGCCGCACTGTGACTGGACGACAGCCCGCACGCGACGCTGGCTCTTAATTTGCGGCCTGCACGTTGCTTGCCTGGCGCACGGCAGTGTGCTCCACGGCGGCCACACGCCCCTTGCCACTCTTCCACATTGCGATTCTAACCCTCGTTCGTAACCGCAAGCCCTGCACTGCCCCGGGCCAGACATGCAGGTCTCACGTCACCTGCAGGTGACAGCTGGGTGCCGCGGGCCGACGATCGCGGCAAGACCTGGGCGCCTCGCCGCCCACCAGAATTGCGTAGATGGGCACGCGAACTGCCAAGCCGGAGAGATTGGTCGTGCCGCGCGAATGCGAGCGACGCCTACTGCGCGCTCACGGTGATGCCTGCCCCCTGCGCTGCGCAATTCTGCTGCAACACCCACCCCGGCGCGCTGTCAGGCAGGGAGGCAACTTGCTGCGGTTCGAGCGGCCCTTGCCGCCCTTAACGGTCCCCTGCTGAACATCGCTCTGATGGAGTGCCTGGTAGGCCGGACAATGCTGCTGTGCACGCTCATCACATGACACAGCAACACTGGGGCACGTCAGGCTCTCGCCGCGTCTCCTGAGCACGCCTCGCCGCCTGCTCCTGCCGCCCTCTTTGCACGTTCTGCCAAATTTCGTTCAGAAGTCGTCCACGTGGACTGTTCGGAAATTTCGGAAACCCAAAACACGACGCCAGGCTTCCCCCTTGGTAATGCCGTACCAGCCGCAGTTCTGCCTCTGCGCACCGCAGCGCCTCCCTCTCCTTTTCTAGTCGCGCCTCCTGCGCGCGCCGTGCCTCCTGCGCGCGCCGTGCCTCCTGCGCGCGCCGTGCCTCCTGCGCGCGTCGTGCCTCCGCGCGTCGCGCCTCCTCCGCGCGCCATGCCTCCACCGCGCGCCATGCCTCCACCGCGCGTCGCGCCTCCGCGCGACGTGCTTCTGCGCGTCGCGCCTCCTCCGCGCGACGTGCTTCTGCGCGTCGTGCCTCCGCGCGTCGCGCCTCCTGCGCGCGCCGTGCCTCCTGCGCGCGCCGTGCCACGAAGCCACGAACCACGGTCAGGAGCTTCTCGGCACGAAGTGCTCCGGTGCGGAGCGCCACGTGCAGCGGAAAGATAACACAGTTGGTGTCTGATGCCGTAATGCGGCGCGGGTTGACGACGACGTCCTTGGCCAGGTCCTCTCGGATGGCCTTCATCAGCAGGTACGCGATTTTCTCGGTCGGAGCTGTCCCGTCCTTCGCGACCCCCAGGGCACGCGAACGAAACTCTGCGTCAAAACAATCATCGTCATCAGACCAGCCGCCTATGACGTCCCTGGCGTCACCCACGTTGTTCATCCCCGAAATTCTGAGCCCGTGTGACATGCGGTGCAGAAGAACGCAGCGGTACCGGACGTCGTTGGTCCACTCGAGATTGAATGCGCCGTCATAGTGGCCGTCGAGGACCAGTCCGCCGTGTATGCGCCCATAGACGTTCGCGCCTCCGACGATGTGCACGGTCACTTTGTCCGCACAGACGCTGAACGACCTCCCGTTCCGCTTCGACGTTATCTTGTCGCCTTTGCAGGAGACCTCGCCAGGGTACTTCGCGTAGATGACTTCGTGGGGCGGCATCGCCGCCTTGCGATCGCCTGCGAAACAAATTCCTCACCGCGCTGTCAGCGAAGCCGTCAAAAATCGGTGCTATCGTGCGCGTGCTGCTCACTGCTGCGCCGCACAGGCGCACCCGGGCTGGCTTCCGGGACAGTGCAAGTCGCGGTCTCCGCTCTTCGACCCCGCGCTCCTCACAGACGTTCAGCCCGTCAATGTTCCAAGAAGCCGCAGAACTGCGCGCAGCTACGGCCAGGCCCCCCCACCCTTGCCATGGAATCTCTGGTGATGCCGCTGTGCCGCGCGATTGGCGACACAAGGCCTTCCATCGAAAGTCTACTTCGGCTGGGATCTACTAGATATGTACGTTTCAGGCCAACTGGAGCAGCAAGGATCCTCCGCAGTGCATGGCGGGGCTGTCCAACACTCCGCAAGCCCCGGTCAGGTCTTGCGCACGAGGCTCGGAAACGGCCCAGAGAGGGGCGTTGTCTTGGCAAGCCCGCAATGAACACAACGAGGGCAGGCGATTTGGCGAAGCGATGAGGGAACCGTTCCCTCTGCTGTGCTTGCGGAACGCGGCACTTGACACCACAAGCGACGCTTCGCGCCGTGTCCCGCGGGCTTGCAGTCGCGGCAAGCGACGACGGCCGCGCCCGAACCACTGCACGTGCATGACGCACGCCGTATACACGCCCGGTCACCGCGGCGTGCCCGCTACGCGCTCCCAACCGCGATCCTCCGCCGCACCACCGTCGGCTTTGACTCGCACTCGTCCTCCCCGCCGTCCCCGCCGCGGCCCCGCTTGCGCCCGCGCGCGCCCGCAGCCGGGCTCAGCATCTCCGTCGCCTGCTCGGGGATCGGCGCGTACGGCGCCGCCTTCTCGTGGACGGCGACGCAGTACGCCACGGCCGCCTTGGTCAGGTTCTCGCCAAGCTGCGCGTCGTCAGCGAAGCTGCACGCGGTGTTCACGAGGTTCTTGTAGTGCAGCGCGCGCGTGCGGAGCGCCACTTGCACCGGAAAAACCAGGCAGTTCGTCTCGTCCAGGGGCATCTTGCGCGGCGACACGTGGAAGGGTTTGTCGAGGTCGTCTCGCAGGGCCTTCATGAGCAGGTACGCGATCTTCTGGTTCCACTCGAGCGCGCCGCCGTTGCGCGCGACGCCCACGGCCCGCGCGCGGAACCCCTCGTCGAAAAACGCGTCGTTCTCTCCGCCGTAGGTCTGCGAGATGCCCGCGATGACCTCCCTGGCCTCGCCGACGGCGTTCAGCCCCGCGATGCGGATCCCGTCGACCATGCGGTGCAGCAGGACGCACCGGTAGTACACTCTCGGCGTCCACTCGAGGCCGAACAGCCCCATGAGCACGCAGCCTGCGTGCACGTGCCCGTGCTCGTTCGCGCCGCCGACGATGTGCACCGTGACGGTCTCGGAGATGATCTGGAAGGACTTGCCCCGCGCCGAGACCCAGTTCTTGTTGCACGCGACCTCGCCGGGGTAGCGGGCGAACAGCACGTCGTGCGGCGACATCGCGGTGCGCTCGACCTGCGGGCGGCGCGTCGGCGCGTATGTGCTGGGTGCGCGGACCCGCGAAGGACGTCGCGGGTCGAAGGCGGGCACGTGTCCGAAGGCGAATCGCATGGAATTTCGTCGTGAAACGAACACACACCTGTGGAGCTAACCAACTAACTACTGCGGTGCCTTTCGAAGGCCGTGCGACCGCGCGAGGGGTCGCGCATACAAGCAACCGCTCGTACAGTCGCTGGTGTCGTGTCCAACTGCGGCGTGGCGTCGGGGGGCCGCGCTGGCGGGGGATGAGGGGAGGCGCGGCTGGACAGGGGCCCACTGCGGTCCGCGGCGACCGTGTTCCTGCTCCTCTATCGCTCCGTCGGATGTCCTACATGCGGGGGTCAAGGGGGAGCAACGAAGGTGAGCAGCTAGGGGCTGTGCATCGCAGCGGGCGGCGTGCGACCCACCAGTTGAGATCAGGGATCGCGGAAGAACAGTCGATACAAGGAGCTGGTGAGGCGTTCGACGACAGCAAATCGGCCCTCTCATCTGGGCCAGCTGCAGGCGGGGTAAGACACGTGGAGGGAATTCTCGACAGGCCGGCCTGAGCGCGTCTGCTGCTTTCTAACCGACAGGGAGGAATCGCGGCACGCTCGCGTGGCGCTGCGCGCCGTGGGCTCACCTCTGCAGCTTGTCGCGCAAGTTGTGCATCCGTTCCGGCGCGCCGCGTCCCCAACAGCCCCCGTCCCGGGCTCTGACGGCCTCTTTTGGTATAACACATGTGATGGCAGCCGCAGCCGCCCGCCGCGATCGAAGCGCCGCGGTTCTGACGGCTCACGAGCCCGCGCACGACCGTCGCAGCGCGCACGACGCACGCGACGGCGCTGCTGAGCGGGGTCGTGCCGTCCGTTGCGCGTTATTTCACGTCGCGGGGAGCACGCCACCGCGGATCGGGGTGACGGGCGAATGCCCGTTCATCACACGCCGCGCGCCACGCCACTGCGGCCACGCTCGTGCGCACCCGCACGCGGCTCCCGGCGACGGTTCCCGCCTCGAAAAAAGGACATCCCTGGGGGGTGCAAGGGTTCAGGTCCGACGTGGCCGCGGCGCCGCCTGCAGGTCCGATGCCGGCGAGCCCAGGGAGCTCCTCGCACTACCACATAGTCCGCAGGCGTTTGAGCAGGCGGCACGCCGCGCTGTAGCTCTGTGTGGCCCGCAACTGCGCACGTTTGCCCAGAGCCATTAGCACTTTAAGCGGGGCTTACGGACTACTCAGCGTCTCAAGCGCTCGCTCGAGCAGCCGCGACGTAGAGTCATAGCTATGCAGCGGGCGGGGGCGCCGGCGCGCGGCCACGTGAAGGAGCCGCTGCGCGCGAGAGCGTTGTCGAAGCGGGCGTGCTCTCGCGCGGTGGTGCGGCGTGAGAGGGCGGCGGTCGTCGCTGCGGCCGCGGCTGCGGACACGGTGATTGAGACTGACGTCGTGGTGATCGGGTCGGGCATCGGTGGACTCAGTTGCGGCGCGCTGCTGGCCAAATATGGCAAGGACGTCATCGTGTGCGAGTCCCACGACGTCCCTGGCGGGGCTGCGCACGCGTGGGTGCATCCGAAGGGGTACGTGCTGCTCTTGTCTGGTCATCGCGCCCACTTTGAGTCCGCCCCTTCGCAGAAGGACGCCCCAACGAGGCGGAAGGATGCACGCTGATGGTGTGCTCGCCCAACCCGCGGTGCGCGCAGGTATCACTTTGAGGCCGGTCCATCGCTGTACAGCGGCATGGCTGCGCGCGGGCCGGAAGCCAACCCCCTCGCGCACGTGTTCCAGGCCATCGGGGAGCCACTGGAGCTCATCAGGTACAAGACATGGAACGTGATGGTGCCAGAGGGGGATTTTTTGACCGAGGTGAACCCCGCCAGCGCTCCCATCTCCCACCCGCCTCGCGTTCGCATCCGCTTCGTTCCGTCCGCTGCTCGCCAGGCCCACACCACCGACGGCAACGCACACGCGGAGGTTCCTCGTGCCGGGCGTCGCAGGTCGGCGCGTACCAGTTCCTCGACGTTCTGACCAAGATCCGGGGCAAGGCGGCCGCGGACGAGTGGGCGGCGCTGCAGGAGGCCATGAAGCCGCTCGCCAAGGCCTCGGCGCTCCTCCCGCCCGCAGCCCTCCGCGGCGACCTCGGCGCGACGGTCACGGCGCTCGGCCGGTACTTCCCGAAGCTGCTCACGGGCGGCGCGGACGCCGCGAAGCTCACCGGCTCGTTCAAGTCGGCTGTTGAGTCCACCAGGACCATTTCGGACCCCTTTATTCTCAATTGGCTCGACCTCCTCTCGTTCCTCCTCTCCGGCTTGCCCGCGGACGGCACCATCGCGGCGGAGGTGGCGTTCATGTTCAACGAGTGGTACAGGCCGGACTGCGCGCTCGAGTTCCCGAAGGGCGGGTCGGGGGGCATGGTGGCGGCGCTGGTGCGCGGGCTGGAGCGGCACGGCGGCGAGCTGATGTTGAAGGCGCACGTGGACGAGATCCTGCTCGACGAGGCGTCGGGGCGCGCGTGCGGGGTGCGGCTGCGGGACGGCCGCGAGGTGCGGGCGCGGCAGGCGGTGGTGAGCAACGCCACGCGCTGGGACACGTTGGGGCTGCTGCCGGAGGGCACGGTGCCGGCGGACGTGCGCGGGCGCGCCGCGAAGGAGGCGGAGAAGCTGCCGGAGATCAACTCGTTCATGCACCTGCACGTCGGTACGCCCCCGCGGCTCGCTGCGTGGTAGAACAAACAAATCACGAGTTGTAGTTGAAGCACAGAGAACGCCGCCGCCGCCGATGAACTTGTCTTTCCGAGAAGAGCAAAGATGACTCATTATCGGCGTGTTCCTTCCTTTTGTTTGGCGCAGGGTTCGACGCGACGGGCCTGGACGACCTCGAGATGCACCACATCGTCGTCAACACGTGGGACGGCGGCGTGGACACGGAGCAGAACGTCGTGCTCCTCTGCATCGCGTCCGTCGCGGACCCGTCCCTCGCGCCGGAGGGCAAGCACGTCCTGCACGCGTACACCCCCGCCACGGAGCCATACTCTCTGTGGGAGGGCCTGGAGCGAGGCTCGCCCGAGTACAAGCGGCTGAAGGAGGAGCGCAGCCGCGTGCTGTGGGAGGCGGCAGAGCGCGTGATTCCCGACATCAGGGAGCGCGCCGACGTCGCGCTCGTGGGCACGCCGCTCACCCACGAGAGGTTTCTACGTCGGCACAAGGGGTCGTACGGGCCGGGCGTCGTGGCCGGCAAGGGCCAGCTGATCCCGGGCGCGAAGACGCCTGTGCCGGGCCTGTACGCGTGCGGGGACACCGCGTTCCCGGGCATCGGGCTGCCGGCGGTGGCGGCCAGCGGGATGATTGCCGCCAACACGCTGGTGTCCGTCGGCGAGCACTGGGCGATGCTAGACGAGATCGGGGTGTAGGTTGACGGTCATGAGTGATTGAGCGAGCGAGTGAGTAATCAACCATGTTTGACTGTCGTTGGCCATCATGACTCATGACCAAGATTGATGATGATGAGACACGTCACGGCTGTGCGGCCACAGCCGCGACGCTTGGTTCCGCGGCATTGAATCGTTACAATCAGCAGTGCAAGCACACGTAAACCTTCCCAATAGGAAGGGTCACCCATTGAAATAGCGATGACGATCTCCGCCAATAAAATACTTGTGCGCGCTCTCCACCTCGCACAGTGGAACGCCAGCTCTCGGCCGTGAGGCTCCGCGGCGACGAGCCCGCCGGGCTACGCCACGATCGCCCGGGCACGCGCGCGCAGCTTGCCCGCATGCTCAGGGGGCTGTCCCGCCGCGGCAGACAACTCCGCCGCTTTCTCGAACATCGCCTGCGCCTCCGCGACACGCCCGAGCCGCTGCAGCTGCTCCGCGGCCGCCATCGCCGACTGCCACGCTAGCACGCCGTACTCGCCCTGCACGTGAGAGTGCGGCGTCCGACGACGCATGTTGCTTTGACAACGCGGCGAGCGGCCGAGCAGGAACGCTGGCACCACGTAGCGGGTTCTCGCGCGGCGCGCGCGGTGCAGCGCGCGGCCCAGCGCATCCGACGCGCGAGGCGCCGTGCGGGGCGGAAGCGGGACAGTCACTCACGTTGCGCTCCCTCAGTGCCTTCTCTCGCATCGCGAGGGCCCGGAGGTTGGCGTCGAGGGACTCCTGGTGCCGCTCGAGCTTCGCCAGGCAGATGGCCGTCTCCTGGAGCGCCGCGGCCACCTTGGGGTGCGCCTCCCCGCACGCCGCCTCGCAGATGCCGACAGCTGTCTGACATTGCTCGAGCGCCTCCTGCCAGCGGCCGTTGACCGAGAGCATCGCCGCGTATCGCAGCCGGACGTCCGCTGCGTCCGCGTGGCCCGCGCCGCGGACCGCGTCCACCGCCTGGACGGCGCGGTGCATCGTCTCTGCCGCCGCTGCCGTCTCGCCCAAGAAGTTCTGCGCACGGCTCACCCTGCACGAAATGCGGGCAAGCCCTGTTGAGCAGGTACCTCAAAGTCGCTGGAGTGCGCGAAGAAACAGTAAAATCGCATCCCCCGCGCGCGGCACCCGGCTGGTTGGTTGGTTGTGGACGCACGCAACCAGGGCGCCCGCGACGAGCTCGCTGCTCGGCCCCAGCGTGGCCTGCCGTATCTGGAGGCTCCGCTTGTAGTGCTGCAGGGCCACCTCCATGTCCCGCTTGAATTCCTCCGTCGGCACCACGGCGCCATTGCGCGTGACCTTGTTGGCCGCCTCAATGGCCATTCCAGCCGACATCTCCGCGGTTGCCTCCAGGGTCTGGTTGCCCTCCTTCTTCGCCGCCTCAATCGCGCGCACGAAGAGCGTGTGCGCGTCGCGGAACCTGCGCTGCTCGGACAACGCGACTGCCCTCCGGTACATGGACTCTGCCGCGCCTGCGCCCCCTCGCGGCTTGGACGCCGACCCGCTGTTGCCCATCGCGTCGCCCCTGGTACTCAGAATCACGACCCCGGCTGAAATTTCATTCGGCGGCCAGGCCGCGGCGGCCGGCGCCTCCTCGAGGCCGTGAGGCGACTCGGGCACGCGCTATCCTGCTGCCGCCTCGCTCGCGCCGACGTCGACGTGGGACCCGCGAAGTGGTGCCCTGCGGGAACGGCGGGAGGCGTCGAGGCGCGGCCGCGCCGCCCCAGCCCGACTGAGTTGCGGTTGGAGGTGTTGCAGCGAATTTGTTGTACCGCGTGTCCGTCGCTGACTACATTGCCCGCGCGAAGGGCTCCGCGCAGGCAGCGTGATGTCTTCATGACGCGCACGTGAGATCGAGTGCTCGTTTCCACGGAACCGCCGCCGTCGGCTCTCGAGAGGTCTTGCAGAGCGCGAGTAGGCGTGGTCGGGTCCGGTCCTGGCGCCGCTGTCGGCCGGCGCCCTCGGCGGGGCCCCAGCTGGTCTCACAGTCTCGATCACGCGAGCGGACGAGGGCCGTGAGTGGCTCGCGGGGAGGGATGTCGCGTCGGCCGGGGGCCGCGCGAGCGAGCTGTTTGTGCCGGACGTGCCTCGGGGAGGACGAGGGACCGTCGAAGAGCGGCGACAGCAAGTTCACGGCCGTCCTCATCCCCGCGGACGTCCAGCAGCCGATGCGCGAGATCCAGTTCGGTGCGACGCTGCCCCCGCGGCCCCGCCTCCGCTCCGCACTCTGTCCCCGCTCCATCTGCGGCTCCAGCACGCGCTCCGTGACGCATTGATCTGAAATACCGTTGACTAGATCGCCAGGCAACGCCGTGCTGCCCGCCTCGCAGACCACGGCCCTGACAGCCAGGGATACCGGAATTTCCTCGAGCACGTCAAGCAGCACAACCGGCACGACTGCGTGGGCAACTGCTACCTCATGCGGCCGGAGTGGCCGCCCGTGCGCGGCGGCTCGAGGGCCGTGGCGCTGGTCATACACGACTCGGGTCTGATACGGAATCTCCCAATCAACAAACGCGCGTCGACGCTCTACGCCATGGCACAGGGGCCGCACGAGATCGCGGGGGACTGCTTCGCGATCCGGTACCTCGACGACGTCGAGACCAGCGAAGTCAGGTCCGCCCCCGCCCCACGCACGTGGAGGTTGCGCGGCACAATTGTGCCTGGCCGAGCGACGCGCCGCCGACGCATCGGCTGCGGGCTGCTCGCTGTGGCTGCGTGCCCACGCCGTGGCTCTGGATGCGGTGCGCGCAGGCCGCTCAGCATCACGGTGGATGAGGTGGATTGCGTCAAGGTGATGCGGGCCGTGAAGGACAAGGGCCCTCTGCCTGACTGGGCCGTGCAGAGGTGGCAGAGGTGACGGCGGCCGCGCGTGGTCGAGGCAGGGCTCGCTGCGCGGCCCGTGCGCGGCGGGGGGGGAGTGCTGTTACCGGTGGTCATTTGCGGGGTGCCCCTGCCCAGGGTGGAGTCGCTCACGAAGCGGAATGCTCGAGCAGTTCGACCGGGTTCCGGGGCGCGTGACCACTCAACGACGGCGCCGCGGACCGTATATCACATGTCGCAGTTGGTTGAAGTGGCCGCAACGCACCGCCATCGCCCCGTCCGAGTCTCGTCTGCCTCCTCCCGATCGCCGCTGTCAGGAGGCTCTTCCCGGAGAACATCGCCACCCGGCGTCCACGCTGCCGGCAACCGAGCGGCGCTTTGAGCCGCATCGTGCCAGCCACAGGCTCTGTGGGTGCGGTGGGCGCTGCCGGGCAGCACAGCGGCCGCTAGCTCGCCTGTCCGGCCTGCGTGGACACCTGGCGCGTCAGGGTGCTCAGGTCGGTGAACTGCTTGGTCTTTTTATAGCTCCGGACCTTGCGCATGCTCAACGCCTCGTCCGCGCGCGGGTGCCGCTGCCCCAGCGGCCACCGCGGCCGCAAGTCCACCCACTCGTCCTGCGCGTCACGCGGCCCGTTGTGCACAAACAGTCGACCGCTCGCTGAACATGACTTCTGAACTAAGGAAAACCAATGTGTGACTTCTGGCTGCTCACGGTATCGAATGCTCACGGTACCAAGCGCGCTAGATGCCGGAAGACACGCGCAGCGCAGCGAGGCCGTTCCAGGCCGGCACGGAGCAAGGCAGGCCAGACACCGATGTGCGAAAACTGAGTCGGGAATTCATATGTCTGCGCACCTCCCCTGGCGATGGTTCCTCCGGCAGCGCCGCGGCCCCAGGCTCGACCAGCCCCAGCCGCAGCCGCTCCATCCCCGCCCAGGCCACCATCACGCCGTTGTCCGTGCAGTACCGCGGCGGCGGACACACCAGCTCCAGCCCCGAACCCGCCGCGCACTCGGCCAGCGCCACGCGCACCACCTGGTTGGCCGCAACGCCCCCCGCGACGACCAGATGCCGGCAGCTCGGCTCCTCCTCGAGGCCCCACTGGATCCCGACGCCCACGCGCTTCACGAGGTGGCGCACCGCGACGTCCTGGAACGACGCCGCGATGTCCGCTTTCACCGCGTCAGGCAAACTCGCCCCCCCGGGGGTCTCCGCGCGCCCGGTGTCGAAGGAGCCGCCCTCGCGCTCGATCGCCATCCGCACCGCCGTCTTCAGCCCGCTGAAGCTGAAGTCCGCCCCGGGGCGCTTCGTCAGCGGCGGTTTGAATTTGTACTTCTTCGAGTCCCCCCCCCGCGCCACCGCCTCGAGCACCGCGCCGCCCGACGGCACCATCCCCAGCCCCAGCATCCGCGCCACCTTGTCGTACGCCTCGCCGAGCGCGTCGTCCATCGTGCCGCCCAGCACGACGTGGTCCCCAACCCCGCGTGTCAGGAGCAGCAAATTGTGCCCCCCTGACACCAGCAGGCACAGGAACGGAAACTGCACCCGCTCGGGCAGGTCGAGCGCGTCCACCCTGGCCGCCGCGCCCCCGCTCGCCGCCTCGCCGCCGCGCGCCCCGCCTGCGTCGCCGTGCTCCCCCACCGCGCGCTCCATGCGCGCCACGAGCGCGTGCGCCTCCATGTGGTGGACGTCGATGAGCGGAATGGCGCGCGAGGCGCGACGGACGCGCCGGCGCGCCTCCAGAACGCCCTCTTTGAGGCACAGCGACAGCCCGGGACCCACTGTGACTGCAACCGCGTCCAGGTCGTCCTCCGACACGCCCGCCTGCGGGCGAACACCTCGGAGCCGCGAGCTCAGGGCGTGCGCGACGGGCTGGGCGCGCAAAACGGGATCTCGGGTCGATAGATAGGCACTCGTGACGCGAAAGATGAATATGACATTAGTATTTGGACGTTCCCGTGTCGATTGAGCGTCGACGGAGCTCGCTGCTGCCCGCGCGTGTCTCTCTGTGCGGGTCCGCACCTGCTGGAGCGCTGTGTCGACCACGCCGCGCACAGCGGCCGCGTGCGCCTCCCGCGCCAGCGCGGGAACAACGCCGCCCCAGTCGCTGTGGATTTCGTACTGGTGCGCGATGGCTTCGCCGAGCACCTCTCCCCTGCGCGACACCGGCCAGTGGATCGGAATTTCAGACGCAGCGCGCGGCGAGCGCGCCTAGCAGCCGCGCAGACGATGCAACGCGCCCACACGTCGCGATGTGCGCACCTCGAGTTCACGACCGCCGCTCCTGTGTCGTCGCAGGACGTCTCGATCCCGAGGACAAGCCTGTCGCGGCCGCTCGAGGCCGACGCCGCGCACCGTCGCTGCCCAGCCCGCAAGTGGATAGTCTCGCGGCGCCGCACGATTTGCCTGGCCCACGCGCGGCCGGCGCCGGCCTGCGGCCGACACGCTGCGGCTCTACCTGCGCCGAGGCTGGACATGAATACCCGGACGCAATGTGACAACCGCAGGAATCGCATACAGAGTCCTCTGTTGGTTCAGCGGCGCAGGGGAGCGTCCGTGGGCATCACGGCGAAATGCGGGCCGTATCGTGGAGCAGAGAGCTGGAACTGCATGCCGGAGCCGTCATCCGGGATCCTCGACGCCGTCCCAGGCCTCTGGGAGTCGGGAGGAGGTCCCGGGGGTCGTGACCTTTTTTTGTCCGCCCGCAGACGAGCGCATGGGGTCTCGGCCGCCACGGCGCGCCCCAGAGTTGCTCGAGGTAGCATCCTTCGGCCCCGGCGTCAAGCGAACCTTGGCGGGCGCGGAGCTCATGGCGCTGCGCGCTCGCCGCACTAGTTGACCGGGCATCGCCTCCGGTGGCGCAGGGCACGAACAGAAGCGACGTGTCACGATGCTAGGGGATGTTGCTCTCGTCGCTGCCGTGGCCCTGGGGGCATATATCAACACCGTGCGGTGTGGATTCGCATTCGATGATCAGTTTGCAGGCAAGGCTGCTTTCGGCCCCTCTCTCAGGCCCAACGCATCGCTCAGCCACTCTCGCGAGATCCTCAGCTCCTGAGGCCTCGCATCGCTGCGTGGGCGGCCCCGCGTGACCCGTACCCCGCTCGGACGCCCGCTGCAGTCGTGGACAATCAAGACGTGTACGGGGACTCCCTGCCGATCCAAGCTCTCCTGGACCACGACTTTTGGGGCCAGCCGATAGTGCTCCATGGATCCCACAAGAGCTACCGCCCGCTCTCGGTGCTAGCGCTTCGCGGCGTTCGGAAGATCCTAACGCCTCTGTTGCGGCCGCTCCTGGGCTTCGTCAAGGTGACCGCGCCACGCACGCACCCTGCCACGATCCCCACATTCCTGGCCGCCCCGCAGCGCCCGCCTCCCATGCAAACCGCCACGCCTGAGACGCGTCCTCGCCCCTTCTCCCTACCTACCTCCCTCCCTCGGCCCTGTGACGGCCCCGACCGCGGAATGAGATCGTTTTAGGCCGCCCTTTACGCGCAAGGCCGTGCTCCACGACCTTCCCCGCGCTCGGTGCTGACTCCCCCCCCCGCAGTACCACGACATGGACGACTTGACTCAGCGGGCCATCACCGAGCGCGGATTGCACCCGCTCCCGTTCCACGTTGCCAACATATTCCTGCACGCCCTCGTCAGCGTCCTCGTCCTCTTCCTCGCACGGCAGTTCCGCAGCTACCTCCGATTCAACGACAGGCACGAACCCCCCCCCCCTTGCACTGACATGAAAACACCCCCGCAGGTCCCCGCGGGCCCACGCTCACGCCGCCGCAGCGCACCGCTCACGCGCAGATCGTTGCAAGTCCGCCAGGGCACCGCGAACGGCTCCGCCAGCGCCGGCCACACCACCAACAACGGCGAAGCCGCGATCGCACAGGCACGGGCCGTCACGCGGTGGGTGGCGGCGGCGGCCCGCACCGCCAGCCGCTGGCACGTCGTCGCGGCGCTGCTCTTCGCGGTCCACCCGATCCACACCGAGGCCGTCGCGGGCGTTGTCGGCATGGCGGACCTGCTGTCAGGCGCACTTGCCATCGGCGCGATTCTGTCCTACGCGTGGGGCATCGTGCTGCCGCTCGCGCCGCAGAGCATCTCGGTGAACGTGAGCGTCCTGCGGCTGGTCACGCCGCTCGCGGTGCTGCGGCAGCTGCTCGGCGTGATGCTCGCCGGCGCGTTGTCGCTGTTGGCGGCCCTGTCGAAGGAGACCGGGATCACGGCGGTGCTCGCGTGCGCGCTGCTGGACATCGCGCTCGCAGACGGGGTGCTCGTGTACGCGCCGCCGCCGGAGCAGCCGCCCGCGCCGCCGAAAGCGAAGGGCAGCGAGTCTGCAGCAGGGGGGGGTCAGACCGCGAGTCAGACCAAGGAGGGCGCGGCGCCGGACCAGCGGCGGCGCTTCTTCTCCATGCCCGTGGTGTCGCAGGTCGAGACGCCGTGGCAAGAGACCTTCGTGACGGCCCCAGAAGGCTTCATGGGTATTCGTCGCGGAACAAAGATCCTCTCGATTGGTCTGAAGCCCGGCGCGGCGTCGCAGAAGCGCAAGCCCCCGACGCAGGAGGAGCTCGACCGCGCGACCAAGCGCCACGAGGCCATTCTGCGGTGCGCGTCCACGCCGCGCGCGCCCGGTCGCCAGCGCACATCAAACGCCTCTCCGTGGCCGCTGACGCGGCGGCGGCTGTCTCGGTGCGTACAGGAGGGAGGCGGCGGCCGACGCGACGGCGTGCTGGCGGCGGGCGGACGTCACGTCCGGGGAGGTGCTCGTGCTGCTCGTGCTGCGCGCTCTCCGTCTGACAGCGCTGGCGCTCGTGGCGCTGCTCTATCTGTTCGCGCGGCGCGTCGTCTCGGCGGGGGACCACCTCGTGCGTCTGTCGCGCCGCGTGGAGAACCCGCTCGCGTTCACCCCGGACCTGGTACGCCCTGTTGAAGCGAACATGGGAACCACGGTCTCACATTTCGAGCCTCGCGCTCGTTCGATCGATCGAACCGTCGCGCGAGCGACCCCCCGCGCCCGCGTGCCCCCTGCCCGCAGCTGTCGCGCGTGGCGGGCAAGATCGCGGTGCACGCGCGGTACGCCATGCATCTCTTCGCCAACCCCAACCAACTCTCCGCGGACTGGTCCTTCGACTGCATCTCGCTTCCGCGCGCGACGCGCGGCCTCAAGGAGTTCGCAACGCACCCGCTGCTCCTCCTCGGCCTCCTCCTGTACGGCGTCCTCGTCGCGGCCGTCGTGCACGCGTCGCCGCTCACCGCGCTACAGAACCTGCTCTCGTGGGGCCGCATCGCGCTCGGACTGCCCCGGAGCGGGCCCGCCAGACGCGTCAAGTCCACGTGGACCAGCCACGCCGAACACCTCTTCGTGGTCTTCCTCCTGTGGGGGGGGGTCGTCGTGCCGTTTCTACCCGCGGCGCACATCTTCTTCTTCCCGGGCACCCTCGTCGCGGAGCGCCTGCTGTACCTCCCGAGCCTCGGCTTCTGCATTCTGCTTGCGATGCAGATCTCGATGCCCTGGCGCAGCGAGGCCGACGCGCCCGCGGGGCCCTCGCGCGAGCCCAGGCGCGACGCCCTGAGCAAGCGGCTGGCTCCGTGGCTGCGCGCGTCGTCCGTGACGGTCCTCTTCGGCGCGCTCCTGCTCCTCACGATGCACACGGTGTCGCGCAACGGCGACTGGGTCGACGAAGAGAGGCTCTTCCTCGCCGCCGAGCGCGTCTGCCCCAGGTCTGCAAAAGTGCAACTCAACTTGGCAATCATCGATCGGCGGTACTCGCGACACGAGAAGGCCATCGAGCGCCTCACGACGGCGCAGGAGATCGACCCGACCTACTGCGACCCGGACTACCTCCGCGGGTCGTCCCTCCTCATGCTCGGGGAAACTTCCGAGGCCATCGTGGCCCTGAAACGGGGTATGAACTGCACCCACTTCGCGCACCAGTCGCTGTCGGCGCTGCTGCAGATCGCGGCCGCGGGGACCACGGAGGGCACGTGGCAGAGCGCGCAGGTCCACGGCCTCCTCGCCGACGTGTACGGGCAGCCAGCCGCCAGCCGGTACGTGCTGGCGTGCCGGCACAGCGCGCAGGCGGCGACGGGGCTGCTCGAGGGGGTCGCGCGCGTGATCGAGGAGGTGAACGGGCCGATGCTGAAGCTGCTGCGCGCCGTTGGGGCGGAGCTGCGGCGCGGCGGGAAGGGGGGGAGTGAGAGGGGGGGTCTCGTGGAGCTGACGCGGTTGTTCGAGGAGTCGATCGCGGCGCGCGGGGGGGCTCCCGAGGAAGGCTGGGGCCCGCTGGAGGGGATGGAGATGGAGGCGGCGGCGCTGGCGACGTGGTGGGATGGCGCGACCCAGGCGGCGCGGGAGGCGGCGGCGGCGGTGGAGCGGGTCCTGACGCAGTGCGAGGGTTGGATGGCGGGCCCCGCGCGGGGCACGGTGATCGCGCGGCGGCCGGGGCGGGACGCGCTGTCTGAGACGTGCGCCCTGCTGCCCCCGCTGCGTCCTGCCTGCCTTTGATCGGGCGTTGCCGGGTCTTGCGCGCCACCAGTCTTGAAACCATATGTTGCTGTTCCTTCGCCGTCCCTATCGGGCGCGGCCCCGCTCTGACGCCTCTGGCCTCGACCGGTGATGTGCAGGGCGAGCTTGGGCGACGTGGTCGGCAGCTCCCTGAACAACACGGGACTGGCCGTGTACGGGGCCTGCGCGCGTCACGTGGCTCGTGCGCTGGCCAGCGCCGCCCGCGCCATGCCCGCCGACGCCCTCGAGGCCGCCCTCGCCGGCAAACTCCACCGCCACGTGCTCCTCAAGTCTCCCCGGGTACGCGACACTCCCAACGAACCCTCCGCCCGGTCGCGCACGCTCGGGGCAGCGTCTCTCGTATCCCGACGCAACCCTCCTTTCATCGCCCGTACGCGCCGCCGGTCCCTCGACCTCCAGCCACACCACCGTTCCAAGCCCTCCCCACGATTCTCCAGGTTCAAAGGGAGGTCGCGGCCTACTTGGCGACCAAGGGCGGCCGCTGCCGCGCCCTCGTGGTCGACGACGACGCCTCCGTGGCTCTCGACGCCCTGGTGCCGCCCTGGACGCCCGCAAAGTCGATCCGTACGCTCCCGCCCACGCGGCCGACGGACGCCCTGCGCCCGTACTCGCTGTTCGACGCCCTCGACATCGTCAAGAAGTACGGGGCGTCGTGGAAGATGCGGGGGGAGTCTGGAGCGAACCTGACTCATGGGGAGCGCCTGACGCAGTCGTTCGCCCGCCGCTGGCTCCGCTGGATATGGGCCTGCGTCAAAATGCCCTGGTGCGCCTCGACGCCGCGCTCGTGCTCGATTGTCGCTTGAAAGTCCTGCAACACTCGATGTTCATTCGGGGCCTTCCTCATTCACGTCAGGTCTTCGCTCGCAACGCTGCCTTGCAGGGACCTCGCCGTGAGTACGACCGAGGCTGCGCAGATGCAGCGTCGCGCCAACTCCTGGCGCGCGGTCCTCGCGCAGCCGTGGTACGCCGCCATGTCCCAGAATAGAACCAGCCAGCACCCACATGCCATCCTGGTCAACCTCTTCCAGTCCGCGGACCCATCATCGCCCTTGCTCCAGCGCGAGTGGGGCCTCACGCTCGCCGCAGCGGACCGCATGTCCGAGGCGGCGCGGCACTTGCGCGCTGCAGCGATCCTCTACGCCGACGCCAGCTGGCGCGCACTGGAGGCGGCGGGCGTGCTCCAGCTCGCGAACGGCGTCGAAAAGGAGCTGCACACCGCAGCGGACATCCTCGCGGCCCTGCCCGCCAGCGAAGGCGGCCCCATGCCGGCAACAGCGGGCGCTGTGTCCACGGGGCTGCCTTCCGTGGTGCCGGGGCAGGTCGGCCGCGAGGCGAGCGTGGCTGAGACGCTGTCGCTGTCGATGGAAACGATGCTCCAGTCGCTCCTGTGCGAGGCTGGGCGCCGCGTGGGCGCGTACGGGGGCTTCCTGCCCCTCAAGATGCCGCGCATCGTTGCGCTGGCGAAGTTCGCGGTGACCTCGGTGCAGACGAGCGAGGAGCAAACGTCCACCGAGGTGGGGATGCGCGTGCGCGCGATGCGGGCGGGGGTTTGCACACTTGCTCACGAGGCGGGTGCTGCGGCGGAGACGCTGGACCGGCTCGGCGGGGGGAGCCCCGACACGCGAGTGGTGCAGGAGACGTTCGGAACGGGCTCGGAGGTGGTCGAGCGGTGCGCGGACGCGGTCAGCTGACGGTGCACATGTGGTGCCTGCGGCGATCGGCCCGCGCACACTGTCCGCCCTGCTCCGCTATGTGACTGTCATATGCCGTGCTGCCCAGGTCTCGAACGCCCTCTGCGGGGGGTCCGTACAACGGTGAAGCACTGCGGGTTGGCAGTCGACGTCCTTAGCATACGGTCGACCGGCGCACGGAAACGCTCTGCAGACGCAGTGATTGCGTCCGTCGCTGCGGAGGCAGGCGCGATGACACATGTTTCGCGGCCAGATGCGTTCTTGATAATTCGCTGGCTTTCGTCCTTGTGCTTGCGAAACGAGACAGTTCTTCGCTGACCTACAGAGCACCCTCACCGCGAGGATGCCGGAGCGACCGAAACGAGACAAGGCGGCTCCGGGAGAGCTTGGCCGGCGTAGAAAGCGAGGCGGCTCCGCACGCTCCCGCAACACGTCATCCGCTCGTCACGTGCATCACATGAATGACACGGCCCGCGGGACACACACGCAGGTGCGCCCTGCGAGCCCTTTCGGGTGAGTTGCTGAATGCGGGGGGGGGCTAGACACTTGCAACGGAAGGTGTTAGACTCGCGAATGCTCGACTGCGATCCTGGGCAGGAAGGCGTCCGGCGCCGCCGGCTCTCGTGCCGCGCGGGGCGTGATATCTCAAGACTTGGAAGGGGGCGGGTGTCCACGCACTCGCCACTTGGGCGTCGCGGAGCGGACAGGGCGGAGTGGGGAAGTGGACGGCTCTGCGGCGGGAGGGTTCCGGCGCCTCTCCTCTTCGCGGGCTACGGGGGAGTGGCCGCAAAGCACGTGCGCCTCTGTTGACGCGCGATCAGCCCGTACTGAGGAACTCCGGCAAGATTGCAGAGCCCGTGCGTAGCGCACGCATGCAGCGTGCTGCATGCGTTCTCTCGTGGAAGGCCACGAAACGGTGATGGTGATGATTCCAGCAAGCAGGAAAGAGAAGGGGGGGGGGAGTTTGCAATCAGGAAGGGGGGGCGTCGCTACAATCGTCGCGGCATGGCGAGTACAGCGCGTGACGTGTCCCGTTCGGCCAGACCGCTCCCATCGGAACAGCCTCGACCGGGGAATTCCCACCCACTGGTGGCGGGAATGTGCGGCTCATGTCGGGAAAGACGCGAGGGGTGCGGCCGCGGCGCTCATCGCTCTGCGCCGTCGCCCTCCAGCACCGAGTCCTCCGGCGCTTCCCGCAGCGGCTCCGCGGCCCCCAGGTCCGGCTCGGCGACACCCCCCTCCGCGAAGTCGACCGCAGCCCAGTTCATGTGCACGGCGAGCGCTGCGTCGTCGATGACGGACGGCGTGATCGACGCTCCGCGCAGGTGGTGCGGACCCGCCCCCGCTGCCTCGATGACGTGCCCGGAGGCCATGCGTCCAGAGAGGTGCACGCGGGACGCAGGAACCGCGCCTGGCGCGACCGCGATGGTGTTGAGCGACACGGGCCGCGATATCCGGCTGCGCGAGTGCGACGGGGAGTCCGTCGGGCGGCGTCCTCCGGCGGCGCCGCCCGTGCTGTCGACCGTCCAGGCCGACAGCGTGCGGGAGTGCCGCCCTGCCGCGACGTGCCCGTCGGCGGTGCTGCGCTGCACCGCCGGGCGCGCGGCCGCCGGCGCGCGTTCGAGCGGCGCGGGCTCCGCGAGCACGCCGGGGCCGGGCGGCGCGGTTGCGCCCTGCGCAACTACAACGCTGCGCGCAGAGGGTGTGGTAGTGGCGCGGATGGCGCGGAGCGGGGAAATGCCCCGCCAGAGCACGCTGAGGTCGCGGCCTTGCAGCGTGGCGCCGGGGACGACGGACGGCGCGCGGGCGGCGATGACGTCGAGGTCGTCGTCCCTGGGAGTGCCGCAGTGCCGCACCGCGACGCGGACGGCCATGAAGGCCACGACGCCCGCGAGGAGGCCGACGCCGGCGCAGAAGGGAATCAGGCGCCGCTGGTCCGAGAAGAGCCCCGAGAAGCTGAACCCGGCGCGTGGGTCTCCGCGCGAGGCCAGCACCTCTCGCCCCTCCGCGTCTGCGCAGCGAGGCGGGAGGGTTGCTTTTGCGGTGAGGGCGCCTGGTCTCGTGAGCGTGGGGCGGCGCGGGGGTGCGAACAATGCGGGGCGCTGGGCGCGGGTCGGGTAGCGCAGGGTCGACGAACTGAGGGAGCCATGTGGGCCCGTGTGTGGCGGTCACGGCGCCCAGGCTGCCCGCCGCGCTCGTAGAGAGCCGAAACTAGCTTCGTGGGCGCGCTGACGCGCCCCCGGGCGCCCGCATGTGGGTGACGTGATCCATGCGGTGCGTCGGTTCGGTCGACCCGGCGTCTCCCGACGCCGGTGCGCACCAAAACTCGGCGCAAGCGTCAAGCACGGCAGTCAACTCGCCAGTTCGCCGCATCGTGCGCCGCGACATCGCGCAGACGGACACAATTGCGCGTTCAACGTCCGGTCGGTGAAGCCCCGCACCTGTCAAGACGGAGCAGGCCTGCAGATTGTGTTCGCTGCAGGGGTACTCCGACGCGTCCGGAGAGCCCCGGACGAAGCACGCGAAGTCCGCGTCCCGCCCCACCGCGCCGGGCAGCGCGTCCATAGCCCCACAGCGCGCCTCTGCCGCCCCCGGCTCCTCGACGTCGCCGACCCGGACGCAGGCGCGCGCCTCCATGGCGCCCTGCCACAGGAACCCGTCGGCGCTCAGCGCCTCCACGGGGAAGTCGCAGCACGAGAGAACTGCGTCCGGTCTCCACCCCTTGGCTCCGCCGCTGATGCCCACCCCGCGCAGCCTGCGGTTCCTCATCACGAGCCGGTTCGGCACCAGCCGGGAGGGAACTGCACGGGACGAGGGCGTGGGGGTCCCGCGCAGGGTGCACGTCGCAGCCCGCAAGGCGGCGTTGGCCTCAGAGCTGCCCCCTGCTCCGCCCGGCCCCGCGCCCCCCCCGAGCATGACGGCGCTCACGATGAGCCCCACGGCGAGGAAGAGGACCAGGACCGTCAGGGTGAGGCGGACGGTCTTCCGCCATTCCCGCTTGGCCTTGAGCGCCACCAGGTCCCTCGGGTTTTGGAAGGCGATGGTAGCGCGCGAAGCGTCCCTCGAAAGCACCGCGACGGTGCGCGCATCCTGCGGGGAACGAAGTCGGCCGCCGTATTACGCGCACACCTCCGCGCTCTGATGCATAGTCGGCTCGCGGCGAAGCGTCGGGGTCGCGCATACGGCTGCCGCGCCGCGCTCGAACGCTCGTCCGGCCATCCGGTCCGTTTCCGCACCTCCTCGTCTCCATTTCCGGACGCCTGTCGCGGCAAACGCGGCATTTTGACCCCACAGGCCCCGCGGCGGGCCCAACCAACTGTGGATACGCCTCGCTGGCTCCCGGCTGAGGGCTGTACAGGGCCCTGCCGGTGACAGATCGCTCACCCACTCGCGTACATGTACCGCGCATCGCCGCCGGCCCTCTTTTTCCCCCGCGGTCCCCTGCGATCGGATCCCCCCCCCCACTTGGGCAGTCCTCCAAGCAGCGTGGAGGCGTCGCCGCTCCCTCTTTGCGCGACGCCGCGGCGCAGCACCGCCCTTCCGCGATCGCACACGCCGGGTTCCACGCCAGTGACACCACGGTCCTGCCCGCTCGAGGGGCCGTCAGAGGGAGCAAGCAGCGCGCCCGCGTGGCCCCGGGGCGGCTCGGTGGCTCGTTCCTGATCGCCCAACAGGCGGCTACGGGCGTGGTGCAGCACGGCGGAACTCAAGGGCGCCGCGCGGGCCCGGCCCGGGCACTCGCCGGGCGCAAACGACCGCAGGCCCCCCCCGGCAGGGCGTCCAGCGCGGGTGCGTCCGACGGCGCGGCACGACGCGTGCGCAGCGCTCCGGCGAGACTCGCGTGCGGGGCCACCTGAGACGCCCGCGTCGCCGCGGCTGCGCGGAGTGCGCTGCGAAAGTGCATTTTGCATTCGTTGGTGCGCTGCGTTGCGGCTGTGGCTCGGACGGAGCGCTGCCTGACGCTCACGCACGCACGTTGCTGCTGTGCAGGCGGCTGTGGCGGCGAGCCTCGTCACGCGGCGCTGGTCCCCGCTGCAGGTGCTGTTTGTGTGTGCAATGGGTCTTCTCTCGCTCTCTGCCGTCGTGCTGGCGGTGTCGCCGCCGTCCCTAGGGAAAGCAGGCAGCAGACAGACCCTCCGCTACGGCGTCGCGTCCCCGCGCGCACCCGTCGCGTCCGAGAAGCGCGCCGCCAGCGCGGCCCCGCTCGCCGCCGCAGCCGACCCTGAACGTGCCGTTTTCCGCGCGCCAGAGGACGGCGTGGCCAAGCCACCGACGCCGGGACACCGAATTCCGGGTAAGCTTCACACCTGCCAACACGGCGCCGCGTCAACACCACCGGCGCGCCCGGAAAACCGCCCGAACAGCCACGCCTCACGCCAGACACAGATCCATATCTGTCCGTCCACCCTTCGTCCGCAGGCATCCTCTTGATCAAGAACATCGGCGCGCTCTACGCGCCCGAGCGCGTCCACGCGCGGCACGTCCTCGTCGTCGGCGACCGCATCGCCGCCCTCTTCGCAGGCGACGAGGACGCCTGGGCCTGGGAGCAGACCGCGGCCTCCGTCATCGACGCGGACAACGCCGCCGTCGCGCCCGGCATCGTGGACGTGCACGTGCACATCACGGGCGGCGGCGGCGAGGCCGGCCCCGCGAGCAGGACCCCGCAGGCCGAGCTGTCGCGGCTGATCCGCTCCGGGCACACGACGCTGGTGGGCATCACTGGCACCGATGACGTCTCGCGGTCGCTGGAGAACCTGCACGCCAAGTGCCGGGAGCTCAACGAGCTGGGGCTCACGTGCCGGATGTGGACCGGGTCGTACGCGGTGCCCGTGCAGGAGCGGTTCACGATGACGGGCAGGTGCGCGCCCGGGCGCCGCGCCCACGCACGCGTCATGCGCTCACACTCGCGCGAGGGACCGTCGCGGCGTCGCGGACGACGCGCCGCTGACGCCGCAACACGCCTGCTCGGCGGTGCTGCTCGCTGGCTGTGGCGCGGAGCGTGCCGGATCCCTGCGCGACCCTGTTGTGCGTGCAGCGTGCGGCGGGACGTGGCGTTGATCGACGAGGTGATCGGCGTGGGCGAGATCGCGCTGTCGGACCACCGCGGCACGCAGCCGAGCACGCGCGAGATCGCGGCCGTCGCGGCGGACTCGCGCATCGGCGGCCTGCTGTCGGGCAAGGGCGGCATCGTGCACGTGCACATGGGCCCCGGCGACGAAGGCCTCGACCCGCTCTTCAAGGTCCTCGAGACGACGGACCTCCCGATCTCGCAGTTCCTGCCCACGCACATGTCCCGCACGTCCGTCCTGCTCGAGCACGGCCAGAAGTGGATCAAGATGGGGGGGTGTATCGACATGACCGCGGGCAACGCCACCGTCAAGGCGCTGCAGGCCTACGCCAGCGCAGGGGTCGACCTCTCGCGCGTGTCCATCTCGACGGACGCCTACGGCTCGCTCCCTCGCTTCGACCCCAGCGGGAAGCTCATCGGCTACGCTGCGGCGAGGCCGGAGACGATGCTCGAGACGATGGCGCGGCTCGTGGAGGCCGGGTGGGACGTGGAGGACGCGCTGGCGCTCGGGACGAGCCGCCCCGCGGCGTTCGTGGGGTTGAAAGGGAAGGGGAGGGTTGCGGTGGGTTACGATGCGGATCTGATGGTGTTCGACGCGGACACGTGGCGGGTGCGGGCGGTGGTGGCGCGCGGGGAGCAGGTGGCGGGGGAGGACTGGGTGCGGGGGGGCATGTTTGAGACGGGCGACGGCGTGCGGCCGTACGTGCCTGGCGGGCCGGCCCGTTGAGGCCGGTGGAGCGGTCGGGGCGGGGGGCGCGCGGGTCGGTAGGTGAGGTGGGCCTCCTTGGTGGGCGGACGGGCGCTTAAGAACGGAACAGCGGCACGCGGGAGCTTAGCAGGGAGGAAGAAGATATTGCTGACATTGTGACGACCAGTTGAAGAACTGAGACATCTCGTCGCGACGTGAGTGCGCTTCTACACGGCGGCGGACTGCTCGCTCTTCGCCCGCGTTCCGCATCCCAGCGCGAGGGACCAAGCATGCAACCTCTCGGGCTGCGTGAGCCTCGACGGCAACGCAAGCTCAGGCTGCACTGCGCCGCTCCCAGTCTCCCGATCGTGTGCTATCGTGCATGCTGGAGGAGCAGATCCCCGAGCTCCTGCGGCTCCCACTCCACCACCTGCGCCGCCACAGGCCGCCGGTTCGCCCGTATCGCCCGCAGCAGCGGCGCCGGCGGCGCCTGCCCTGGGTAGTTCCTGCGCACCAGCACGTAGTCCTCAGGGCCGAGCATCGACGCAGGACATAGGTCTCCGGTCCCGTCCCCGACGTACAGCACGCGGCGCGCGCCGCCGCCCTTCGCAGCCCGCCAGCGATGCAACACCCCCTGAAACACCCTCCCCTTGCACAGGTTCGCGGGACACAGGTCGCAGTCGTGCGCGGTACCGCGTGCGTCCGCCGGGGGCGCGCCGTCGCAGCACGGACTGCACGCACAGCAGTTCGACGCCGGCGTGCCAGTCGTGTCGCCCTCGCCCTGCGCCTGCACGCCGCACATGCAGCCGTGGTACGGCTGCACGCGCAGGACGTGCGCTGCGCTGCGCGCGGGCTGCGGCGCGCCGTCGGCGAGGCGCCGCGATTTCCCCGTCGCACAAAAGTGCGCGTGGTTGGTGTGGATCTCGTAGATTGCGTCGCGCAGGCCGAGATGCTCGAGGATCATGTCGATGAAGACCTCGTTCGCGTCGGAGATGATGCACTGCGTCGCGCCGCGGGCGTGCAGGGAGCGGATGGCGAAGGGCACGCCGTGCGCCATGGGAATCTGTGCGCAGGCCGCGAACACGTCGTCGGGGTTGCGGTTGAGGCCGGTGTCGGACGTGGCCGCGGAGAAGACGTGGTCCATCAGAGCGGTCCACGGCATCGACCTGCGCGGCGACGCGGGGGCGCGTGAAGTGCGTGGGGCTGTGAGCGGACGTAGAGAGCAGGAGGGGGGGACTGAGCGATGTTCCGGTGGATTGTGGTGGAGATGCCGCTGAAGATGCGCTGTTCACGAACCGAGGGCGAGGATTCCGCGTGGCAGGCACGCCCGAGGCCGACAGACAGCGCGGCGAGGTGTTTCGCGCCCACCGTTGGTTCTCTCGAAACAGCTCTTCGGTTCCCAGGAGACGGAGCACAAAGGTGTCGCTGTTCTCCTCGATCATGCTCCAGTCGAAATCCCACACGACCAGCACCCCGCCCAGGTCCTGCACGCCCACAAGCAACGGAGGACCTTCCTCCTCGAGCACCATCGCGCCGCCGTGTTCCAAGCCTATCTTCCGCGAATAACAACGCAGGACACGCACTGACACGGCAGCGAGCCCTCACGCGTTGTTGACGCGCTCGCGGGCCCTACGGGACCTATTGGCGGAGGCCCTGGCGGGGCGTGGGACGTGTTGCCGTTCTGGCTCGCGCGCGCGACCTTGGCGCAGCGCTCCCGCAGCCCGCAGCATTCCTGGTACACGGGATGCAGTCGGCCCGCCGCATCGCCGCCGTCGCGGCCTCTACGGCCCGCTTGCGCGCTGCCACGGAGCTGCTGGGCCAAGAGACGCGCGCCGCATCGGCGCACGGCGCCGCACAGCGTGACCCGCTGTCCGGAGGCAGCCGCACCGATGCTATGGTGCCCTGCGCGTCGACGGCGCGCTCGTTCGCGCGTCGCAGCGGCGCCCAGGGCCTCGTGATTCCACCCACCCACGAAGAGCGGGTGGCCGAGCGCGAGCGCCTGCGGCAACAGATCGCCGCGCTGCGGCCCGGGGACCACGAGTCCCTGGCGAAGGTCCTCGAGCCGCGGTCGCTTGGCGCGGAGAAGAGTGCGTCCACTGCGAAACGCGATGTGTTTTGCCATCATGACTTTCGTGCGGTGTGCCATGACAATCGCACGCACGTCTCCAGGGAGCCGCGCCCAGCGGGCAGCGGTGGGGCCGTGTCGCCGTGCTGCGCGCTGCTCGGGCCCGGTCGCCGATGCGGGCTCATGCTCCGCGTATGCTGTGGGGTTGTGGTTGCAGTGGCCGGGCGCGTGCGGACTGCCCTGGAGGTGGCGATCCAGCACGAGCCGGCGCTGCAGCAGCGCCTCCTGCGGCTCGGTTTCGCGATCATCGACGCGCGCATGAGCAAGTGCTTCCAGCGGTGCCGCATCCAATGGAGGAGCTACGAGGTAACGACGCGCACGACGCCGTGAGATGCGCCGGACCCGCGGCCGGTCTCGCAGGGATCGTTTGCGAATATCTGTCGATGTTTCCACCGTGTGTTTCGCACTCGCTGCAGGGGAAACAGGAGGAATGCGAGCTCGTCCTCAACGCAGCCATGTCGACCATCAAGTCCATGGCGTCGAAGCAGCTCCGCTCGAAACGCATGCCGCGCGTCGACCTAGAATATAGCGATCCGATGGCTGGGCCGTGGTTCGACGAGCTGCAACGCGAGCGCGAGGAAGCCCAGCGGTCGCAGAAGTGGCGGGCAACGCAGGCAGCGATGCAAGGCGGCCCGACGCTCGAGCAGGTCGTGGCGCGCTTCGTCGACGAGGAGCAGGACCGGGACGACTGGGCGCGCGCTGCGGACCAGCCACGGCACTGGGGATGGCAACACCCCCCCTCCCTGATGCGCGGGCTGGGCCTCGAGGCGAGGAGCGGGGGACTCTTCCGGGACATCCCCATGGAGGTGCTGGTCAACATGGGGAGCGGCGCGCTGGCGCGGGAACGCCGCGTGCGCATGCGCGCTGCGCGTGAGGAGCGGCTTCGACGCAGGCGAGCTGCGCAGAGCACGCAGGAAGGCGCTGACCGCGACGACGACGACGACTAGACGCCCTTCCGACGGACACGGGGACGCGTACTGTCCTTCTTCTCTGCGCGCGGACAGGGGCGTCGTGGGCGCGCTGGTAGGTGGATGCATGATTTCAGGCGCGGTGAAAAACACCTCCAGGGCGACGGCGCGGCCGCGCGTGATGGACGCCGCACCGTGCCAATAGTTTTGCTTTGCGGGCCTGCATAGGTGCGGCGGACGACGGCGGGCGCGACTCGTCCCTGCACCGCCGCCGCCGGCCCTACCTCTGTTGCATTCGTCACAGCACCTGCACGGCGCATCAAGGCAGGCCGGCCGCATCCCGGTCTCCACGTGCCGTCCAGGGGACGTGCGTCTCCGCCATGTAAGGTTCGAACCGCATGCGGGTCCGTGGATGTTCCCCCGCACACATGACTATGTATGCCAGGTGACGCCCCGGTCACGTGCCGTCACAATCCGCAGGCAGCCCGCCTCCGCCGGCGCGTGGCTACAGACAGCGCCGCCTAGCGCACGGTTGGCCCGATCTGCAGCTCCGGATGCATCGCGAGTCGAGAAAGCACTTCTCCGATGCGCGCCTGCACCTTGATGTCGAACATCGCGTCCGCGCGGGTCTCCCCGACCGTCACGCACGCCACGGGGATCCCCTCCGCGGCCGCCGCCTTGATCAACCGGAACGCCGACCACACCATCAGCGACGACCCCAGCACCAACACACCCCCGGGCCTCTTTTCCACCACGTCCGTCCCGGGCACGGCCCCGCCGGTGATCGCGCGCAGCGCCGAGTCGCTGCGCTCCCTCGGAATGTTGTCCCCGAAGAACACCACGTTCGGCTTCAGCGCCGGCGAGTCGCAGGACGGACAAGCAGGCACAACAAAACTCCCATAGAGCGTCGAGCTGTCGCCGAGCTCCACGTCGCCGTCCGGCCGCCGCGCGCCCGTGTTCTGCGGCGCGCCCGACCCGCTCTTCCACGCCTCCTCGTCGCCCGCCCCGCCGCTCCCGCTGCCGGCGCTGCTGCTCGCGCCGCCCACCGCGTCTCTCGGCTGCACCTTCGGGACCTTGTAGCGGCCCTTTTCGTCGAGCACGCCCGGCCGCGTGGTCTCGGGCGGCAGCTTGCGCGTCTGCGCGCGCTGGCCGAGGAGCTGCTCGGCGACTACGGCCGCACGTGGGTTGAGGGTTTCCAACTGCTTTTGGAAGTCCTGACGTGGCAGCATGTGGCCGCACCCCAGACAGACGACCTGCGCGGCGGACGGACGGGACGTGGCGCGCTGTTGGTGGCGCGGCGCCGAGCGGCTCGGCTCGGCTCGGCTGTGCGTGAGGGTACAGTTTGCGTTGTCCAGAGACGGCGATGTGCTGGGAATGAGTGAGAACGTGGAAGAAGCGTGCGAGTTCTCGTGGTGGACGTGCGGGGCACCTCGTGCGTGGTGCCGTGCAGCTCGAGGACGTCGTCGTTCCCGGCCTTGTGGTGCAACCGGTCGACATTCTGCGTGACGATGCGCCGCACCCAGCCCTGCCGCTGCAGCCGCGCGAGCGCGAAGTGCCCGTCGTTCGGCTCCGAGTGCGCGAACTCCTGCCACCCGATGAAGCTCCGCGCCCAGTACCTCCGGCGGTTCTCCGGAGACGCCAAAAACTGCTGATGAGTCATGGGTTTAAAACCAGTCGAGTAGGCGCCCTTCGGACTGCGATAGTCGGGGATGTTGGACTCCGTGGACATGCCGGCGCCGGATATCACCGTGACCGGGCCGTTGTCGCGCAGGAAGTCGACCAGGGCGGCGATTTCGGCCTCTGTAGGGGCCGGTGCCAGCGGTGCAGCCGTGTCGTCGAGCGGGGTGCCCTGGCCGTCATCCCCGTCGTACTTGCGCTGCGTGATGCGGTTGAGGTCGAGGCTCGGGTGCGATGTCGGCACGTGACCCCCCCCGCTTGACTTGGCGGCCGCGCTCGCAGGCTCCGCTGCAGCCTCAGAGGCCACGAGGCGCGTCGAGGCGGCGCCGTGGCGGGAAAACGCAGTGTCTCGCGCGGGGCCTCGAAGCGCAGGAGAGCACGCGGGGCCGTTCGTGGCCATCGTGAGCCGCGAGGACGCAGCCGAGCACGCGCTCGCTGGGCCACCCGCCCTGAGGCTGCCGGGCACCGCGCCCACGAGCCGTGGAACCATGTCGGATACGATGCGGGTCAGTATCTGACTCGTCGATGCCATCTACTCGAGGCGCGGGCCGAGCGGCCCCGCGACCTGCGCACGATCGCTGCCGGGATGCTCGCTCGCGAGGTATGTTGCTCTCCGGTGCGAATCAGGTCGATCCACGGGGCTCTGCGTCACGGCAGGATACTGTCCGGGGCCGGCAGTGTCCTCTGGCGTGCAAGGCGTGCCCGCCGACCGACGCACGGGCGGCTGACGCAAGCTGGTGCACTGATGTCAAGTGACGCCCGACACTGGCCCGTTCCCGCGTCATTTCTGCGCAGCGCGGGCTCGCGGCTGCGCAGAGGTGCGGGCAAGCGGGGTGAATCGCTGAGAGGGCGTGCAGAGCCGAGATTCCCCCACTCGGCGGCATTGTTCATCGCAGAGTGCATCAGGGGGTCGGGCAGCGCCGCGACTGCGCGCCCTGAGGGCGCGAGCCCGTCCTAATGGGAGGCAGCAAGGTGTCGTTCAAGATCGTACTCACGTCGGACCCCAAGCTGCCGTACCGAGTGCTCTCGGTGCCAGAGGTGCCCTCCTGACCCCTGCCTGGTCGCGCGCAAGAGCTGTGTGCGGCCGCCGACGAGCTCACTTTGGAGGGAAATGATGTTGTCGCAGGAGGCGCCGTTCACGTCCGTCATCAAGTACGCTGCCGAGGAGTTCAAGGTGCCCACACCCCGCAGCGCTGCAACGCCACCACTCTGCGCTTCCCCGCCGTACCGGCCCACCCGTCCATCTCACCGCACGCCTCCTGCACTCGCCAACCTCTACGCGCCGGAGCACGTCAACCCGAACGCAGGTGAGCGCGAACACCAGCGCAGTCATTACGTCGGAAGGCGTTGGCATCTCCCCGCAACAGACCGCCGGGACGGTCTACCTCAAGCACGGCAGCGACCTGCGGCTCATTCCACGGGACCGCGTCGGGGCCCTGGCCGCCTTGTGAACGCCGAAACTGAGATATGAAATACGAATAACCAGAGCTCACACTTCTATGTCTGCGCGAAAGCCGTCCGCGCTCGTCCTTTGTACATCATCATCATCATCATCATCTGCTCTGTCGATCTGCAAGTTGGTTCCAATCATGTCAGTCAAGGCAATGCATGTCCAGCGCGTTTGCCGGACCCCAGCCCGCGCCACTTCACGCCAGCGTCACCGGCTGGTTCGCCACGAGCATCACGGCGCACATGGCCGCGACGCCGGACGCAGCCCACGCCCACGACACCAGCGGGACCTCCTTCACGCCCCCCAGCTCGTAGTGGTGGTGCAGCGGCGCCATGCGCAGCACGCGCTTGCCCTTGCGCAGCTTCATGGAGCCGAGCTGCGCGACGACGGACGCGGCCTCGAGCGCGGGGACGAGGCACAGGAGGAGCATGGCGAGGTAGGAGCCGGAGACGACGGTGGCGCCCGCGAGGAGGCCGCCGAGCGCCATCGAGCCTACGTTGCCCATGAAGACCTGCGCGGGCTTGCGGTTGACGGCGAGGAAGCCCAGGCAGCTGCCGGCGGCGGCGATCAGGAGCGGGGCGATGGCCTGCGGCGGAGGGCGGGGCGGGGGGCTGGCGTGAGGAGAGGACGGGGGGTTGCTGTTGAGCAAAAGACAATACTCAAACGCAGGCGAAACGAAGAACGTAGCCGTCCTCGAACGAAGATCGACGCTCTCGCAGAAGCAAGATCGCATGTCTGGTGTTCTGCAGTCGCGCGGCCAGGGCCTCGCGGCCGGCGCTGCAGGCAACGCGTCCGCTGGCAGTGCCGGAAGCAAACAACGCGTCCGCGCAGGACAAGGCCGCGAAATTTCAGCCAGCGGGGCGCACCGGAGCAGTCACGACGAGGCTCGTCGCCGCACCGATGCACGCGATCGCCGCGGTCCCGGCCAGCAGGCCGTCGAGGCCGTCCGTCAGGTTGGTGCCGTTGGGGAGCGCCACCATCGCGGACCCCGCCAGCAGCCAGTACAGCACGGGCCCGAGCGCGACGCTCGCGCTGCCGCCGAGCGCGATCACCGCGCCGCCGGCCAGCTTCGGCAGCATCACCTTGGCGGCGAGCACGCACAGCCCGGAAGACACCGCGATCTGCAGCGCGAACTTCTGCGACATGCGCAGGCCCTTGCCGGAGCGGATCGCGACCGCGTCGTCGAGGAGGCCGACCGCGCCGAACGCCGCGGCGCACGTCGCGCAGAACGCCGCCGCGGGCCCGCTGGCGGCCGCCAGGCCCAGCACCAGTGCCACGGGCAAAAACGTGAGCCCGCCGAGCGTCACCGTGTTCTTCTTGTCGGCGATGTGCGACGCGGGGCCGTCGGTGCGGATCGGCTGCACGGCGCCGAGCTTGCGCAGCACGGGCACGCCTGTCGCGCTCAGCAGCGCGCTGATCGCCGCCGACAGACCCAGCAGCGGCACAGCGTTGCCCGTGAAGTTCGACGGGCACGGCAGCATCCCGGAGTCCATCGCCGCGACCGCCGCCGCCGCCGCCGTCGCCAGCGCCGCCACCGGGATGTTCCCCGGCGCCGTCAGATACTGCCGCACCGCGCCCGCCTCCCGCACCGGCTCCGACGGCGGGACGTACCGCAGCGGCACCCCGGCCCCCGGCGCCGGCGTCGCCGCGCACGGCTCCGGCGCCGCAGCCACCGCCGCGGGCGCAGCCGCGGCCTCCGGGACCGTCGTCGGCGCCGCCGCCACCGCGGCCTCGATCCGCGGCTCAGTCGCCGGGGCCGCCGCGGCCGCCGCCAGGACGGGCTCCTTCGGCGCCTCGACGGCGGCCGCGGGCGTGGGGAGCTCCTTGGCGGGCTCGGCCGCCTCGGGGCGCTTCATTTCGGTCTCTTCCTCCAAAATGTGCTTGATGTCATCCTCCTCCGGGTTGTCGCGGGCAATCTTGGAGAAGAGGCGCGCGAGCGGGGCCGGGGCCTTCTTGGCGGCCTCGGGGGCGGGCTTCTCGGCGGGCTTCTCGGCGGGCTGCGGGGCGGGGAGGGGTCGGGAACGCGCCGGATATGATGGGGGGGTCGCTGGCAATCTGTGGTGCGGGCCGAGGTGGCTGGCGCGGGCGCGCGGACCTCGGCGGGAGCGTCGTCGTAGGTGATCTCGTCCTCGTAGGGGCACAGGATGATGCTCCCGAGCTCGGTCTCGCGCACGACGACCTGGGCCGCGCACCGCGCGGCGCGCCTGTGCGCTTGCACAGGTGCACCCAGACGGCTGCGGGCGCGCAGGCCGAGGAGGCCCCCGCGCGGGGTGATGACCGTCGCACTGCGGAGAGCAAAAGTGGGAAAGCCGAGACGTGGGGCCGGGCCGGGCGAGCGGGCCGCGTCGAACCATGACGGGCTCGCTCGGGTACCCCCTTTATTGGGTGCGGCCACGGCTGGGCTGTGCGGCTGTCTGGGGGGCCGAGGGGCGGCATTGAGGGACGGCCACTTCGGGTGAGCGTTCATGGGCGGCCCCGCGCGGTGAGAGGGTTCGCAGGGCGCGCGGCCACAGGTGCTATCAGCCTGCTAGGGATGGTGAAGATGGGGGGCGGGGGGCAGGCGGAACGGGCCTACCTGCAGCGCATCGCCATGGGCTTGTTGTGGAAGCGGGGGACGCGCGCTTGGAGGCCTGGTTGCGGCGCAGTCGACGCGGGTTCACGGCGGGTGGTCGGTCGACCTGTCGGTGCGCGGCGCTTGTGGAGCCTTGGAGCAAGCCGTGTCCAGGGGGAAAGGAAGCCACGACTTTTGCTCGCACAGCAAACGCGCCGTCTGGGGCCGAGCCATTGTAGCGACGCGAGGAGCACCGCGCTTCCGTCCACTCCTTAATAGGCCCCACCGCCTAACGGGCTGGCATTGCACACCAGCTGCTTTTCGTGCGAGAACAGAGGCCTCGGTGGAACGATACGAGACGGTTATCGCCGGAAATACGCGAACAAACCTTCCTGAACATTTGCAGCGACGCCGAGCGCTCTGTTTTGTCGGCGGTGACAGATGAGAGCGGCAAGGTCCTGTCCGTGAAATTTGAGCAAATCTGGCACTTTCACATGCATGTGCGTGGTATGAAGATGCCGGTGCCCGCAAGCATCGATGTGTGTCAGCCCTGCGTCGGACGGTTCGCGATGGGCCAGTGGGAGGTGGAATGTATCCTCGCACGCCGCCCAGGGCCGCCTCAGATCAGGACCGTCCCCTGAAATCGTCATTATATTGTTGTTATCGACATGTACCTCTCATGCAGGATCCAAAACGGGTCATTCGACGCAGCATTCGCAACGAAAGGGCCCTGAGGAGGGGACTGTCCTCCACGGCCTCCCACGCGCGCGCCAAGGGCCCGCGGCCCACCGCGGCGCGCCCGCACGCGGGGCATCGACACGGCCGTCTCGCCGGACTGCGCCCCACGCCGGCTCCGCGTCTCTCAGGCCGGATACGCTCTCCGGCACCCCCTGATTGCGTCCCACGCCCGTCGCGTGCCGATCGCGGTGCGGCAACGCCGCGATGCCCGCCGCGCTACCCTCGGCGCGTAGGGCGTGCCAGGCGCAGCCGACGCAGTCGCAGCGCGCAGCTGCGACCTCCGCGTGGCGTGCGGGCGCCCCGGGGCGTGCGCTGTCTGCGCCCGTGCGGTTGCAGCGCGTGGGGCGCTGCAGCGCGCGGAGGAAGTGGCGCTGTGGAACCACGGCGCGGGAGACGGCCACGGAGACCGAGGCTGGGCCGCAGGCGTGGAGCGTCAGCAGCGTTCGCTCCGGGGACGAGGCGGTGCCCTGGGAGCGCGTGCGGGGCTGCGCCGAGTGCGTGTCCGACGCCGCGTTCCTCGAATGGACCGGATACGACCAGGGCCCGCCGGAATCGGGCTCGGTCTTGCAGCAGCTCGCCTTCACGGCCAAGGTGCGCTCGCCGCGCAAGCACAGTGCGGCCCCTCTCTGCACGATGCCCGCGCGTGCCGGCGCGTATTCTCCTCTCGCTGACTCGTACACGGAGCTGCGTTCCGCGCTTGCAGTTGACGGCCATCCTGGCGGCAGGTCTCGTGAAACGGAGCCCACATGACCACACGAGCGTCGTTCTCGCCACCGTGGACGAAGCGTCCGCGGCCGCCGCGGACGCGAAGCGGGGCGGCGTCGTCGGGTGCGCGACGCTCAGGGTCCAGCAGGCCGACGAGTCCACGGCGGAGGCGCTGGGCGTCGCCCACAACACCTCGTATTTGGAGGTGTCGAACGTCGCGGTGCTGGGGCGGTGGCGGCGGCGCGGCATCGCGAAGGACATCATGCGGAGGGTCGAGTTCGAGGGCGCCGAGGCCCTGCGACGCCTCGTCGACGGCGGCATCGACACGCCCAGGTAAGACGAAGCGCACCTCGCGCGGCCGGCCGCTCACGGCGTTATCTGGACGCCCTTCCAGGGCGAGCTGGTGCGCTCGCGGCGTGCTGCACGCTGCCTTGGATCTGGAGTCGCGTGCTGCTGCGCCGCGCCACTCTACACCGTCCTGCACGCACGCCCTTCGCTCGCCTGAGGAAAGCCATCGCTTACTCCCCAGGCCAGCAATGGATGTGTTCCGGGACGTGTAGTGGTGCAGCTTTGGCCTTGATCCCAGCGGCGCGTCCGGGACGCGGCGAGCTCGCTGCTGGCTGCCACCACAGAACGCTGGTTCCCTTGTCCTCGCTGGAAGTCAGCCAGCTCCCTCGACGTTGCGTGCAGGATGCTGGTGCTGGCAGTGGAGCGCACGAGCGTGGCGCGGGGGCTGTACGAGAGCTGTGGGTGGCGGGAGGCCACAGGGTACGTCGACGGGGAGTGGGAGGAGGACGCGGCGCGCGGGAGGCTGCCGACGCGCGCGCGCAGGGTGCTCTACACGCTCGACCTCGAGGCCAGCGCCGAGCCCAACAACTGACAGCATTCGAGACTCAAAGAACAAAATGCACCAAATACATATACATGATGTGTGATCCATGCGCGATCGCTCTGCGTACACGTACACGTGCGCGTCGGCGCGCAAGCAAGCCTCTGCGGACCCAGCGCTTCGCACCGGCTCAGCGACATCGACCGGACGTCCCAACGGTCCACAACCCTCTCATGGGATCTCATCCTCCCCGCCAGCCCACTCGTCCCCTCTTCCGCCCCCTGCCGCGACGCCACACGCACCGCTCCGTCCGCACAGCCCCCCGACCGGCGCTCCAGCCCCGCACAGCGTCTCCTACGCGTCGGCGCTGGCCCCGCCCTGCTGCGTGATGTGCAGGAAGACCGACTCGAGCGTGGCGTGCGACACGGCCCAGTCGGTGATCGCGGACTCCTGCGCGAGCTTCCCCACGAACGTCAGCACCTCGGACAGCGGCACGTTGCGGCGGTCCATCTCCATGCGCACCGAGCCTCCGAGGCGGTACACCACGTGCAGGGCGCCGGACGCCAGCCCGGCGGTCGCAGCCTGGATGACGGCGTCGACGTCGTCCTCGCCGCCCTCGACCTGGACGGAGAGCAGCAGCTGCGAGCTGTACCTGCCGGGGGAGGAGGAAGGAAGGAAGGGGGGGGTGTTGAGGACTTTGAACCGTTTTTTGGGGCGCCGAGACGAGGAACGGGGCACGTGCACACCGCAATAGGAGCGGCAGCACCGTGGGATCGGCGCCGAAGGCCGTTGCGCGAATTCGTGCTGTTTCGCCGGCAACGTGCTGCATACGCAACGTTGTGAGGACCCGGCAGTGTTCGCACCTGTTCGTGAGCTCCTGCGCGGTGCCGACGCACGCGAGCCTGCCGCCAAGGATGATTCCGATGCGGTCGCAGAGCGCCTCGGCCTCCTCCATGGAGTGCGTGGAGAGCACCACTGCGCACCGCTCCCGCGCACGACGAACGCAGTTCCACAGCAGCCGCCGCGAGGCCGGGTCCAGGCCCGTGCTCGGCTCGTCCATGAACACCACCTGCACGCCAGCGCGCAACAGCCATCGGTTTAACACCACAAAACAAACATTGAAAGCACATCGTATGTTCTCCAGTCATTTTGCGGTGAGTGTGAACCCCGAGCGCCTGCTGCGTTCAGATTGGCGCACCTTGGGATCACCGATCAGCGCGATCGCCACGGACAGCCGCCGGCGCTGTCCGCCTGAGAGCTGCCGCGCACGCTTCTCGGCCAGGCCCTGCTGCAGGAGGTCCACTGACGTCAGTCCGTCCTCGACGGCGCGAGTCAGCTCGTGTCCACGGAGGCCCTTGAGGCGGCCGTAGAAGTACAGGTGCTCGCGCGGCGTGAGCGACGGCCACACGATGTCGTGCTGCGGACCGGGGGAGAGGGGGTTGAGGGTACAAATTTTCAAGTCTGACCGCCCCGGGGGGGGAATTTCGGCGGGGGAAGATGGCGTCCAATCGATCAGCCCACGATAGAGGTTCAGGGAGGGCGCGGCAAGTGGTAAAAGTTGTGTCATCTCGGCCATGGGTGGTTGCGCTGGGCGATTGCACCATGTGTTGTGCAGCGCACCTGCGGACAGACGCCGAGGAGTGGGAAGATCTTGTCCATGTCGTTGGCGACGTCGAGCCCCTCCACGAGCACCCGGCCGTTCGTGGCCTCGATGAAGCCCTCCATCATCTGCGGGGAGAAAAAATAATTGAAAAAAACACACATCATTCTGTTGGGCCGAAAACACCGAGTCGATTCTGCACAACAGCCTGCTCCCGGGCCTTGGTGTATGTCGCCACCCTGTGCCTGAGCATTCCACCCGCATGACCAGCCGGGCAAGCACGTCATGGACACGCACAACAACAACAACAGCAGGCACGCGATGCGATGCTGTTGTTGTTGTGCCTGCCACGATGTGCTTGCCTGGCTGGTCACGCGGGTGGAATGCTCAGGCACCGGGTGACGCCGTGATGCGACGCGCACCTTGATCGTCGTGGTCTTCCCAGCGCCATTGGGGCCCAGGAGCCCGAAGCACGATGCCGTCGGGATGGCCAGCGTGAGGTCGTGCACGGCCGTGTGCGTGTGGCCGCGGCTCCGGTAGTCCTTCCGCAGACCTTGAATCAGGATTGCTGGCGCGTCCAAGCTGCCACGGTCGACCGCGGCCGCCAGCGCAGCTGTCGACGCGCGCTCGCACGCCACGTCCACCGGCTCCGCACCCTGCAGCCGAGGATCATCGAGCCGACAAATCAGCACGCGCCCATCATTCGAGACTTGTGGCTGCGCATGTCGATCTGTTTCAAACGCTCAACGTTGTACGATACAAGTTGCATGTGCTCGGCGAAGGATCTGGCTGTACGCGCCGGCATCAACCACGGACGTGCACGTCGCTTACCAGCGTCCCCAGGGACAGGAGCCGCTCGATCGGCGGCACCGCGCCCGCCCCATCCGCAGTCGCAGCGCCGTTCTGCGGCGCCTGGCTCCCGGTCGCCGCGGCGTCTGCCGCCGCCGCTTCGCCGTCCTCGATGTCGAGCGCCTGCATCTGCAGAGCCTCGAGCTTCGTCGTGCGCCGCCTGCCGCCGATCACCCACGGAAAGTCGTTGACGTCAGCAGCAACACCCCCCAAGTCACTGCGGTCATTCTTCTGCCCGGACGAGCCCGCCTTGCGGCCGCCGTCCCGGCGAGCGGCCTGCTTCTTCTCCCCGCGCCGGAGCCCGAGCGGGAACAGCCAGTGCTTCGCGACGCCCGTCCCGGAGCTCGTGACCTGTTCAATGTACCACGCAAAGGTCAAAAACACCCCCCACTGCACCGCCATGATGACCAGGACCAGCGACGTGTCGTTCCCCTCGTCCGACAGGTTGCTCCACTCCTCGCCGACGCCCTCGTCCCTGCGTCGCGAAGCACGCGCGGCCCGTTAACATCGCAACCGCACGACGCACGGCGTATGGCACCGCACGCAGGCGCACGCGCTTCACCGAACTCACCCGTTGCGGACCGCGACGAAGGAGTACGCGGCCATCTCGTACACCAGCCGGAAGAGCCCGAACGAGGGGTGGATTTGCATCATTCGAGACGCCCACAGCGGGCCGCTCTCGATCAGGAACGACTGCACCCAGCCCGCCAGGAAGCCCGAGAGCAGGAGCCACACGAGGAACGTCAGCACCACGAAGCGCGCCTGCACGCAGCGACACCGGAGCACTTGCGAGGTGTGCGGGACTCGCAAGCGCCCGCCGCATTCGATTTGAATCCGCGCAACGGGATTCTGGTGCGCGATCTGACACGCGCGTCCACCGTAGACCTCAGGCAACACCTACGCGGCGCGCAGCACTCACGTGGGAGGCCATCGCGCCCATGGCCATCGACCAGGCGCACGACAGGTTGCCCCAGACGAAATAGATGGCGAGCTGGAGCGACCACTTGGTGTATACGAAGATCGACAGCCCCACGGACCACCCGACGGCCCAGAACAGCGCCATGAAGCCCGTGTACAGCAGCAGGTGCCACCCGTACAGCACAACGTAGTACGGCCAGTCGCGCAGGCCGTGGAGGCGCATCATCGCGCGGAGGTCCTGCTCCTTCTCCGAGCAGATCGTGAACAGCATCACCGGCACGATCATCTGCGCGGGCGCGGCCGGACGGCGCGATGAGAGTGCGAACGAAGGGCACGCATCACAGGCGTAACAAACGTGCGCTGCGTGCGGCGGGAGTGGCGTGGGGGAATGTGCGCGCGGGGTGGTCGAGCGTGCGGGGGCTTACCTGCATCGCCCACATGAACAGGAGCGGTCCGAGGAGCACAGAGAGAGCGAGTTCGAGCTTCGCTGGTTGAACCGGCATGTCGCGGAAGCCAATCATGCGAATGCGCTTCTCTGCGTTCTCCACCGCGGACGACCGCAGCACGGCGTTGACCAGCAGGCTCACGGGCGTGTTCCACCTGCGTTGCGCAGCGAAACGCAGAGGAGAGGAAAGGCTCGTCCCAAAACTAGATAGCTTTGCAAGCTGTCTGCGCTGCCCGATCGCCTGGCGCCCAAGCAAGCGAGCCGGATCGGCAGCAATGAGGCGTACCGTTGCGTCGCAGGAGCGCCCTGCGCCCCGAACGGCTGCGCGATGACGCTGCTGTTGACGTGCACCACGACGTCGATGTCGGTGCGCTCGGGGGACAGCTCCGCAGACCTCCACTCGTAGATTGCCGACGGGTACTTGCGAATCGCGTCGTCCGCGCGCTCCGGCGATCCGGCATACTTGACGAACTCGGGATCCTGCGCGCAGAGAATCACCGACAGGTATCAATGATACAAATCATCATTCCTCGGCTCAGCGCTGCCGCGACCGACCCCCCGGCGCCGCGGCTCACCGTGAAGACGCACGACGACGTGCGCCACCCGCAGTACAGCTCCCCCGTCAGCTCCTGCACACTCCCTCGCCGCACCAACCCCGCCGATGCACACTCCATCGTCGGCCCGCCCTCGCCCTCCGACACCGCAGACAGCCCACGCGACGCCTCCCGACTGAGCAGGTCCAGCACGGCGCGGTCCCCGCGCGACAGCTCCGAGCAGTTCGCGGACACGTAGTACAACGGACGCGGCTCCGGCGGCGGTGCAGATAGATCAACGGTGAGGTCGTCCATATCGAGCTCTCCGATCGCGCCGGCCTCGGAGTAGAACGCGGAGTCGACCATGAGCGTGACGCCGATGCCGGCGTCCGACCCGAGCACTGCCTCGGACTGCGACATGGCTTGTGCAAAGAGCAGAGAGGCATTCATCAAGAGAGCGCCCTCGTTGAGGACGGAGATGTTGTTGCGGTTGGCGACGAGCTCGGTCTGGAGCGTGCGGAACTCCGGGAGCAGCGGCGCGAGCTCGAAGAAGCGCGTCTGCAGCGGCCGGACGGGTTTGAGCAGCTGCGGCATCACGCGGGCAGCGACGCGCTCCGCCGCGGGGTCGGCGCTCCACGTCATCAGCGCCCAGTCGCGCGGAAGGCCCGGGGGCTCCTGCGTGCGGTGGAGCGGGCGAAGGCGGTGAGGCGAGGCCGCGGAACTCGCGAATAGGCCGCGTTTGATTCAAGCGACGACCTTGTGGCATCTATCTTTGTTTGTTTGTTTTGGCGTCCAGGTGCGGCACCGACTTGCGTTGAATCTCCGCCGCGGGCCACAGATAATTCAGCTGGCTGCGAGCGTGTGTGGTCTGACGGGCGAGGACGAGGCGGGGGGGGGTACCTGGGGGAAGGGCGGCGACAGCTTCTGGTCGCGGTACTGGTCCGCCGGGAAGGACATGACGGCGGGCCAGAGCGCGGGGTGGTAGACGTCGCAGAAGGCGACCTGGGCGATGTTCGAGTACGTGAAGCCGCACTCCGTGGGGTCCTCGCGCTTGCACTCTGCGTACGGCGAGCAAAACACCTGCTGCCCAAACACCTCGGCGCCGCTCTCGAAGCATACCTCCTCCTTGCGGCCTGCAGTGAGCCTCGCCGCGACACAGGCTCCGTGGATGGGCGTCGGCCGGAGGCACGCGAGCGGGGAAGTCGCGAGGGGGGTGTGGGGAGCACCTGTGTCAGGGTTCTCGACGAACTGACAGCACTCGAGACACCGGCACCCGCACTTGGTGTTCGGGTTGGACGTGATCATCGTGTCGATGGCGAGCTGGAGCCCCCAGAGGACGACGCAGACGATGACCGGGATGAGCAGGATGACGACCGACACGGGCCAGCGCCGGCGCTCGTACACCGCGGCCTTCCGCGTGAGCGCGTCGATCTGCCACCAGAAGCCCTGGGAACGCTTGACTCTGCGCGGGCGGACGTGAGAGGGCGCGTGGTGGCTCGCAGCGGTGCGGGAAGAGAGTGCGAGGCCAGGGCTCGGACGCTGTCCGTGAGCGGCGCACACGAAAGACAAAGCTGCGGTCCTGTCGAGAAAAATAGCAGGCGGCGGCAGGAAGGTGCGCAGACGCTGAACCGCGCCGGTCGCGCCGGAAACACGGCCGCGTGACACCGTCCCCTGAGGTGCGTCGTACCTCGCGTCTTGGGCCACCGATCGCTCCGTCCGCGGACCGCTCAAGCCGGAACTCGCGTCGCTCTCATCGTTCCTCCGGCCGCGCATCGTCTCAGCCCTTGCAGCAGGCGCGGGGTCTCCCAGCCAGCTCGTGCACAGTGCCGCGAATCGCGACCGCACAGGGCGTGTTCCACGTCCACCGATCACGTCCTCGTACCCTGCGAGCACAACTGCACAAAACCGCGCCGCACCGCGCGCAAAGCGCCCGCACCGCCGCCCAGACGCGCCACGAACACCGCCCTCGGGGGCACCAAATGCACCCCCCAGACCCCCCCGACACCCCTCCCCTGCCCCAGCCACCCACCCAGCTCCCACGACTCTCAACTCGATACCGCGCTCACACCACCGGCCGGTCGCGCGCCCCGCTCCCACCCCGGAGCCACACCGCGCCGCGTCGTGATGCCGCGCCACGCCGGCACGCGCTCACGACGACCCGCCGAGGCCGAGCGCCTTCCCGGCGAACAGCGCCATCTTGAAGCGCCCGAGATCGACCCCGGAGCGCGACGTCGTCTTCTTCGTGTCGACCATAGAGAGCACCTGCTCCCAGAACGGGGCGCGGTTCATCTTCTCCGTCGCCTCGAGGAGCACCTGCTCGGCCTCGCGGTTGGCCTTGGCCTTGGCCTCGAGCTGCGTCGCGCGCTCCTTGCGCCAGTTCGAGAGCCACTCGCCCGCCGCAGCGCGCGTCTCGCGGCGGCGGGCGGCCTCGTCCTCGGCCATCTCCTCCTTCTTCTGGCGCTCCGCCATCATGCGCTGACGCATCTTCTCCTCGCGCGCCTCCTGCGCCGCGCGCGCCTCTGCACGCACACCCGCACCCACGACGCCACCGGTCAAGGCGCGACAGCAACACCGCTCGCGCGAGCGACCGCCGCAGGTGCGCAGCTGCGCGCTCGTCCCAGCCCCGCCGCGCTGGGACCAAGGCGCGGGGGGGGAGGGGGGTGTATCCGTTGTGCGCACCTTCGTCGACGGGCGCCGCGGGCTCGGGGTCGCGCGCGTACTCGACGGGCCCGTCCGTGGGGGCGCCGAAGAGGTCCTCGTCGAGCGCGCTGCCCTTCGTGGGCATGTCCTCGTCCGCGAACCCGCCGCCGTTCTCGTCGGCGGGGAAGCCCGTGTCCTCGAACTGGGCAAAGTCCCCCGCGGGGGCGTCGCCAGCAAAGTCACCCATGTCGCTCATCTCGATAGTTCGGACGCTCTGGGAGGCCGGGTCGACGAGCGTGTAGTTCAGGGAGCCGTCGTCGGGAGGCGAGAAGTCGTAAACGCGGTCCCACTTGTTGTCGGCGGCGTCGAGACCGGCAGAGGCGAACTGGTCGTCAAGGCCGGCGTAGGTGACGTCGAGCGGCGCGACGCGGACGTCCGTGGAGGTCTCGATGGACGGCTGCGACGCGCAGTGCAGACGGAGGTCGAGGCCGGTGCAGCCGCGAGTCCGGAGCTGTTGGCTGGCTGCGGAGAGGGTGCAGCTCTGGCAGTCGCGGACGAAGATCGAACCGGCGCAGGGGCCGATCACGAAGGTGCAGTTGACGCAGTCGTCGATCTGCGGCGGCAGGGGGCGGCGTGGCGCGCGCGCGCGTGAGGGTCGGGGCGGGTGCACCCGCGGGCGGTCGTTGGCCCCTCGCGCGCTGGTGGGCGCGTGGCGGTGCCGGTTCGAGGGACAGCGAGCATGAAATGGGGCCAGGGAAAGGGCGGCTGAGGCTGGCGTGGCCCGGGGAGGCACGCACCTGGACCTGGGAGGTGGTGTCGAGCAGGTGCACGGTGCAGTCGTGCAGGTCCTCGCACAGGAAGTCGAGGCCGCCGATGTCTCCGGGCCTCTTGACGAGTGTTTGACCTTTGATCCCCCTGAACAGGTAGTTCTCTGCCATGCCCTGCGGCACACCGGGACGCGGGCGCGGTCTTCAGGCTAGGCATGAGTTGGACGGCCTCGGTGCCACGTCAGTGGCCTGGCCGCGGCGGGAGCGGCGGGAGGCTGTGATCCGGGGCGTGATCGCGCCGGGCAAGGGGCCTGGGCGGACGATACGCGAAGGGAGGCCAGGGGAAGCGCCCTGGGCCGTGCTGAGGCTAGACGAGGCGCGAGCGTGGCTGGCACGCGCCCCCGAGTTCCCACGCGGCGCTGGTAGTCGAGGTGCGAAATGTGTAAGCGGCTCGCGGACGCTGGCAAGGAACGGAATGCCACGTCCCGAGCGCCGAGGGCCTCGACAGCTGGTCGGCGTGCCACGGGCGCGCAGGAGGCGTTCGAGACGGTGCAAGTCCCCGCACGGAGGGACGATACATAAATCTACGCTGCTGGCCCAACCAAGAACCCGGCACTGCAGCATACGCGCGCACTCACCAGTCAACACAACCGTGCAAAGCAGCTCGCGATGGAAGCGGCCTGAGCAACCAGAGCAGACGGCGTGCCGTCCGTCTCGCGATAAACCACCAGCACTACGCATGCGCACTCGCGCGCAGCCCCGAAGAGCTGCTCCTGGCGCCCCTGGGACCTCCAGTGGGGGCGTGGTTGCGCTATTGCACCTGGCCCGAAGCGGCGCTGATTGGCTCGCAGGGCGCCTTTCGGGCTACACTGCTACGAACAGGCGCCTTGAGCTGCTGCTTGACGCCCCAAACGCACCTTCTAGATTCCGCTTGCACGCGGGCGCGGGCTCGGTAGCTCCTGTTGTGCTCTCGCGCGGGCGTCCGGGCCTCCCGCGAGGCGGGCGCGGCCGATGGGCGCCTCCCAGAGCACCCGTGTGGACGAAGCGCCTGCCCTCGAGCCTCTGCCCCCGGTGACGTTCGACGCCCGCAAGGCGCGACGCGCCCTCGCTGATCGACACGAAAAGGTCCGGCAGGAGATCAAGGACCTGAAGAAGGAGCGGGGCGAATACGTGCGCACCACGACCACCTCGCGTGCTCCCTGACGCGCTGTGCCGCCCGGCGTAGCGTGCCGCAGCGGCCCTGGAAGCCTCCCTGGTAACCTGCACGATCTCCGGCCGTTCACGGCCGCGGCGGCGCGCCTGACCGGCGCCTGAGCGGCTCCAGGTATTTCTCGGGTGATGTTCGTGCAGGAGTCGCAGTGGGGCGCGTGTTTCAACAAGAACGGGTGGATCTGCAGCGTCGTGGGCTGCGCGCTGTCTGTTCCCCTGGTCCGGAAACAGAAGTCCTTCATCCCCTTCGCGCTCCTCGGCGGCATGGGCTCGGCTCTCGACTACGTGATGGCCACGCGGCATTGCAAGTACCTCAAGGACCACATCGACTTCTACGACAAGCGAATCAAGGAGCTGCAGGACGCCGAGGGGATGTAGACGCACGGGCTCGCCGCGGCGCGCGCCGCCGCGCGTAGGTCGCGAGGGACCTGGCAGCCACGCTGTAAGCGAAGCGGGACGTCGCGACGAGCGTCGAGCGATCACAACGTGTGCGCAGCGATGCTGCTGCTGGTGCGGTGCAGCCCTACCGCTTCGCGGGGTCCAGCGAGCCCAGGACGACGTCCTTCATGAGCTGGCGCGGCGCCTCCTTGACGCCCGTGAAGAGCTCGAACTGCCGCGCCGCCTGGCCGACGAACATGTCGACGCCGCTCGCAGGGGCCGCGCCGCCCGCCACGGCCTCCCGCAGCAGCTTCGTCTCCAGCGGGTTGTACACGGCGTCGAAGACGACCGCGAACGAGCCCGCGACCTCGGCCGGCACCGGGCTCGCGTCCACCTCGGGCACCATCCCCACGCTGGTGGTGTTTGCCAATACATCCCCCGTTACCTGACCGCCCTGCGACGCGACGAGGCGCCGGTGGAACGCCTTCATTAATCCGTCTCGGCACCGGGCGGTCGCGAGGGTCCGCCGATCATTCGCAGTGATTCGCAATCGAGGATTCATGGTGGGAAACTCACCGCGAGGTCGGCGAGCGTGGCGGCCCGGCAGCGCTCGCCCACCTCCGCCGCGAGCTGCTCCGCGCGCTCGATCGACCGGTTGCACACCACGACCTCCGCAGCGCCGCGCTCCAGCGCACCGAACACCAGCCCGCGCCCTGCGCCCCCGGCCCCGATCACCACCACCGTCTTCCCCGTGAGCGGCTTCGGCGCGCCGCTGCCGTCCTTGCCGCGCAGGGCCTCCTCGATCGCGCCGATCGCGGCCTCCCAGTCGGTGTTATACCCCGTCAGCTCCCCTGAGTCAGCGCTGCGCACGAGGGTGTTGACCGCGCCGATCTCCTGCGCGACCGGGTCGACGTGGTCCGCGCCGGCGAGCGCCGCGCCCTTGTGCGGGATCGTGACGGAGAATCCCGCGAAGTCCGGGTCGTCGTAGGCCTGCAACGGCGCCGAGACTTGCACGAAAGTCAAGAGCCCGCATCATGTGCACCACGGGCCGTTCGCGGCCGAAACGCCTCGGATCCGCATTATTGAATCAATGAAACGCGGTTCTGTTGGTGCGCGCTCACCTCGAGGAAGCGCTCCATGTCGTCGACGAGCAGCGGGACATACACAGCGTCGGTGCCCAGCTGCGCGAACGCCGCGTTGTGGATCGCGGGGCTCTTGCTCTGCGCCACGGGGTTCCCGATCACGCCGTACACCTTGGTCTTCGGGCCCATGCTCGCCAGGCGGTACATGTTGCGCAGCTCCCCAATCGTCGGCTGCCCCGGGGCGCTCTCACGGCCGGCGCCCATGGCCCCGAACGTGAGGTACCCGCCGTACTTCCCGGACAAGATCCGCGTCATCACGCCGCGCTCGCCCATCGCGAGCGCCACCGTCGGCCCCCGCCGCGCCGCGAGAAGCGCAAACAGGTTGCGGCAGTCCGCGACGTCCGTCGCGGTGGTCGCGATCTTCACGATGTCGGCGCCGGCGTCCCACATGGCGTTCGCGAGCTCGACCAGCTCCGCGGCGCCGGGCGTGGCCTCGTAGTTGTGCGACGACACGATGATCGCCGTCGTCTCTGGAACCATGCCGGGCGCCGCGAAGAAGACCGTCGCGGCCTTGAACTCCACGTCGACGTACCTGGCGCCGAGGACGGCGGCGTACCTGCGCGCGGCGAGCAGGAACCAGCCGCTGACGTGAAAAGGGGCCGAGAAATATGAAAACAAGGTCTCCGAAGTGTTTCGGTGCGCGTGGGGGCGTGCCTGAGGGCGCCGAGCCGCTGCGCCTCGCCGCCGTCGTACTTGCCGCCCTCCCAGACGGGCCGGTACGTCACGATGCACGGCACCTTGGCCTGGTCCTGGCAGGCCTGGATGAGAGTGGCCAGGTGCTCCTGCGGTTTGAAGTCCGCGTACAGGTCCAGGCGGAGCTCGATGATGTCAGCCCCTGCCGCGGCTGCCTCCGGTATCTCCTGCAGGCGAACGCAGTGGGCCGGTTCGGGGCATTTCGCGGCCTTGTGGCGCGTCAGAGCGCTCGAAAGGGCGGGAGGGAAGCAACAGGCGCTGGATCGAGTCTGTTGCGGACCTTGAGAGCAGCCTCGACGGTAGGCGCGGTGATCGACGTCGTCAGCTTGGTGCCCTCCTCCTTGACGGCGCCCTTCCAGCCTGCAGCCGCGAGAAACGACGCGCTGGCGACGTCAGGCCCCGCTGAGGCGATGGCGGCGCGGTGCGGGCGAGGCGGCTGCCGCCCAGCTCTCGCGTTCGGGCCGCGCCGCGTCCGAGGGGCACGGCGGGCCCGTACACTCGTCATGGAGGTCCGCGCAACGCCGCAATCCGCTCCTGTTTCGCGCCTCACGCAGCCATCGGCGCCCAACAAGCACTCCGCGCATTGCGTCGTACCTTCCGTCGCAGAAACGACGCAACCTCGCCTCCTCTGACTCCCTGCGACTGGCCCTTCGATGGAGCTGCTCATCGCGACGCGCGAACCGGCCTGCCGCGCTCCCAGCTGCCCGCCGCTCCGTGCCTGGTGCGAGCAGCGCCCTACGAGAGTGTCATGCCGGGTCTGCCGCGCCGCCCTGCCGGCAGACAGCCCGGCGCTCGTCGGTGCTCTCAGCGCGGCCATGCTGCGTGCGCTGCCGGCCGGCGGCGCGCGCGGGCGGCGACGAAGCCGCCGTGCACGGGTGAGACTCCCCCCCGCCGTCAGGTACAACACGCAGCGCCCGGGCCGCTGAAACGCGCGCGACGCGCGCGCCGTGCGTCAGACACGTCGCCGCGGCGACTGGGAGTCAAAGATGAGAACGAGGCGCACCAACGCCTCCGGGCCTGAGGCCCCACGCGAGGTAAGCACACGCGGCGCTCACCGCAACAGTCGCGTCACCGATGACGCCGCGCGCGCTGTGGCTCGACCGCACGTGCGAGCTGAGCAGTGATCGTGTTGCAACGGTGGATGTCACGGCGCTTTGCGGTGGGCCCCTTTGAGCTGGGGATCGCAGATTGAGATTGTAGGGGTTGCGTGTGTCCTCGTATCGGGCGTGAAACTGACGTCCGGGACGCCGAGCCGTCCAAACTTGCGCGATTGGATCGCTCTGAGGACGTTGGCGGGCTCAGTCAACCTGGTACCGGTCCCTGTACCGCGCTGCTGGTGCGCGCGGCAGATAGTCACATCAAAAGCAACAGGAATCCTCCTTCGCCGTCTGTGCAGGATCTGCGTGCCTCGCTCTTCTCGAAGGTGATCCTCGAGGTCCCTCAGATCTTCGATCTCGTACCGACGGACTCTGCGGCCCTCAACTTGGCGTGCACGTGCTGGGATGCCCTCCTGTCTCTGCTGATGCACGGGCGGCGCGTCGAGGAGGGCGACTGCGAGTGGGTGCGGGATCGCGTCGAGTTCTGCGCCAACAGGGCTCAACGTCCGACAATACCCAGCTACACCCTCAAGCTGACGACTGAGCAGCGCATCGCGACCCCCGTGCGCAGCATAGCGCCTCGAGGCGCCCTTCTGCACGGCCTGGCCGACCGCATCCGCATCGGATCGCAGTATGTCGGTCAGCTGGAGTTCGCGGGGGCGCGGTTCGCCCTCCAGGACGCCTTGGCGCTCCACCGCGCGGCCTCGAAAGCCAGCGCCAACAACTTCGGAACTTCCGACGGTCGGTTCGCGGCGCTCGCGCAGATGCTCGACGCGTCCAGGCAGCCAGGGGCACTGCCGCTGCACGTTCTGCAGCTGGACGCTCCCATGTACTTCTTCGAGGGGGCGAGGCATTCGGGCCTGACGAGACAAGACCACGCGTCAGCTTTGGCCTCGGTGCTGTCGTCCCCGGCCGTGCACGCGCACGTTCGGCGCCTGGGCCTCCGCGGACTCCACATGACAGACGCGCTGGCGTCCGAGGTGCTCGAGAAGCTGCACGGCGCACCTTGTCTCGAGGTCCTCGACTTGAGCGACAACGTGCTGCGTCCGTCTGGAGCACGTGCCGTCGCGGGGGCTGTCGAGACGCTGACGGGCCTGCGCGAGCTTGACATCGGCCATGATCTGGATGGCGTCGCCCTGGCGCCGATCCTCCAGGCGGTGCTGAAATCGGGCACGGTCAAGATTTTCAAGGCGGGCTGCACCTGCCTCCGCAATTGCACCCACGTGGACGTCGTCGCTGACATGCTCGCGCGATACGGCACCGGAGCGCTCGAGCGTGTGGAGGGCCTGCCGATACTGGGCCTGGCTGCGAACGGAGACGAGCTGCTGCACCTGACGCTGAACGATCAAAAACAAGCGTCGGAAGCTCGCATGCAAGCTCTGACCAATCTGCTCGGGTCAACCTCGACTCTCCGCTCTCTCGAGGCTCGGAATGTTTACGTGTCGTCTCGAGCGGGCACTGAGGAATGCACGAAGCTGCTCGAGGCCGCAGCCACAAACCCCCTTCTGCACCTCGAGCGCCTCGTCCTCAGTGAGATGATCGACTGCAACGCCTCGTTCAGAGCGGTCGCGCGGCTTGTGGCCCGGCACAGTAGCACGCTGCTCGAGCTCGTCCTGGTCTCGCCCAGCATCCGCCCTTGCAGCCCTCCAGGTGTGGGACCACACCAACTCGAGCTCGCCGCCGCACTCAACGGCAACACAACGCTGCGGAGGCTGGACGTGTGCGGAATCGCAACCACGAACGAGATCCTCCGCGAGCTGACGAAAGCGGTCGCGAGCTGCAAACTGACGGAGTTTCGAATGCTGGACATCAAGGTGCATAGGGTATTCGTCGAACTCGACGTCCTCGGGAACCTCTTCGCGAGCACGACCCTGCGGTGCATCGAGGTCGGGGTCCCGTATCTCAAACCCATTCACGTTGTCTTTCCGACTGGGGTCGACAATGTCGTCAACGCCCTGGCTACAAACAGCGTCCTGCGCATTCTGACGTTGGACCTGCCCTCGTCGGAGAGGTTCTCGTTCGGAAGCGGCCTGGGCGCGCTCGCTCGTGCTCTGCGTACAAACACCGCCCTCAGGTCGCTGACGGTCAAGGCTGTCTTCCCTGACAACCGGGGCGCTCAGCTAGCTGACGCCCTGTGCGACAACCGCAGCCTGCGCTTCCTCGATCTACGCGACTACGGAGACGCCGCCGGCCAAAAGACGAAGCGAAGCATGATCAAGGCGCTGCGCGTCAACCGCACGCTGCAGAGGGTCAACATCAACGGCTGTCGGAACGACCCCCCTCCCCCTGAGTCAGCCCACTGGAACACGAGCATCGGGCAAGTCCCAGGGCCGTTCCCCCGGCTGTTCCTCGCTTAGTCGAGCTGAGCAGCAGGATCTGAGTGAGCTGAGCCGGAGCTACGAGTGAACCCCAAAGACGACATCTGCGTCGCTGTAACACACCGTGTTTTGTGCCACGACGGTCAGATCGGCACGGGACACGCACGGCATCGAGGCCTGCAGCGATGCCGCCTGCCGAGGCAGCTGGGCGGCGCCCGTGTAACGCAAGTTGGAGCAGCTCACCGAACGCCGGCGCCGCCGCACGGGCCGCGGCCGCAGGTTTGTCGGGCTCACCTGTGCCTCGCGAGCACCTCCGTGCGCCTGAATACGCCTGCGCCGGCTCCGAAGCAGCCTCTGCAACATGTCAAAGAGCTTCATTTGCTCCCCAGCGGTCTGGTGCGCAGCCCTGGCACCAAACGTCACCCTGGACGAATGTTCGCAGACATGTCCGTCGCCTCGTGACAGATACGCGCCACGAAAGCCAGCAGCCGCGACCGTGAGACGGCTGGAGGCCCCGCTGACCTCACACGGAGGCCTCGTTCAGCCGCTCGAGAGCCTCCTGCCGCTTCTGCGGTCCCCGTCTCTACTCATCTGTCCCTCGGCCGCCGCGTTCCTTTGAAGCGGCAGGTCTCCGCCTTCCCAGCGCCCACTGACGGACCTCCAGCTCTACGAGGGGCGCAGGGCGCCGTCCGTCGCGCCAGATCCACGAGACCTCCTACAGTACCCACGAGGCGGCGACAGCTGCTCTGTATCCGCCACTCCCGCGCGTCAACTTCCTCCCAGGCCTCGACGGATCGCGCACGCCTCGCGTGATGCTGCGCGCCCACCAGCACTCACGCCCTGGCGGCAGACAGACGCGCTCGTGCGGGCGCCCGTTGCGCCGAGACTGACCACACCGCGGCGCGCGAGGTCGCCATCAAGCGTCCAGTGCCCTGCGAACAGCGCCGAATCGAGTCCCCCCCTACTGTCAGACGCGCATTCGTGGCGCGCTGAACAGCCCGCAACGCGCGCGGTGTCCGTCAGTCACGCCGCGGTCACAACCAGGGTACCGCCATGAGGACGAGGCGCACGAATTTCCCCGGGCCTGAGCCCCCCGCCGGAGAGGTGCGTTCGAGTCGCACGCGTATGTGTTGGTCGCGTCGCCGCTGACGCCGCGCTCCGTGGGGCTCAAAATCCGCGCACGAGACGTACGGCATCTGTATGGTGACGTGAGCGGCCACGGTGCTTCGAGCCCGGGAAAGAGGAGCCCGTGGGAAGCCGTTGTGTTCGCTCTTGAGGTTTTCAAGGGGGCGCGTGCGCTCGGACGGGGATGTTGCCACTAAGCGTGCTTGACTCAACCGGAATGTACTTGGTCACAACGTAGACGGCGACGGGCTCAGTTGATCGTGTTCCTCGCTGCTGATGCCGTGAGCCCCCGAGAGCTGCCGTCAAACCTCCCTGCCTCCGGTTCTCCGCCCCGCAGGCCGCCCCCGCGTCGCTCTTCACCGAGGTCCTCCACCACGTCCCTCGCGTACTCGATCTCGTACCGGAAAGCACCGCATACAGCGTGGCTTGCACGTGCTGGCCCGCCTTGCTCGCCCTGTTGCAACATGGGCGGCGCACCGAGGAGGGCGAGTGCGAGTGGACGCGGCACGTCTATGACAGTGAGTACGCGGCATACTCCTACAGCGACACCGTCAACGTCTCATATGAGCTCGACCTCAAGTCCGAGCAGCGCACCGTTCCAGTGCTCCAGCTGGGCAACATCACGCTCCTGCGAGGCCTGGCCCTCCGCGTCAGTGCCGGGTCGCAGTACGTCGGCGAGCTGGAGTACGCTGGCGCGCGCGTGCCGGTGTAGGACGCGGCGGCGCTGCTGGCCGCGGTCGTCGCGGCGGGTGTGGACACGTCGCTGTCGGTGCACGGGGTGAGGGAGCTGGCTGCGGTGCTGGAGGCGTCTGAGAGGCCGGGGGCGACGCAGCTGCGCGTGACGAGGCTCACGGTGCAGCGGAACCTGCTCAGCAGCGACACAGTCGCGCCGGACGTGCGGGAGGAGCGCATGTCAGCGCTGTGCCGGGTGCTGTCCACGCCGGCGGTGTGCGAGCACGCCCGTCACATCGCCATGACAAAGATCGGCATGGGCGAGGCCGTGGCCGCGGAGATCCTGGGCGCCTTGTCGACGGGCCACGCGCTGGAGACGCTGAACGTGCGTGGCAACACGCTGGGTCTGACGGGGGCACACGCCCTCGCGATGGTCATCAAGACGGCACCGAAGC